ATGTCACGCCAAAAGGCTGCAGAGCTTGACAAAGTCGGGCGCCGGCGCGTGCGAGCTGACGGCTCAAGCGGCACGCAGCGCTCGGCTGGCTTTGGGGGCGCGGGGCTGAGCTGGCGACGCGGGGTTGCGCCACTTCCTGCAGGCGGTTTCTTCCTTTGGCTTCCCGGCTGATCAACTTAGCCCTTAGTGGTTTGGCCTGGAGGTTGGGGGCCCGAAAGGGTCTGAATAAGAACTAGTGTTTAACCCTCCAAACCACGATTCCAAAGATAAATTGATAAATTGTTTCCTTCGCGAAAAGTTGCCAACGCACAGAAGTTTCCCGACAGCGAAGAACCGGAGTTCCAATGGCCGTCCGGGTCCCAAACAAGGGGTCACATAGGCTTGTGGAAGCTTGTTTGGCAGGCAAATCGGGTATGGCGTATGGTCACCACGTGTACGGTTGGCCTGTTTTTACAAGGAATCCTTCGAGAGCGTAGCTGCACCCTGTGGGACCTGCAAAGGCTGAAAGGGCGGCATTCAGAGTGCTGAAAACCGGGGCTGGGTGTTTGTGCGAAGTTCCCGGCCCAGAGTGCGAAGTATTTTGGGACCTGCGCCAAGCCAGTAGATCTATGTCTATGTATATACACATGCAATTGCATAGTACATATTTGATATAGGGTATTGTACGTATGTATACATATATGTATACATGTATGTGTGAGACTTGACTTGTATTCAACCAGAAGCCCCTTCCTTTTGGACAGCTTTTGTTTGCGGTTGCATGTTTGTTTTGAGAAAAACCCAGGACATATGTTGTGCGACTGGTCGAAGCCTAACGCTTGCTTCGCAATGTGATGTTTGATTTGCAGCCACCAGCCAAACATGTTTCAGCGACGTGCGTTTCCCCTTCCAAGGTGACAAGAACCCAGGATCAACCGATTTAAGAGGGATCGGAGGGAACCACCACTGTATTAATCCCCGGGGTGATTCACCCGCACCAACATAAAAGCAGCCTAGCCCTAGTTGTGTAAACCAATGTTACAACCAATCCTGGTCAGCACCTGCTTGTTTGCTGAATGGAAGCTGCTTTCAATCGCAAGGCAAAAGATGCAAAAGCGGCATTGACCAATTGCATACTATATTGCTGGGAGAAGATTGTGATACATTACGATTGTGTGTTTTTGTTCAATAGTGACTGAAAGGAAACAACCGAAGGAATGTCAATAGATACAGGCTTCTAAACCTGTTTTGCTACATGCCCGGGTGCTAGACGCGTGCAATAGTACTGGATGCTAGGCCCCCCCCAATCCCCATAGGGGCTAATAGTGACTAATAGGGTCTGTTAGGGGGTAATAGTATGGATGGACGAAATCCTGCACCGCCTCAGAAACCCTGCAATGATGATTCCCCTGCAAATACCGAGAAAGAGTGGTTTCCTTTGCTTTCAAAGTGGTGCAGGATTTCGTCCATCCGCAGTAGCATGGGAATAGGGTTCGTTCTGGGGACCATTTCCAGGGCCCATCTTTGGGTGGCTGACAGACATGGGAATTACGTTGGTTGATTTACTGAAAGGGAAGCCAAGCGGTCCAGACCTGCTACACAACTCAACGGATTTTAGATACTCAGACTCATACTAGGTCCCCAGTAGTGCCCTTTTACCCTTTTTTGGGGGGAGGGTTCCCCTACTAAAGTAGACTACAGAAAAACTTGGTACCCTTATTCTAACCTCTCTACTGGAGATCCTAGCATACAGTCTCATACATGTACCTTCCAAGGGCTCCGCATTTCAGCTCAGGTGAGGACAGGATGGCGCCCAAGGCGCGCGGGAGCTGCGGCCTCATGGAAACTGGGTGTGTCTCTGAATTGTGAGCTTTTTGAGGGCAGCCTGTTGGTTCAAACGAAAAAGAATAGGAGAAGTACAAGTTGGGGGGGGGGGGTTCTGCCTATTCTAACACCCAAATGAGGGACCCCCAAATGGGTGGTTTCCCTTTCAACGCCTTTTTCAACCACCCGAAAGGGACCCTCGCCCATTTGGGGAACTGCACTGACCAGACATCACGCATTTGCCGTCCACTTTGTTCCGCTTGGATTGCCATCCGCCTAAGCTAAGCAACAACCTGGGACGCTACAACTTTTTCTATCTATTACGTTTCAGGCACCTGCATCTACTCATTTGCGCCAGACGGCCATCCAAGTGTTGGGAGGGGGGGGGGACGGGATGCTTTGGGTAACATGCCAGACTTGAGTACTCGTGGAGCATGAGGTTTGACAGCCGTCTTTGCGATGCCAACAGATCTTTGTGCGATGTGTGATCAGATGTTCGCTCCCCGGCTTGCCATGTTGTAAAGTTATAAAGCCATTATAAAGCGCTTCTAGTCTTATTGGCTTTGTCCACATTATTTTTTCCATTTGCTTGAGAATATGGTTTATTGTCCCTTGTTTGTGTTCAAGGGACTCGTTCACTGGAAATATGGGGCTGAAGCAACATGTTCCAGAACCATGGTTGCCATTTGAAAGGCTCTAGTGGGTCCCAACCCCGTCCTCGGTTTGGTCTTGTTAGTCACGGCCCCAACAGCAAAGGTCATTGTCCCTTGGGGGCAAATGAGTTGTTTTGAGTGTGACCTGTTTTGGTCTGTCCACAGGAAAACCATCGCAAGAAAAACAACAGCAAAAACAACATGGGGGCTTTACTGCCTTAAGACACACCCTATATTTCATTTGCTCAACCGATTACACCAAAGGGATCCAAATGACTCTTTCGGACCTTAGGGCGATTGACGGCAGGACGAGAAGAGCTTGGTGGACAGATTGCGCACGTATCAGCGCAGCAACCAGGCGGCCCAGTTACCTTGATCCGGGACTTGACTTAGGTGTAGTTGAGTGAAACTGGATGACACAATCCAATTGTTTGTCCATTTACACTTTGTACCCAACATCCAGTTTGGACTTCTGTCTGGTGAGATGGATTATATGGTTGCTGTCAGGTGGATGACACTCACGGTGGTGATGAACCCAACGGTTTGCTGACCGTATAGCAGATTCTTCGGTCTGCTCCGGTACCTTCAACCGAGCATGACAGCATTCGAATGCCGGATGGGTGCGTCTTGAGGGCACTTACATGGAAACTAAAAGAACAGATCCCAGGATTTTTGGGGCTCCATGGGCGCATGCCAGACTTCCAAGGTTCATTCAAGCCTTGGGTGTCGGAATGTCTGGAGTTTGCCCTCCAATCAGTTTCGGATTTGTTCTGGACCCATTTTAGTGGCACCTTGGAGGCAAAAGCCACCACCAAGACTTGAAGGGAACCAGTCATTCAGACTTGTTTTTGGCACATCTCAGAAAGTGCCTTGGCATCCATTTTAAAGGAGATACTGTGGATGGCTGCGAAATCCTGCACCACTTTGAAACCACGGGAAACCAGTGATTGGTTGGTATCGACAGGGGGTCATCAGAAACCATGGATTCTTAGGTGGTGCGAAGTGGATTGCGTCCCACCACAGTAGTTTAGACGCCAAGTCACTTTGCGTGAGGCAAACAAGCGGTGCGCGGACTGCCCGGAACGCGGCCCGACCTATGTGTGCTTGAGCCTCAGACTTTCTCGGCACCAGCGCGGGAGATGCACTCAGCAATGTCAGCTTCAGGCAAGATCCCTGGTCGTTGACCGGATGAATCCGAATTTGACATTCACTCACCTGCTCGAAGCGAAACTGAATTGATGTGTTTTGGTGTTGCCGGTCGTTTTTGACTTGGAGTCTCGACGCAATCACGACGTTGTGTGGGCAAGTGATGGCCAAAAAGATCAATTAAGGTACTGCTGACTCCTGACAAGTTGACCCATGTTGGTCACAGAGGTTCCCTGGACAGGAATCCTCATCAGACGGAACGAAGCTGTGCTGAGAAACATGTGAAGAAGCGAGTCAAGGCGACATGGCCGCCTGCACCCGACTCACGACTGTTGGGCGTCACTGTAAGACGTTGCACGCCTTACAAGAAGCTGGCTCGTTAAAGTCAACATCTTCTTGTTGTTCCTCAACAGCTGAAAGCTATCGCTGCCCAGATGGGCACTTGGTATGCACCTGGTGTTTAGAGCGGAACTGGGCTACTGTTCCGGAAGGGTTCCGGGGAGCGTTGAGGAGGCACATATCAGTTTCCCCACCATGAGGATGATTTTGAGGTGTCACTTTAAGATTCTGACAAGAGGGCCCCTAATCCCCTGACTGACTGAGCATTGGCCATGCTCTAAGTCGTTTTTGCAACTTTCAAAGATGCAGCTCCTGAACTTCAGCAAATTCAGGAAGCCCGCCGAAGGGGCAGGCATGCGGACTCCGCCTCCCTGGAGTTGGGCGTTCAGTCAGGTTCAAGCCCACTCAGATCTTAGCATCTGCAGGGATTTGTCAAGGGTTCCGGCCCCCCCCCCCCGGTCAAACAGAGGAGGTATCCAAAATGTTGTGTTTAGTGGAGTTCAGCCCGTTCGTGGGTAATCTGCTTGGATGTCCAGCCAACTTAGGAAGTAGGTCCTGACCATGGTCGAACGTAGATGAGGTTAGTTTTCTTTCCATGTTGAAATATCCTACTGACCTGACATCCCAGTGGCCATGTTTCAAAACCCAGGTACAGGTGAAGGTTAGTAAGGGATAGTCCCAACCATAAATGGGTGCCTTCGGAACTTCGCCGCCTGCTTAATGCTTTACATGATTCTGGGATTACGACCATGTTACCGATCCGTTTTGATTATGACTCAAGCGGGGCTTTTTTGTTTATGTCTTTTCTGGTTTCAGCTGGGTTCCAAAAGGGTTTTAACCAGCGTCGAGAACTTGGATGGTGAGTTTGCTTTCCATGGTGAGTAGACTCTCCATGACCCTTAAAAAAATGGGGTCATTGCCCAAAAGAAAGGGGTCATGACCCCTTTTTCTAGGGGTCACGGAGACTCTAGGTACTTGCCCAGGGCGTTGGTTGAAGATCCCAGTGATCCACAATGAAAATTCAGGTAGGTGAAGCTTAGTAAGGGATAGTCCTAACCCATGGGTGCCTTCGCTGTGGAATTCTTCCCAGCCGTCGAGTTTCCCCAAGGCCTGGATTTCCAGATCTTCGTGTGTCAGACCTGCAGCGGCTTGCATCGGGAGCCGGGAACTCAAAAGAACCCGAGCCGGGTTCTCCGACGAAGGCCAAGGCGCCAAACGAAGCGAAATGTTGGGCTTACGGGGAAACCACAAGGATTTGTGTTTCCAAGAGACGGGGACCCCCGATTTTGATACTCGTTTTTTTGGGGGCCCTCATCTGGCGTTGGCTTTGGGTTTCAAGGCTTGTTCGTGAAGCCTCGAAATGTTTTAGGGTAAAGGTTGGGAGGGTCCCTGATTGTCGTTCGTCAGGGTATGTCATGCTTTGGGTGCTATATACGTCCGTGTCACAAACAAAGCATGGGAAGGAGATGGTGCAAACGTTTTCCGGAGACCCCTATCTAGCCCCCCAATTTGCAAAGACCATGAACCAGAGGGGTACCCAGATGCAAACTAGAGCTGGTTGGAAATAGATAGGTTCCACTGGTTTGAATTGGTTTCATTCCGTTCACCAGGGCCGTCTATTTTACCAAACGGACACCTTTGCCATTCGAAGCCCAATCTTGACAGTGTTTTTTTTGCCGATGGTGACAAGACCAGGAACCCCGAAGGGCGGGAATGTGGGTCAAAGGCTTGAATGCTATCGCGTTGGATTCTTAAACTGAGCTTTTCGGGAAAGGATTATTTTTTCCTCACCTGCAAGTGATGTAGATTTTGGGCAGGGGCAAGAAGGCTTTTGCCCTGCTTTGGGCACATTGCAGCTCTCCGACCGCAGGTTCGGTCACAAGATCAAGAGCCTCTCCTTCTCCGAGTGGAGTGCTGCGGAGGTGCTGCGAGAAAAAAACTCGAAAAAACCGTTCCCGGTGTATACAGGCATGTGTCAAAATAGCAATCAACCGTCAACAAAATGCAAATAGCAACACTACCAATACGCCCAAGCCACCAACAAAACCATACTGCTCAAACCAGCAACACCAACTCTTAAACAAGCAACTCTTAACCACACTGGCACACAGCCACACACACAACACACCTATATGCGTGTCGCGTTTTCTCAGGGTACCTTTCCAGGTTAGTCGGGGGAAACCAAAAGAAACACCGCAATCCATCTTGGGTTCCAAAGCCAAATTGTTTGTGGGTTGATTGTCGTTCGTGTTTAGTCAGTTGTTCTGAGTAGTGTATGTGGATAGAACTCATTGTTTGTGTTGTCATTAGTGTTGTTGGTTGTTGGTTCGTGCTATCGACGATATCGAGTGGGTTGGGTTTGATGTGCTGCATGTTTGGGCGTTTGGCTGGCTGGTGTCTAGGGCTTTGTTCATGTGTTGTGCGGGTTGCAAATTTCTCGGCAGTGGCTTGTAAGGCAGAAATGTCGACCCCGGATGTGTAACCATTGCAGATGAGCGGGTTGGGGGGGGGAGGGCTTGATTCTGGCTTGCCCCCCCCAAAATGCGATGGGTTCTCTTGAAATAGGACACTCCCCTCTCTATCAATCACCTAGTTGTTATGTTCAATCCTGGCCGAAATCAGGAGTTCCGAGTAGTGATGTGTGATCATTTCGTCGAATGGTGTTCCGGGGTTTGCTTTGCTTTCTTTACATGATGAGGTTCATTTCGTATTAAGTATTGACCAGAATCAAGCATGTATTTCTTGGTTGCGGGGGAAACAGCTGAGGCAGTTCACTTGCAGTTTTCTGGTTTCAATCAGGTTATTGGAAGACCAGGCACGTGATCAGCACATGAGTCATGAGGTGGGTTCCCACTGTGGATGGACAAAATCCTGCACCACCCAAGAAACAATGGGGACCATTGTTTGTTGGTATTTGCAGGGGAATCAAATCATTCCCAAGGTTTCTCAGGTGGTGCGAAATGGATTTCGTCCATCCACGGTATGACTCTCTTTGCGCAGGTGGCCAAGATGGAGGAAGGTGGCAATGAGGCCGCGAGGCAGAAGTGGCCGGGCGCTTAGTCGGGCTGTGGAATCTGACGTGGGTAGGTGCCGCCGCGGCCCCAAACGCGGATCCACACAAATCGGTGTTTTATTTGGGGTCCACACATGCCAACCAACTTTTATACAGAAAGTCTTAGGACTTCCTTTTGCCAGTCCACTCAAGCAAGATGTCCTTTAGCTTCCCAACACCAACCATTTTGAGGGTACCAACTCGAAACACGGGGCCACCCCCAAATTCCCAATGACTCGGGAAGTTCTGATTGACAAATCCTTTCTACGGGAATTCCAAGCCATTTCCCTTCGAACCTGTTCAAGGGAAACAGCAAAAAAATCACCTGAAGGTGAAATCCTGTCACCCCGGTTTCAACCAACTTCACATGGTTGTCGTTGGGAAACGTTTTACATTTTTGCTTACCGTGGTTTAGTGGGAAATCTAACCACTTAACTGCTAAAATTTAAATCTTTGCTCCCCTTCCAACGTCAACCAACTTCAAATCCACAATCCTGCATACCAAAGACGCACGCCCCTTTTCCCCTCTGCCCAAGCAAGGCCACCCCCGAGCAAACCACAAACAAGGTCTTGTAGGCGAAAGGCCCTCGTTTCCCTAGGAAATCACAAGCAAGGTCAGGAATCCCCCAAAACATTGGCCCCTTGGCACACTTGGAACTCCGAGAAAAGATAGATGATCAACAAGCAAGGTCCTACCAAATCAGGAAGGTCCTAGCAAAAAAAAATTGGCCCCTTGTCCCCCCTAACCCCGAGAAACCAGATGGACGGATCTGGGGCTCGTTTCGGCGATCCTCGTTGGTGGCGAGGCTCGACAGGTGGAACCAGGAAGCCTTTCCAGAGCCAGACGGTTCTGACCTGGACGGATCCGGGGCGTGCTGGGGCGTTTGTGGGGGGCGTTTGTGTGGGGTTCGTTGGGCTGTCTGGCCCTGGATCTCTTTGGATTTTTTTTTTTGGCGCAGAGCTCCGGAATTGCCAGGTTTGAGGTGCAAGTCTTCACTGGTTTCCGGCTGAGTTCCTGGGCATTGAACTTTTTGGGTTTGGACCAAGTTTTAGTGGCAAACAGAAAGCTAACTTATTTTAGGCATCACCCATGTCAATCATTCATGGCCAAATGGCAGGTTGCTTGCTTTGACCACCTTGCGACGACCGAAGCTGGTTGCCAACTGGCCCTTGCTGATTGACAACTGTGCCTACAGGTAGCTTGCAGGCTCAAGGTACAGCTTGCAGACCTTGGATTGGTCGCCACCTGTGTGCTTAGATCACCAGCAACAAATGCGACTCCATTCCGAATATGCCTCGCATGGTATCTTCGCTGACTTGTTAAGTTAAGTAAATGGGAGGGGGTAAAAGTGTTGGTGCCTTTTTGGGTTTCCCCTTCAAGTACTAGCCAACTGTGGGCTTTGCCTCAATTTTAGCTGGCAGTAACCTAAAGGCTGTGGCCCTGAAGGTGGAGGTTGGTGAAGTATTTTAATCAGAGGCTCCTGGCTTTGGCTTTCAATGGAAGACCCGTCCCCTCCATTCAGCCCGGGAATCGGAGTTTGGGACCCGGTCTGAAAACCTGGCCGTTCGAGGGCCCCTTCGATACCTCGAATTGGAGCCTCTGGGCAGCAGAGCTACTGTGGATGGACGAAATCCAATCCGCATCGCTTTGAAACCATGGTTTGCTTGGAATTTGCCGGGGAATCATCATTCCGGGGGTTCTTTTGTGGTGCGAAATGGATTTCGTCCATCCACAGTAGGTGTTCCCATTGTCAATCAGGAAGTGAGTGGTTCACATACGGACCATCCTCAGACTTCCAAGCACGCACGGGTGCGGCAGGAAGCAGTGCGGGAGTTCATCCGCCTGAAGTACGTGGAGAAGAAGTGGTTCCTTGGATCGTACAGCGAGAAATAAGCGGCTAGCCAAAGACAAAGACGCTCCTGCGTGTATACATACATGCTTTCACAAATATTCACACGTGTACGTGTATATAATATATATATATATATATGTACCTGTATTATGTGTCCAATGCCTATTTGCTTTTCTATATGTGCTACATGAGGCCATATAAGAATCCAGTGGTTGCTTGAGGCTTAGAAGGGCTATGAGATTGGAGGGCATTGTGTGTATATCCTCCCAATCGGAGTGTATCCCTTATTTGCCTTTGCAAAGATGGTATATACATACGTCATATATCACCGTAGGCCTTGTGGTATGCAACTTGCAAGTTTCACCATTTGACCTAGTTGACGAGTCGAGTTGCTTCCATGTTCGACAGGCCAAGAAAAGGATGCCCGTTTTTGTTTCGCAGGTTTAGGGCTAACCAAAAGTCAATTACCGGACCAAGAAGGGCACTCTTTTCCCGGAGGTTTGGGGCTGATGTTGATTTGCGGTCCGTTCTTTTCGAAGAACGGTCTCGTATTCCGCAAGGTTCCGCCCACATGGCAAGCCAGCAGCGGAGAAGGCGGTTTTTTCGCGGTAGGGACGGTTGCGTTGCCGTGTCTTGGCGGTTGTTGTTCCCTCTTTAATTATTTGGAGGCTTTACAACAAAGAAGTCGACAGCCACTTACAGGGTTGCCTGTTTCTACCACTGGGCAACTGCGTCAAAGACAACGACCAAACAAGAGTAGAATCTCATTTGTGTTGGCTCGTGTGTGTTTTCTTTCCAGGGACCTAAATTGCAACCCTGTCAGATGTATTGGAGCGCTCTGGAAACAAAATGCGACTCGAGCGGAGCTCTTGGTATCCCGGCGCAGGCAGCCCAATACCCTGGGCCTAGGAGACTAGGCGGACCAAAGTTGCACTACCTTCGGGAGTTTTATCTCAGTGAGATACTCTCCCTGTGCAGTCTTGCTTCTTGGACCCTTCCCCCCCCGTCCCCCCCTCTCACAGTGGATCATAGCCAATTGGTTGGACGCATAATCATGCTTTGTCCTTTGGTTTTCCCATGAACCGACCCCAACAGGGTATCCCGGGAACAAGACATGGCCACATCTCTTTTCGGCCTTCGACTCGCTTCCCCGAAAGAAACCGCCAGGCGAAAGAGGCCGCAGCGGCTGCGGCGAAGGTGGAAGCGGCCGAGGCCTCGAAAGGTCATAGTGCACGACGGCGTTGGTTTTGTTTTACTACGGTCCTGGATTTTTGAACCTGGAGTCTCCTTCTGACCCCTTAAAACTGGGGTGCACCAACAAAAAGGGGCCAGGACCGTGGGTCGTGGAGACAGGTACTTGGTTGCTGCTTCTTTTCTCCTTTTGGCTGGAGCAGTGTTCGCAGTTTCTTTTTTCTGCGCGGTCCTCAAGGCTCGGCACTGTGAGAGGGTCCCTGGAAGATAAAATTTCCCCTCGATTGGACCATTTCCCTGTCAGGTGTCACGTTAATCAGCAAGGGTTGGTTTCTAGGGTCCAGACATGTGGATGGTGGCGAAATCCCGCCTTTCGCACCCTGATGATTCCTAGGTGGGTCTGGGTCAACATTAAAACACCTGGGGGCCGCAGGGTGTTAGTCTACTTCTCCAGTCAGGGTTCCATTGTGGGTACCTATTTTTAGCGTTTTAGCCCACAGCCATGTAAAAACCCAACCAACGTAATGGTTTTTACTGGTTTCAAAGTGGTGCAAACAATTCGTCCATCCACAGTAGTGCTCCTCCGCCTGAGGCCCCGGCTGCACCTGTGAAGGCCAGCGCCCTGCTGGCGAAGTTGGACGTGCCGTGGGGGTTTGTTTTGGGAGGAACGTCACGAAACCCAAGCCACAGATGTTTTTTTTTTGACAGGGGGCGAGAAAGCACATGGAAACCCAGGTCAGGTGTGTTTGTCAGGCAAAAAGGAGAGGGGACAGCTGACTGTGTTCCCGGCAAACAGGTGCCCCGCCACTTAGAACGTGCCACCGAGGCGCAATACGGCAGACTCGCTTCGCCGAAGCACTTCGCAGAACTTCCAAGCACACCACGCAAGTAAAGAGCCTGCTTCGCACAACCGCGCAGTGCTTCGCAGAACTACTTCGCAGAATCCCTCGCCGAAGCTTCGTAGCTGGTGGCCCCTTTTAGTTCTCTTCCCACCCTGGAAAGGTTTGGGTTTGGCTTGGTGGGGGTCAACCAAGGTGTCCGTTTCCCAGGAGATTCCTCCACAATGTTGAGATGGGGTTTTGGAGGTTCAGGGTTGGCGGCGTTGGCGAGAACGAACACAATCGTTTCAATAGACAAACTTCAAATTCGCACGACTTAAGGAATGTTTGAGGATACCTTTCTGGGGTTGCATCAAGAAGGAAGTCGGGGGAGAACGTTAAAAAGAAAAGATAAGTTTTTCCCGGGTGTACGCTAGAGTCTGCTGGTGCAGTTGAGAGGGGTTCAGAAGGAAGTCGGGGGAGAACCGTTTAAAAGCACATGTAAAAAAAGAAGAAGAAAAAGATAAGTTTTCGCCGGGTGTACGCTAGAGTCTGCTGGTTCAGTTGAGAGGGGTTCTTCATGTCAATGTTGAGCCCTTTTGTGCTTTCCCGACAGGGTGAAAGACGCGCGGGGATGGGCGCCTTATGCAGCCGCTGTATGGACAGCGTATGAAGCTACATTTGTCAGCCAGTGTTTCTTTGGGGGCAGTGATGGGCAGTGGCTTGGGGTAGTGGAAACCATTGTAGATTAGTTGTGACATGGGGGCCACACAATGCGCCTTGGTACTCAGGAGCGGCTTTGCCGGCCTGCCGTGCTGCCTAATAGGGAGACAATAAGAGCACACCGCTCTCCAGGACGCCCCAACAAGGCCGGGCAGTAGCTCTGGAAGGACCCAATTTGGATGATCACCCTTGTGTAAACGATGGTTGTATGAACCCCCGTTGCGTTTTCACGGTGTTTGCTGACCCTTTCGAGTTCCTTCCCAAGGCCCAGGCAGTCCGAAGGCGCGCCGAAGGCGCCCGTTCCAAGCGCCAGGCCCCGCTGGATCTGCTCTCCGGCGGCGACGAGCCGCCGAAAGTGGCGCCCGCGCCCCGCGCCGCGGCGAACGTGGCGCAGGCGCCGGCGCCGAGCGCGCCGAAAGCCTGCCGGAGTTAGTGAGCGCCCAAAAGGTTCGTCGGCCATGTGGGTGCTTCTATAGCACTTGTGGTAGGGTGCTGATGGGGCCCCATGTAAGCCCTGGTAAAACCACAAGTTAATGGTTTCGGCAACGCTCGAGTCATGGTTGGTGGTTCTGCAGGGCACCTAGAGGATACTATTGGGCAAGGCAAAAAGTGACCTTGATTGGGTGCTTTAGGGACCTACGGACTCCTTTAAAAGGGGTCCACAGCATGGGTTGCACACTAGTTGGTTGGAGAGTAAGTCGGCTAAACCCAACCATGAACTGGGGAAGAGCAATGTCGGACGCGCTTTTATACCCATGATCGCTCATTCGAAAGCGTGTGCGTTTATTTAAAATCGATTTGGGGACCACTTCAAAAACAGGAAATCGTAAATCCAAGTAAGGCCTGTAGCAGGAAGGGCTTAGACAAATCACCCTTCACAAGCAAAATGCCAAGGCGCTGATCTGGCATAATTGTTTTTCGCCCGGATTTGTTTGCCGGAAATCCCTGATTAACAGCCAAGGCCAAACAGTCGCGAAAGGGGGTGCCCACACCAGCCCCTGATACGCTTTAATCTGACTGCTTTGGGGTTAATGTCAAGCTTGTTTGGGCGGGTGTGAAAAGGTCAAAGCCTTTTCCTTTTCCTTTCACTCAGTTGTTCAGTGGCACCCTTTTTCCCCCTTTTTTTTATGGTGGCTGCTGACTAAAAATGGTCTTCCCAACAAAGGGTCCCCTTTTTTTCTCCAGGGTCACTGAACAACTGAGTTAAAGGGTGGTTTATTTGAGATGAGGGAATCTGCGAGTAAGTCTTGGCAATACTAGATTTAGACTTGGCAATGCTCAATGAAGTATTGGCGAGTCCAGGTCCAATCACCGAGACGCCCCGTTGTCCCACTGAAAAGAATGCCCCAGACTGTTGCCACTGTCCAGGGGTGGGGGTCAGGTACAGGACGCTGAGGGAATGTGCACGCCAACCGTCCTCAGACCAGAAAAAAGCCAAGCACACCAAGTCTGCTGAACAACTTCCTGTCGCTCCGCAGATCGGTTTGGGTGCTCCTTTTGCACCACCAGGTCCCCGTCCAGAGAGTGTTGAAGCGCCATCCCTTGGCTTGGGCAGTGCCAAACCCCCATATGGGTGTGGGTCAAAATTAGGTACCTAAATTGGAACCCAAAAGTGAATGGAACCAAAGACTACAACCTGTCTAGGTCCCCCTTTTGGGAGAGGGTTCCCCTATCAGAATAGACAACAGAAAGAAGGGTACCCTTATTCTAGCCTCTCTACTGGGGGACCTAGCTGTGGTCCCCAGTGGTGACACCAGGCACTCCGCCAGCCGAAAGAGCAAGCAAAAAACCCCACGCCGAGGAACAGCTCAACCAGTGGGAGCGAGCCTTGCTGGGGATTTAAAAAAGCGCAAATCCCTCGCTCCATGTCAAGTTCCATTTGCTGAAATGAACATGTTTGTTTAGGGCACCAATGTTTTCGGAACACAATGAATGAGCATGTTGTTTTTTAGGAACCAATGTTTAAGAAAAAATGTCTCCCCTACCTGGTTCCAAAGGGAATCCATTTGGCCATGAATTCTAATAAGAAGCCCCCTCCAAAGTGGTTGGTGTTGACATAAATCCTCACCTAAATGAAGTCCACCACAGGGTCCCGTCTTAAAATTCACACCAATTTCATTCTTGGACTCAAGCTAATGTTTAAAATAAAAAAGTGGTTCTAAAGGGAATCCATTTCACTCTTGGACTCAAGCTTCTTTTATGTTTTTCTTCCGGCGAACTCAGCTTTCCCCGGCCAGGCGCCTGACCTGCTGGGCGCCTTCGATTCTCCGAGCACGCAGGAGTCGAAGATCTGTGTTCGTAGGGCAACTGACTTCCCCCTAAGGGCCGTTCATTCTCGACCGCTATTGGACAACGCATCTTTAGGCTTTGACTTTTTGGTTGAAATCAAGTTGCGTCTCCAGTAAAGCCCAAAAGTTATTCACTTTTTGCAGGGGGGTCAACAGCAACCAGGCATTGGATGGGTTCGTTGGCTCTCGTCGACCTTTACTCACTTCCATTTGCTGAAATGAATATGGCTTATTTTTCCCGGTGGAGTTTAAAGGTAAACGATGACTACTGGAAATTGGAAATATGTCTTAAAAAGGTCGTAGCGCGTTCAAGATCATTGTGCCCAGCAGTATGTTGGTTGTTGTATTGCAAATTTCACGCATGCGGGAGAAACACAAACTAACAAATCAAGCTCGCTTTGGAATTCAGTTGGTAGCTGCCACTCAGGCAGCAGCCAAGGCCCGGAGGGCTTTTCATGTAGCGATATGGGTGTGTCTTTGGGTGGTTGTCCTCTTGGCTTCCTTTTAAATGCACGAACAAAGGAACTATGGCTACCCTTCAAGACCATATGATGACTTCCGTGTGAATCGGACTTGCTGGACGGTTGCTCAGAAGGTCCTTTTTTGCCCCATACCCCAAGAACCTAGCCGCCACCTAGGATGACAATGTGACGCTGGTTTAACAGCCCTAGTTCGCCCTCCCCCCCCCCCCAAACAAAAACATGTGAAGAAGATCATGAAATAACCAAAGCGCACGATGAGAATCATCAGAGAATCTGTTTCTTCCCCTTTAAGCTACCACTTGTGTAAGATTTTGATACGGGTACTTCCATTTGCTTAAGCATATTTTGTTTATTTTGCCTGTTGGTTTTAAAGGGAATCTAGCACTACTGGACACTCATGTTTTTATTTATTTCAGGGGTCTTACTCTACCCGGCAGATAGATGGTTTAAACAAACGGTTTGTGCCATCTACTGTGGCTCCAATAAGGGTTTTACACTTCGGGCGTCGGGGCCAGATAATTGGGGTTCAAACGGAAGTTGGTAGTTGGTAGCATGGGAGGTGAGTTCAGCCACTGGTGGCTGACGTGTTTCGGGTCTCGGGTCAGGAGTGGACAGCCGACTTCAGCGCCGCCTTGCCGGCCCCCAAGGCGACGCCCAAGGCGCGACTCCGACGCTGGGATCACGCTCTCCAAGTAAATATATATACATATATATATTTATATTTATATATGGTAACCCCTCATGGTCCCTGGTTTGGTGCATTTGACCTGCATTAAACTAAAGATAGGATTCAGTTTATGTATATCTATTTCACGGGGGCACATGAGTAATACTCATCAAGGTCGAAAAGGTCCCGAAAATCCAGATTTTGGAGGGCTTTCCCGGCCCCATTGGGGGGTTAATTCGGGCCTGCTCAGTCCTGTGTCCTTTCCTGTGTGGACCTCTGTTTGGCCAATAGGTCTTCTAGGAAAGTAAAAGGGAATTGCATTTGTTAGCGAATCGCAATACTACTTTTGCTGTTTCCGGCAAGCCGTTGCTTTTGGTTTCCTGGAATGACCACCCCTTGGGACTATGAACAAAGGTAGTGTTGGGAAACGGCAAAAGTATGGGGCCATAGCTTTGGTAGTTTGAATTACGTTATTTTTTTTGGATTCTGGCCCATCGTCTTTAATCAGAGGGGCCCTGGGAAGTGCCAAACAAATATTCCAAGGTGTCTTTTGGCAGTCGGCTGGGAAAAATTGGGCGTCCTTCCTCAGAGGGGTGTATTAATCATGTGTCGACATCATAGATTTACATATGTATATATATATATATGTATACATTTATGAGTGATCTGCGGGTGTCCCTTATTGGGGCGGCTTTAAAGGCTTTAAAGGGTGGCTTTCCTTTGGGTTTCCCCTTTAAACCCACCCCAAACATGGTATCCTCCCACCAGTTATATGAAGCCTGACGTGCGGGAAATGGTCCCTTTTAAAACCAACAAATGGTCCAACCAGAGCCTCCCGAAACGTCAGGTTCCATGTTGACTGGTTGCCCTTCCACCAGTTAGCATGGAACCTGAAATTTTCGGGAGGTTCTTTTTTGGACCATTTGTTGGTCTTAATTTTCAAGCGGCCCTTGGATTCTTTTAAAGGGACCCTTTCCCGAAACCCTCGGGTTTGGCGCCCGAAAAACAAGTCCCTGGCTCGTTTCGTTCGGAGCTTCAGGCCCCGGGTGACTTGGAGGGTCTCATCGACCTGGACTTCAGCACAGGGCCCAGGACGCTAGTCGCCTCTCTGGATGGACGCGAAATCCATGTCGCACCTAGCCTGGAGCGCCAATACTGTGGATGAAGGAAATCCTGCGCCACCTTAGCAAACTCTGAAAGGATTCGATTCCCCGGTAACTGCCAGCAAACAACGATTTCAACCATGGATTCCAAGTGGTGCCAAATGGATTTCGGCCATCCACAGTATGGAAGAGAAAGATTTGGGGGTTCCCCAACAAACAAACATCGTCTTCAAAATCCATTTGTTTTTTCCGCTGCCAATGGTAGTTGGAGACAGGGTACGGGTGAGGCCATTTTCTCCCAGACGGTTACCTCGCTTCATCTTTTTGCTTTTGTTTTGCCCTTGTGTTGTTTTTTCATGTTCCCTTTCACAGCACAAACTGTTTGGCGCGCGAAGTCTAGCCCAGGCGGATCGATCCATCAACTTTTGCGTGCAAAATGTCCAGATTGAGGGGAGCAGCGGTGACTGATATCAGACAAACCCCAAGTTGGTGGCCTGCAATTGATGGGTTGAACTCCTGGTTCAGGTAGCTGATCTTCCGGAGAAAAAGAAAAAAACAACTAAGGCCCTACTTGGTGGCCTGGATTGGTGGATTTGGATTTGACTCCCTGGTTCAGTTCGCTGATGTTAGGGAACCCTTCGGGGCCAATTGACCGGCCGCGAAGCTCCCATGGCTCCCCAGCCTCAAGCTCCGAAATGGATGAGTCTTGGAACAGGTGGGTCTGGGTCGAAATGAAACCACCAGAAAGCCGCAGGTGTTTGAAATCTAGCTTGGGTATGGGACATGTGTGGGTCGCCAAAAACAACCGCAGGTTTTGGTTCTAGCTTGGGTACTTATAAAGCCGCAGGCGTTTGTTCTAGTTTGGGTACCTATTTTGACCCACAGCCATGTGTGTGTGTTGATGTTTGTTGTTTGAGGGTTTTGTTGTGTAGAAGTAAAGGGGAACCAAAAGGAACGTCACCACTTTGGGATCCCCGTATTCTGACACATGTCCAAATGGCAACCATACTTGGGGAGCCAAATGAATCTCGATCCGGGATTTAAGTAGAGCCTGGTGGATTAATTGGAGGGGACTATTTCCCCAACAAGCAAACTGCCCTTTTGAATGGGACACTTACCATCTGAGCCGTAAGAATGTGTATCTATGCCAGCCGGAATCTGTCTTTTTGCGGCAAACAGGGCAGAAATGCTCATGACTGCTAATAATTCCGAAGCTCCACAAAAAGGAAGCCAACAGCGGGCCCTTCATTTACGTACTGGAGTACTTTTGAAGTTTGGTTGCTGTTTTCGGCCCATGGGTTGTAACATCTTGTAATGAGCCCCCTGCTTAAGAATGACGGCCTCGAGAGAATCTCTATCTTCCAGAGGGCGCAGCAATCGACGTTACCACTTAATTAGAACGGATGCTTCTTTGAACGCGATAATCGGATGATTGACCTTTAGCCTCGTTGGCGTTGATGTCTCCAAGCCATGTTTTGAGATCACATGGCGGAGTTCGATGGGCCGAAGAGTTGCAAAATCAATGCACGGGGGCCACTCATCTCCTTCATGCCTCTGTGCACTGAATCTTTGTGAGTGCTAAAAGAGAGAATTCCAGCCCTCACCAAATACTTTCCCCCGGTTCCCAAAAAATAAGGACACCATGAAGAAGGGTTGGGATCCAACGGACAAACCAGGACATGGGACCCGCCGCAGGAGAACCCCTCTCCGCGTTTTGATTTTTTGGGCACTCCACATAACTTCCTTCCAAGTTCGACCGGCATGGATTCAAGTCATGCTTAGTGCCTTCGTCGAGATAAATCCCACCACAGAAAAGGGACAGCCATGGGAAGGTCATGGCAAGTGTCGAGTTTTCAGTGGACGCTGCCAGTCACCCACTGTCAGCAAACGTCACCACAAGTCACCAAATATCAATAAAGAGCCACAAAATGTCACTCAGAACTTCCTCAGGTCAGGAACCAAATGCCACCAAATGTCAGCAGAGAGTCGCTACATTTTACTAAAGTTACTAATCCCTTCCCCCTAATGCTAAACGCCCCCCCCTAATACTAAGTGGGTTTTAGTATTAGGGGACTGCCTAACATTAGGGAGAAGGGATCTTCAGAAAGTCGGCTGTAGCCCTCGGTGGTTTGTTTTGCTTGAGGCGCACCTCCGAAGGCAGCTCCCAAGGTGCCCCAAGAGGCGGGGTGAAAAGCCAGCGCTGGCACCCGTGGGAAAAAAATGGGCATGTCATGCAATTGAAAAGCCAGAGCTTCCATTTGCTTAAGAATGATGTGTTGGTTTTTCCCTGTTGGTGTTAAAGGGAACCTATCACTATTCAAAGGGTTTCCGCATGAAACAACAGGAAGTGCCACCGATGTGCCGGGTCCAGCTTGACCCATTCGTTTGCCGCGCGTGGCTCAGTCAATAGTCAGCACAGCAGCCTGCAGCCTCGCGGGCCCCAGACACCGACCAACAGAGCGAAGTCCAGACTACTTACTCCACAAAAAATGATATCTAGGTATGCATATATATATATATGCATTTGCATATACATAGAACATCCAAATGCAACTAAATATAACATATATAGATAACCACATACATATATATATATATATATACATAGCTCCCTTCTGTTGCTTTAATGCAATTTTCAGCATCGTCTCTGAGGCCAAATTAAAGTGAGCTTTCTTTTGGGGCTTTGCTTGAAGGGGACATCTAAAGTCTAAAACCCTCTAAAAGCCTAGGCACATGGTTCCGCCCGAAGCTTCGGGAGGTCCCCATCCAAGAAGTTGTGTACCTGCTTGGGCTCGAATTTTCCATTTTTTTTAGCAACACCGCAACGATGAGCCCAGAGGATTTGTTGGGCCCCAATGGCCAGAGCCTCAAAGCACGGCACGTGATGCATCAGCCGCCATGCACCCAGACGACTCGGACGCGAACCTGCCGTCCGCTTCTGGGCTGAACTCTGACATCGGCGTGGCTCTTCCCATCACTTCGGAAGACGCGTAGGTGCTCGCAGGTTACCAGGCCAACTGGTGGATTGCACACCTAGGGGTTTAGCCCACTAGGGTTTAATGCAAAACTGGCTTTAAACTCCTCATGCCAGGTGGCAGTTGGTTTCCCTGCTGTGTGCCACTATAATTTCTGGGCTGTTCAAAGGCAATCCACAAGATCCTTACCTTGGGTTACGCAAAGGGTCCCCTTTGTAGTGGCTTTCCAACAAGGATTATGGACTAGGATTGGCCAACACTCCGTTTTGAACAGCCCAGATAATTTACGGATTTGGATTAGGGATACTTTGAACATCAGTGATTTGTATGTTTACAGCCAGGTGTTCCCCAACTTGCACCTGTTTTTTTGTTTTGTTTTTGTTTTGCTTGGGCAAGGCGTAATCCGAAATCCCATTCGAGGCTCCATACCAGGCCTTCCCGGTCCACCGGCACACCTTCTCCGGCCGGCGCCCCAGAGGGCAAACCGCCCCATCCCCAAACGGTTTGTAGACATAAACCCTCATCAAAATGATGTCCACCAGAAGGTCCCCAGGTCGCAATTCACACCCAAGTCGGCTTGCTGTGGGCAAGCCTTGTCGTCCAAGATGGGCTTGCTACTGGGAGTAATTTGGGGTTGCGAATCACTCAGCGAATGAGTTCCCGCACCAACTGAGAATGGTCTATGGACGGTGTATGGCCTTCTTGATCCTTGCAAATAGCACGTGTATGCTGGGTAGCTTGGAAGTGCAGGAGAGCTCAATGTCAGGGTCCCCATCTAAGGAACCATGGATACGCATCAGTGACCCCCAGTCGCTGAAAACTCCACGTCGCAAAAAGGGATCGGTCCATGGACATATCTTCGGGGAACTCGGGCCTGGGCCGGTCTGCGACCTGAATCCCTTTAACCTGAAGCGGCTAGAGGAGGGGTCTAAATGAGGCCGTTGTCCTGATTCCATGGACACAGAACTCGGCTTTTCCGCTATTTTTTGGGGGAGAGGGCCTTTTTGGGACCCCTTTGTTGGGCCCTTTTTTAGACCGTCGTTTAGACCCGCCTTTTGGGCTTTGCGAGGATTTCGGGGAAGGGATCCAATGAGTCCACTTGGCTTGGAGGCCCCCGGGGAGCCTCGCTGCACGCGGTGTGCCGGGCGATTTTGGTGGTGGAGCTGGCAGAGCGCACCTGCTACTTCGCGGCTCGGAGGTGGAAATCGCGGGTCGGATGGCTGCGATTTCCCGATCAAGGAGCCAGAAGTGCGATTGGAGGCACTGGCTCCACACCCGGGTAGATGAAGGTTAAGGGACAATCCCAGCCATAAATAGTTGCGGCCGCATGTGTATTTCCTTACATGGTTCTGGGTCAGACATTTTAATACCGGGTTCTGATTGTGACTCATTTTGATCTGGGGACATGTGTGTTTCTTTCCCTAGCAGATGAAGCGGCACAGTCACAAGCATAAACAGGTGCGGAGATCCGACCGTCAACCTAATTCATCAGAGGACAGCACTCCCATCTACCCGCCAGGAAACTCGTGCTGAGCTACTGTTTAGCTTTCTCCCACGTCTCCGTGGAAGCTGAACACTGGTTCCCTTTTCGATTCAAAGAGCCTTCTGCTGGTGCGTGCCGCAAGGTGAGAGGGAGGGTAGTTTCCTCCTTTCCAAATCCGTTCATCACCTTATCTTAAAGCCTCAGTTGTTCAGTGGCATCCTTTTTCCTTTTTTTTGGCGGCTGCCCCACTAAAAATGGTCCAAGCCCCAAAAAGGGTTCCCTTTTTTTCCAGGGTCACCGAACAACTGAGAAACTTCTACCTCTTGGTAGGGGGCATGCAAAAGAGGTGCTCTTGGCTGGCGAGGTGCGGTCCAGAGAACTCTCTACAAGGTTCCACGGGACACTTCTTTGAAAATCCCTTGGCTTGACAGGGCTCCTTGGAAGATCTCCATGTTGCAACCATTTGAAACATGTTGCTTTTTCAACACCAAAATAAGGGGAAACCACCATTGACAAGGCAATGTTCAGGTGTAGAATGTGAGGATCCCTTGACTTCTCATGCATGGAAGTGTTTCGCGTGTTAACCGCCTGGGGCTTCACAGCGAACGCCCCATCCAAGCCAATGATCCCTGGCTTCAAGGAACGGCCGGCGGAACATGTTAGCTTCGGCTGATTGCCTACTTGCAGGTACGGTGCAAGGATAGCCCCATGATTTACAATGATGTATGGTTCTTGAACTTTCCTCCTCTGTCCTGTGTGTTCTTCACGGGTGCGTCTGCGGGTCTGCGGGGAGGATTTTATGGGATTCCGGGAGTGAGAAATCTAATGCTAACCCCGGATTAATAAACCCCTGGTTGATTAATAGGGGGGTGTCCCCTTTTAGTGGGGATTCATCACTTTTGGAGGGAACCCCCCCTAATAATGGGACGGGTTTATTAATCCTGGGTCAACATTAATGGATTCTATGGAATTCTATGGAATTACCACAAAACCAACAATCCTGGTGGTTTCCTCGCGCCTGCCCACCGGGTCTTTCCTCCTATGATGGGGTCTGAGGGGAAAGGAGCCCAAAAATTTGGCCTGAAGAGCCCCTCATAAAGGTCGCAGATTTTGGGCTTTGTCCCCCGTCCCCTCTCTCCCCAGCCTTAGTTGGGGCATATTTGGGCTTCTCTTCCCCAAGCATGATGCTCATTCCCTCCCCCCTCCCATTCCAGGCGTCCCAGGTCCAAGGCCCCATGAACCTGTTGATTCCCTTACCTCAGTTGTTCAGTGGCACCCTTTTTTCATTTTTGTTGGCGGCTGCCCCACTAAAAATGGTCCAAGCCCCAAAAAGGGTTCCCTTTTTTTGCAGGGTCACTGAACTGAGTTACTGAAACCAGCAATGGATGGCGTCCCTTTGCCTTTTGGCTTTGCTTGGCTCAGGCGCTGGCGGGCAGCCAGGAGTTCTTCTTGGAACGCCTCGGCGCTGGCGCCCAGGAGAGCGCCGGCCACTCGCCGGATCCGCCGAAGTCCGGTCGCGCCGGCGCCGGCGGAGACGTGGTCGCTGTGCCCTGTGTGTGTGTGTGTCTTGTGTGTGTGGGTGGATAGGTGGGTGTGTGTCTGTGTCTGTCTGTGTGAGTCTGTGTGTGTGTGTTGGGTTTTCTGGTTTCTTGATTGCGAGTTTGGAGAACGGAGATCCTTAGACTGTTTCACTTGTTGGTGGACATCCTGAGTTGTTTTTGTTGCTCCGTAAGCCGCAAACAGGCTAAGCACGTTTTGCAGAGGGACAGCAACCAAAGAGGACCTCCTGAAGAGCTACGGTGGATGCCCCTGCCGGCAAGTAAGCCAAAAACATGATACATGATAAACCGCACTAAGTTCGATGGCGTCCTGGTTCCCTTACTTGCAACTTCTACGGTGGCATCCACTGTAGGACTTAAAGTAGGGGGGAAATTGGAACAGTAAGGATTGCTTCCTGCAAAGTTGCTGCAGCCCTTGCCATTTTTGGGGATGAAACTAAACTAATTCTGGGAATAAAGGCCATTGCCATTGATTCGGGGATGATTTTGTTCGGTGATTCAGTGTTGAATCTAAAGCAATGAGTTCAGATTGCCCATTTGCTTTGGCCAAAGCGTTTCAGACAGCCAAGTTTTGTTTTGGTTCTGCAGCATGAGGAGAAGGATCACTGGAGAGCAGGGGCCTTTTCGTTGAGACTTCCTGACTTTTTGCTGTGAAAGGTTGACATTTGGGGTCGGAGTACCAAGCAAGCAGATGGATGGTGTCGTCGAGAAATATTGCAATTCTGTTTTGCCCAAAAAGGAACATGGAAGCGCAAGACGTGAAAAATCCTCCAATCTTCCACTTCCGTGATTATTGAGGGTAGGTGTCCCTTGGTGTTCCTTTGCGGAACGTGTTTCTTTGGTATTTGGAGACAATTGGGCGAGGCATGGTCTGGCCCTGCAAAAGGCATGCAGGTTCACCTTTTGTTTCAGAAGATCGGCCGTTTTGCTCTTCAACTCTTTTCATTGTGAGCAACCACCAGGGGCTTCAAAAAGAAACCCTTTCATGTTTTGTGGGCAACCAGGGGCTTCTTAAGTCACCTGTAGGTGGGGAAGTTGCGATCAGGACGTTGCCATCCCCAACTTTCACAGGGCTTCCAAGCTGTGAGTTTCTTTGCACTCGGCCCGCCGGCATCCGGATCGATCCCCAGCTTGCGCTTGCTTGCATCCAGTTTTTAAGCCCGCGAAATCGCGAAGCTCTGTATCGAATGGGCCAGGTTTAGTGAGTTGCTCGGCAAATAGGAGTGACTTTGACTCAGTTGTTCAGTGGCACCCTGTTTCCTTTTTTTTCTGGTGGCTGCCCCACTAAAATGGTCCAAGCGCCAAAAAGGGGGAACCCTTTTTTGTCCAGGGTCACTGAACTGAGTTGAGGTGCAAAGGGGAAGTGCGGAATACGTTCGCAGCCCAACGGACCCAGAGATACCTTCCCTTCATAGCACCCGTGAGAGGGTACCAAGATCATGTTCCTCTTGTAGGGGCGTGCCATGTTAGCGGGAGTGAGGGTAAAGGGTTAACCTTGTGGGGCCATGACTAAACATGGGCCACATCAGAGGAAACCACAAGGTCAGTTTAGGTTGATCCGCTTCGTGCGAGTTGGGCCAAGGCCAAGTTTCCTTGATGGTTCAAGGGAGCATTGCAGGAACCCCATAGGCTCAGTTGGGAGGAGGGATGCGTTTTTGTTTCTTGCAAGACCGACTGTTGGACTTGCCAAAAGTTGTCGTGGTGGCGGAGCACGGGGTTTTGTGTTAGATTTAGCCGTTTAGTTTTACTTTTTTGTTTCAAGCCTTTTTGTTCAAGCCCGCAGCTCAAAGATGCTCACCCGGGGGTAAACGAGCTGCAGCTAGGGGCCAAAGGTTTCTCTTTGGGGATGCCTTGCTCAAGTTGGAGACGTGCTGCAGTTTTTGTTGCAGATCTTGGCCCACGCAGCTGAGGCATAAATGCAGCCTTCACCACCCTGTGCTACATGTGGCCCTTGCCTCTTGGCATTTCAGCCGGATGCATGTTGTTTTGAGAAGACAATTTGCAAAATACCACAAATATAGACTAGACATACATGCCTGTTGCCAACACGTGCAGACATACCACACACACACGTGCCTGTTTGTATTTCCTGAGACTGAGAATTCTTGGCCTAATGGCCCGGCCTTGAAAGCAGTTGAAGGGAACAAATATGACAGCTGAAGGAATCCAACGAAGTCAGCCAGGCTTCCTGTTTCGAGACAGTTGATTCCCGGAGGAAAAAAAACACCAACCATAAAACATGGCAACTAGTTGAGCTGTTTGGCCAGATGTAGCGAATCACTAGGCAGGCCCATTTTCAGACAGCTTTCCTGAAGGGGCTTGTATGGGTGAATTATAGCAACCTCACCAGGCATTCCTGTGGTTCTTAAAGGGCTCACCCAGTTGCCCTTTTGGTGGGTTTCCACAAATTGGGGGGGCCCTTGACAAAGAGAGGAGGTGTGACTCACTCCCGGACTTTTAGATTTCATATTCTTTTGGACAGACCATTTCAGTGTCAAAAACAAGGTCTCGTTTTTGGCGAATCCACTCAAAAAGTATCGTGAATCAACCGCTGTCCTCGACCGAGGGCCGGTGGCTACGTGGCTGACACACTGTTGGGCCGCTACTGGACCATCCTGGGTTTCTCCTTGGTCTACTTGGCAGGGGTCCGCACCTTACAACTCACTTCCTGCTTCCATTTGCAGAAATGAATATTTCGTTTGTTCCCAAGCAAATGGAAGCCTGAGTTCCCGAACCTGCCAATCACACTGCCGGGCCAGGCTTTGGCTCAGCTGCTTGCCCAGAAGGCCCTTGTACATTTCCTTTAGCTCAGATTGAATGTTTGCGTCCAAGTCTGACCAAATCCCGGGTTGTTCTATTCCAATCATTCATCCTTGTTTAGGGTTGCGTAATTCTAAGGATTGATTCCCCATTCTCTTGATTCTCTTCACCCATCGTTCGTTCTCTTTAGAAACCACCCATTTTCCCAGGGATCTGGCTTGTTCTTTGAAGAAAAGGATCCCTGCAGAGAATGGCGAAGGTACAGCTAGAGTACTGGGTCCCCTTTCCAGTCACCTTCCCAGAGGATTATGGATTTGGCCAACTCTCCATTAATGGCTCCGGCACCTCACGAGCGCCCGCTTTTCTTTGCGCACCTCCAGACGAGTAAGTGACCGGAAACCGTCTGGGCAAAAAACGCACGTGCCCATGGGAACAAGATACGGAGCCCAAAGGCGAGATAGGGAAGCGAGATAGGTATGACATGGTGGTATAGAAATTGAGGACAGCGTGGAGAAACGAGACTTCAGGAAGTCGGCCTGGTACTAAGAATGAATGAACGAGATAGGGAGGATCCCAGCAAACTGTGTCCAGGAGCGGAAGCAACAAATAAAGGCCGCCGCTCACATGAGAACCATGTCCGATGATTGGCCTCGGGTTTCTCTTTGGGGGCAAGGGGAATGTTGTCCCGCAACCAAGGTGCAAAAGGGCAAAAAGTTTAATTTCTCGAAACCGAAACCAAAAGGAGATGGGGAGTGCTTAATCTTTCCAGACGCCCTAGTCAGCACCCGGCTTATGATCCTTTCCGTACGATTCTGGGGACCCCCTTCGTTCCCCTTTTTCAACAACCCAATTTTCGATTCTTAACCGTCGTGCCCCTTGCCAGCGAACTGACCGCATGCGGCAACTTGTGTTTGTCCAATCTGGGTTGTAAAGCTTTGTGGCTCTGGTTGGTACAGCCCTGCACGGGCTAATCCAAGGCGTTTTTGCAGAACAAGTACAAGCTGTTGTGCTTCCTACTCCAAAGGCTGAATAAGCTGAGCAAGTTGTTTTTCGTGAGGTCAGGACCTTTCGGGATGACATGTGCACTTTGACGAGCTGAGTGTTTAGACATATCCCCCGCAGGTGCACTTCATACTTTTGCAAAAGCAAGGCCCATTACAGCGGGGGTTACAGCGAGGGGGGGGGACGAGTCATGATTCTCATGTCTTCCCTAGGGATCCTTTCTTCCATACCAACCAGGGAAGAGCGCGACTTCCTTTAAAAGTGACTTCGGTTAAAACAAAGGAAGAGGACCCACTCCCCAGCAAATTCCTTCAAAAACACGCATACAGTATTTGGAGGAACAGAGCGGGGTTGAACCCTGTAAGCACTTGCCGGGCGCAAGGTGCTGACTTGCGCGGTGGTGGCCATGCCGTCTTTGCAGCTTGTCATCTTTGGCACCTTTTGGTTGGATTTTAACGGGGCCCTCTCTTTCGCAGTTCTGCCCACTTATGGCAAGCTCACCTGGAAACCTCAGAACAGGAAGCATTGTTTTTCAAGGGTTGTGGCCCCTTTCGGCAGAGTCGCGTCCTTTTCTTGTCACCTTGAAGATCGCAGTGATCGCAGCGTTTGCCTTTCTCTTTATTCTTTATTCGTACCTAGAGTCTCCATGACCCTTCAAAAATGGGGGTCACCCCTTGATTTTGGGCAACGACCAACCATTTTTCAAGGGTGGAGAGTCTAGGTAGTTCAGACAGGTGTGGTTGCCCCGCTAAAAATGGTCCAGGCCCCAAAAAAGGCTTCCCTTTTTCTCCCAGATTCACTGAACTGAGCTGGGGGTTGGCACCCGTCTTCCCTTCCCAAGGCAAGACAAGAGCAGCTACTTGATGGGCATGTTTCTGGTGGCCATCGGCACAGGCCGGAAAGGGGGGGGTTTTGCGCGGCAAAGCTCTCGTTGCCACGCAGTTTGCCAGGGATGTTGGGACTGAACCACTTTTTGCCCACTAAGAGGGGGGGTTTTCCGTTTGAAACCACTAAAAGTTAGCCACTTTAGCAGGGGAGCAGAAAGCAACCGAGCTATCTTCTGCGCCATTCGCACACAGATTGTGCCGTGCTGCGCAGGTGGCATCAAGCCGAATATCTCCAATTTCGGTGCTGATCAGTTCGACTCCAGAAGTGTCTCGACGTGCTGGCCGAGTGGCCCCAAACGTAGGACCCTGCTGACATTTGAGGCCAGAAAATCCGAAAGGGGACGGGCTGGAAGATTTGACAGGAACCACAAAAAAGGAGGACAAAAACAATGCTTTCGTGTGTTTGTGTTATTTGTTTGGCGTGTTTTCGTGTTTTCGTGTGTGTGTGTGTTTTTTTTTTTTGGCCTGGATCGCCGTGTTGGTGTTTTCTTCTTGCGATTCGGGGGCTTGAAAGCTGATACCCCACCGTCCCAAGTTCCATTGGTTCGAAGCCAAGCTTTGTGATCTTGGGTCCAAGTTGGATCTTTTGGATGGCCCTTGAACAGGTTGCTTGGCTAAGTGGCACCCTTTTCCTTTCCCCACTTCCTGAGTTCTTGGACTTCAAGCTTTTTTCGAAGACCATTTCGTGGTAACCAAGGCGTTCATATTTTTTGGCCAGTCCACGCAGGAAGTGAGTTTCCCATTTTCTTCGAAAAGCAAATATCTGCCTTGCTCTCACCCGTTTTTCAACCTTGGGAAGGGTTGCAAGCGGCCGTTCCCTCGGGGAGCGCAGTCCAACAGTCAAGCGTTACGTTGTCTCTTTTTGAGGGTACCCTTTCTTGGTCTCAAGAAAGCCAAGAGGGACATCATGACTTCCATTGGCTTGAAAGAGAATCTATCATTCCTGGAATGTTTTATTTCTTCCCAGGGGTCTTAACCAATTGGTTGAGCTTTGGGCAGGGGAGGAATGTTGAACCACACCTTTTGATGTAATTGGCGTCCGGCTCCGGCCCAGAATCAGGGGCGCTTCTGCCAGGCCCCCAAAGAAACCTGGGGATGGTAAACGAAGGAAACAGAACATGCGGTTGCTTTTCTTGGTTTAGAGCCTGAGACCAGCATGAAGGGAAACGGGGCCGTAGGGGATCACTGTTTTCGGCTGATTAATGCCTGGAAGGTTATTAAACAGGGCTACATTCACATTCGCGCTGGCAGCCAAGAAGAAATGTTTGTTCTCTCAAGCCACGCTTGAGCCAGAGGATTGACATCCTGCACCAGTCCCCAGATGAGGATTGCCAGTAGCAGTTGCACCAGTTGGGATGGATGAGGCACTCACTCCCCAAGTTTTTGGACTTGAAACTTGAGAAGACCATGAATTAATCACAGACTTCTTGTTGGCCAATCCACTCGTTCCGAAGTGAGGAACAAATCTCGCAACCGCAGGAGTTCCTTTCCATTTCGCACCCAGGAATTCCCAGGAGTCGACTGATTCTGTAAATGGCAAAAACAACCCCCAAGGAGTCGATTGATTCTGTAAATGCCAAAAACAACCCCCAAGGAGTCGATTCCCCTGTACCCAAAGAAACGTTATGGTTTCAGCCATGGCTTCAGCCAGCGGCGCGTAAGAAGATTCCGCCGCCCTCCGCATGCAGAGCGCTCGGCCGTCCGCCGAGGTCCCGAGGGCCGGAAGGCGCGGGAGGAGTTTTACACCCACTTCTACATGTCCATCAACCTGGGCGTGCTGTTGGCCAAACTTAATTCGCGGCCCTCTCGTCTTAAAGCGTGATTTGTTTTTTGGACCTTGCAGTTGGTAAGTTATATTTTGTGAGACAGGTCCCACTCCGTGAGTTCTTGGACTTAAGCTTTTTGGGTTCGGACCACTTTAGTGGCAAACAAATTGTTTTCAGACTCTTTTTGGACAAAATCACTCAGGAAGTGAGCTTAGCTTAGTTGGCCGCGCCTTTGTTTCAAAACCGCGAACCAAGCCCGCAAGAAACCCCCGACAGGTGCTGTAAGGGCCGACTTGGGCCTTATGTAGCCGGAATGATGCGCCGACGTCACCACTTTGGACATACGGCTTCCACTAGCGTTGGTTGGGTTTTGATTTGAGAATTTGCCAGTGCCATAGTTTTCCGAAACACCAACAACACTCCCTGTTCCATGTTCGCGTGAGAGTTCCAGGGCGTGAGTCGCCCAGGAGTTCAACTAGGGATCAAACATAATATCTTTATGAGGGCTTCTGGTGGCTTTAAACCTCACCTTCTGGACCAACTTGAACCAAGTTTCCTTTTGGTGGGCTGATGTTCGACGGGAACTTGTAGGAGCCCTGTTGTAGTGCGCAGATGCCATGCACAGACTCTCAAGCCGCCCTTTCAAGGTGGGCAAGGTCTAGTGAGTCTAGTGGTGTCGCCAGTTTGGGCTTGAGGTGTCGAAGCCTACAATTTTGCTAAGAGTCGCGTCATATCGACCTGGGCGGAAGCAACAACTCCGCGCGCGTAAAGTGGCGGAAGCTGGTGGCGTAAGCAAACCCTCCACATGCGTCGCGTAAGGAAAGCCTTCACGCGCGTAAGGCGGCGCAAGCCAGAGGCGTACGCTGAATGATACGACATAGCAAATCATGACACGTTTAGGACGTGGCCCACCTGGTCAGGTCTACTTGGATCCGGGTTCAACGTTACGACATCAAGAGGAGGTTGAAGGAAGAATGCGTGTTTAAACATAGGTTGAAGGAACAAGAAGTGTAAGGAAACAGATGTGTGTAAAAATAGGATAAAGGAACAATCAGTGGAAGGAGAAATAGTGTAGACCCAGGATTAATAAACCCGTCCCATTAGTAAGGGGGTGTTCTCTCCAAAAGTGATGAATCCCCAGTAAAATGGGACACCCCCTATTAATCAACCAGGGGTGTATCAATCCGGGGTTAACATTAGGTGAATCAAACAAGGGCTGGCCCAACAAGGTCTTGGTCTCCTACGGCTTTCTGACCACTCTCTGCTCTAGCGGGCTGCCGCCCTATCTGCCAGCGCGGTATGGGTACGCGGCGGCCTATTCCATCGCCTGCCTGGCGATGCTGGTGGCACTCGTGGTGTTCTTGGGCTATAGCAACTGCTACAGGCCAGAGGCTTAAAACAAGCATGTGTTTGATGGTTCAAGATCGCCCCTAGCTCATTGAAATGGGGGAAAAGGTGGGCTAATTGCATTGCAACATTATTTATTGCAATTTTTGAACCCCCTCCACCCCCTCCCCCCTTAGGGTGAGGCGATGGTTCAAGATAAGACCCAGCTTTCTTGCTGGCTCTGACGGAACCATTTGAGGTGCGGACATGAGCTTGGACTCCCCTTGCGGCCCAAAACTGACCTATGGGACTGCATTTTTCTAGGCAAGGTGCCAGGGTTGGGCCCGAGCTCCCATAGAATTCCCAGGCCTCAGGTCTGGCGGAAGCCAAAAGTGGGGGGGATCCTATGAAACTGAGGTCTCCTCCTCATTTTTGCGAGGGTGAAAATGAAGCAGCCCCTCATTTGAAACCAAATCTTTATTGGTGTACCCCTGGAGGGGTAGGGCCCCACTCGGCTGGGACTCGGCCTCAGGTGTTTGCACCGCCACATGGGCGACGCCCTGCGCGGCGTGGCTTTGCACGTGGTCTCTGCGGCCGTGGGGGGATCCTGGCACGCGCGCTGCATCTGCATCGGCCCTCCGGTGGAAGTTGAGGCGTTCTGCTTCCATGTCTTGGCGAGGCCCAGCCGTCCGCTTCCTTAGGTTTTCGCGTATTTTTAGTTGGCTAAGTTAGACTTTATGTGTGTGAATTGTAGTGGGAGGGTGTTTGGTGGCCAAGTTGAACTTGTGTTTGTGCGTGTGAAGTTTCATGAGTTCCGGACCTTCGGGTCCATGATTTAGGTTGGGGTTCTTTGGGGTGCTTAGCGGTTCGCAAATCCTCCAGTCCCTTAGGTTTTTGTAGGTGTTGTTCGTCGGCTTAGTGGCTGGGTTTCCATACAACCCACCAAGCAGCGACTCACAACCGCCCAGACCCGGGTGCCGAGTGGCTCAGAAAGAAGGATCTTAACCACCCAAAAGGTGGTTGAAAATAAATTGCTTGCATTTGCTGAAAGGAAGATTTGTGATTTTCCCCGGTTTCACTACTGGAAATATGTTTTTTTTTCGAGCTTGTGCAAATGGAGGTTCGGGGTCCTGGTTTGGACCATGTTTCTTGCAAGGGCCTCAGGTTCTAGTGGACCATAGGGTACATCTCCCTTTTCCAATTTCCACACGCAGGTAACTGGGAGGTCAGTCTGCCGTTTGTGGGGACCATGCAGACCCTACAGCCCACTCATGTTTGAAAGCCCCGGTGGGTGAGAACCTTCAATACCCATTGAGCCAGCTAGGCCGCCTAAGTACGGTGTACTGGTTCCTCAGTTGGTGAAAAGGAGAGGGAGACCATGCAGACACGGCAAATGCCATATCATTCTAGGGGTAACTTCCCCATTCTTTCCAGGGATCCTTCTTTTTAGAAAACCACCAAAAACCCTGTCAAGCCCTACAATCATGGTTTACACCCACTTGCGATGGCGATCCAAGTGAGCGAGGCCCACCAACCGCCAGCTAACCACCCTCCCTCCGGCTGGTCGCTGCCAAAAATGGGATCATTACCCACAAGAAAGGGCTCATGACCAACCATTTGGCAAAGAAGGAGTCCGGAAGCTTCTTCTGGTTACGCACAGCCAAACGAATCACTAACCACCGTTTGTTCGTCAGAGACCCCCAGCCCCGTCAGAAGCCCCCAGCCTCCGTCCGAAGCTGCTGGTCACCAAAACGCCGAGGCTGACTACGTCACAAACCACCCAACCCCCTCACCCCCCCCCCGAGGCTGCCCGCTGCTGTTTTTGGGTCTCCTCCTCTCCGTGGCCATCGCCTTGCTGCCCAAAACCGCCGGCCTGGGCCTCTTCGGCGCCTCCGCGGTGCTGCTGGGCCTGCTGCTGGCCACCTACGGCTGCGGCAACACCAAGCGGCCCGGCGTCGGGATCCCCCGTGGGCGGCTGTTTTTTTGCTATATATATATATATACGCTTGCTCCGACATACAAAGCAACTGTCATGGGTTTTTAATTTGTGTTGGCACACGTTAGTGTAATTTGTTTTTTCCCGTCTTGCATTGCCATGTTAGCGTCAAAATATGTTGTTTGTTCAGTTTTGGCACTAACCTGGCAGTTTCCTCAATCAGTATGAATTTCCCAGGGAGTTACCCTTTTCCGGGTTGCCTGTAGACCTGACGTTGGACCTAAAGCGGGGCAAACATGGGCGAAACAACTAGAGTGTCGGTTTGAACATGTCCCCAATAAATACTGGAGTTGGGGTCGGCGGGACATGTGCTCATCTAGAACTTGTTTAGTACTTGTTTAGTATTGGTTAAAGTATTGGCTGATTCTAACTTAGTATTGGGAAATGTGGGGTCTGGGAAAACATTTTGTAGGGGAAGGGTATTAGTCAAATGCTTGGTGAACTGCAGTGAAATTCATAAGAGTTTTTCTTCTTTTGGATCTGAGAGTGTCGAAAATACACTAACAAAGCAAGTGCCTGTGGGATCTGAACTCCTGCAGACTCCTGGGGAATTGGCCTCGTCTTTCATGTCTCCCTGTGACCCATGAAACTTCCACGTTTGTGGGGCTCTTGCCCTGCGTTGCTACGTTAGCAGTTGATTGCACCCTGCATTGCCACGTTTGTTGGTTCCTGAGCACCTGCATTGCTTCGTTAGTTGAACGCAGCGTATATTTGTATATCTATATATATATATGTATATATATATATATATGTATTGTATAGTATTATTATTATTATTAGTAGTAGTAGTAGTAGTATTCGTATTATTATTATAATACATATATATATATATACGTGTTGTTCTTTTCTTGTTTTAACAGGAAGGCGTTTGAGCACAGGTACACTTTTGGGGTTTGAGCAACTTCCATTTCCTGAAAGGATGTTTGTTTGTTTTTTTCCCTTGCTATTTTTAAAAGGGAATCGAGTTCACTGCTGGATTTATTTTTTTGGGGGTCTTAAACAAATGGAAGGTTGTCAAAAGGAAGCCGGTTGAGCAAAGGTATATTTCTCGGGTTTGAACAAGGCATTTGTTTGTTGGGTTGGTTCAAACCACCAATTTTTGCACCTGGGGTTGAGAGAAAAGGCAGGTTTTTGTCCAGGGTTGATACCCTTTTCGGGTTGGTTTGAAGGGAGGGAAAGCTCCTCGCTGTTGAGATTGTATCTTCTTGGAGGGTTTGCAACGCCTTCCTTTTTGGAGATGACTTCCGGGTTTTTGAGGCCCGCCTCCCAGAGTTGGCACATTAATGTTGGCGCCACATTTTGAGGGGTTCTCAAGATTTCTTTTGCGTCCCAGGAGCTTCCCTCTGAGGCATTGTTTTGAGGGTGATGTTGAGGCCAGAAGAAGCCAAGCTCCGCTTTGTACTCCTTTTGGAGTCGTTGTGAACTTACTAGGGTGGTTTTTTTTCCATGTGCATAGCATCCGAAGGAACCCATGTGTGAGAGCCCATTCAACGGGTCATCCCATTCAAGGATGCAACCCCCCCACCCGCCCCCACGAATGCAGAACCCAAGAAGGGTCTCGAAACAACTTGAGATGCCCCTGCAAATTGAGGTTTGAGGTGGGGGGAGGGCATGTGATCTACACGGGATTATCCAGCCTTCACGGGGGGGGGGGGATAAAGGATATGCGTTTAAGGCCTTACCCCTCCCCCCCCTCTACACAGCGCCCCCATAGGCAGGTTTCCACCCCAAGCGCGCTGGGCCCCAAGGGTACATCCCCTCTAGTTGCACATGCAGTTTTTGCGAATCCTGCTAATTCAGCTTCCCTCTAGTTAGGGCTCCTTTACCTTCTATAAGAACCCAGGGTTTAAGTCCCAACCTACAAATCCAAACCACGAACTATCGCTTGGATTTTGGACTTCAACTTTTGGGGAACAGTTGTTTTTTTTCCGTATTGGACCCACCAAAAGTCGTTCACTTTTGCAGAGGGGTCGTGACATCCCAGGTGGGTCCATTTGGCGCAGCGGAACTCCCACGTGACGCGCCAGCAAACGGCGGACTTCTTGCGTGTGATGCCCACACTGGCTGCGGTGAACCTAGCTTTCAACAGCTGCTTGGACGTGACACTGGAGTCTCCATGACCCTTTAAAATTGGGGGCATTACCCAACAGAGAGGGGTCATGGCTCCATTTTTATAGGGTGGAGACTCTAGGTGGCTGCCTGATGCCAAGTCTTCAGGGAAAGGTTTCCTTATCCGAGTGCACACGGACGACCAAAGGATCACCAGGCAACCTTCTAGTTGTAGCACAGTATCAACCCTTCGATACGTTAGATGCGCGGCTCTTGCAACCTCCATTCACAACCCATACCTGGGAATGCCGTTTGGCAGGGTTCCCGCTTTCGAGCTAAGCCGGGCCGTGACCAAACACTAGTGTCCTTTCTGTTTGGTTTGTTTGTGTTGATTCTTTGTGCCATATTCAGTTTCACCATTGTTGCGCGTTGTGAATCCTGTGTCGGTTTGCCTTCTTGTGCCTTGTGGTGTTCGTTTGCCCACGTGTTTGTTGTTCACTGTCCATTCTTTCGTGTTTGCTTGTTCGCTTTTACCTGGGTTCTGATTTCTGGGGCTGCGTTTGCCGCATGTTGAGCGAGGTTTGTACAACTGCTCGGCATTCTGGTTCCAGGACTGCTGTGGGTGAGGGGTCACTTGATCTCAACAACTGGGGTCTTAAATTGCCAAAGTGGGTGTGGCTTGGAGGTTTAAATGCAAACCACCAATTTTGGCGGGCTCCCTTTGAAACAAACCCAGGTCAGGTTAGGGTGATATTATTTTGCTTGACTGGCTGGGCACTGGCCAGTGGCACATGTGCTTTTGTGGTGCACCTTCATCCACAAACGTCAATCAGTGCCAAAGGTTGCAAATCACCGAAACTTTTTCATTCACACCCACCTCACAAGTGGTTGAATCCGCAGCTACATGATGCCCACCAAAAGGTCCATTATCACAATTCACATCCAAACTCTTTGTCGCGGACTGCCTCTAAAGTACCCTGTGCACACCAATGCCTCCCGGACGGGAGATCACCTACCTCTTGTGCAGCGCTCAAGCACTTCCAGTTGGAATCTGGCGCGTGCGTTTCGCGCGTTGCGCATCGTGCGGTGCAGCCCAGGGTTTGGCAAGGGGGACACCGCTTAGGGGATCAATCCTAGGTTTTCCTAAGTTGAGCAAACTTGAGCCTGTGCAACTCACTACCCGAATTCATGAGAATTGACACTTTTGGGGGACGACCAGTTTAGTGGTGAACAATGTGTCCACTTTCTGGCGAGGACACTTAGGAAGTGAGAAGGGCTGCAGTTGGGTGAAAGTAGCTGACACAACCTCGCCATTTAATTAGCTTGTTTCTTCATCCTCTTCCAGTCCTGAAGCTCTTCGCTTGTAACAGGGCCGAGACATCAGCCGCTGGCTATGATAGGAGTCCCGCTACTCGGGGTCCTTTTTTGGGCGGCTTGTCCAACTGGGTTTCACATGGGCACCCGTTTCCCTTTTGACCTCCACACCTGCATATGATTACACAAATACCCACCAGGTGATTCGGCTTGGCACCAACCCCGGTCCGGTGCTTGACACCAGGGATTTCACCATCCCGGTACCTGAACACTAGCGGCCGGAGTCCAAAGTTGCGCGAACCCACTGGTCTTGCTCAGCATATTCAAGGATAGGGGGAGGGAACTGGTTGAGCCACGTAGGCTGCATCCGGGCTGAATACCATCCTGAGGCAATTCGCCAGGAACCCCCCCCCACCCCCTGGCCCCCCCTCCACAGTTGAAGTCTCGTGGCTCTTTCTGTCAACCCCCGGATGTCCAGTATTTTTTGGTTTGTAAGGGCAGGGGAGGCTTCCCTTGAGAATAAAGCAGCCAAAGAAGACAGCTTGGGTGTTCTTTCGGTTTATTTGGGAGTTGGACTTGCCTTCAGGTTTGCCTCACACAAATTGAGGCACTTGCCCCCACATAGTCGGTTCAATCGGCCTTGGTATTCCTAAACAAAAAGCCACCCTCAGAACCAATATGGGTCTTGTTTTTCCTGCTTCAGGGTCGCCTTTGCGGGATTTGAAGGGAAACCAATATGGGTGTGTTTGAAGCACAAAAGACAACACTTCTTGGTTTCAATTTCCTGGTTGGATGGTTTTAAGTTCGATGCCTCCTGGCTTCTCTTTAAAACTACTTAAAACGTCTCCCTCAAAAAAGCGCACGCTTTCCGTTGTCAGGAGCAAGCCTGTCTCATGGACGTGCGCCTCCATGGCCCGCTGCAGCTGAACGGCGCCACGGACTTTGAGAAATAGAGCGCGTAGGTGTCGTTTTTGGTGGTTGTGGTCGAAAATTTGATGGCGATTCCTGGTTTACCTGGTGGTTGAAACATCTACCAGGGCCACCTATTTCCCGAAAAGGACGCCATGATAGAGCGCCTAATAGGGTTTGTTCGGGGCGAATACTGTGGATGGTTGCGAAATCCATTTCGCACCACCTAAGAAACCCTGGTTTCTGATGATGGTGGTCTATGGTTTGAAAGTGGTGCAGGATTTCGTCCATCCACAGTAGGGTTCCGATTGGGGACCTGTTCCAGGGGTTGCCCTGTTTAGTGGGTCTCATTTTGAGAGGTTTCCTTTACACCATGGTTTAAGGAAGGAGCTTGGCCACAAGCCAAACAAGTTTTTTTAGACAGTAGCTGTTAAAAATCATCATTAGAGGTTTGGCGTTTCTGTGCAAGCTTGAAGCTGGTGGCAGGTGTTTGAGAACTCGTTGTGGAAGCCAGCAAAGATCGAACTCAGGATTCCCCAAAACTTTGGCTTTTCGGAACCTGCTGGGGGAGGGAATTGGACCAGTTCTGCTCATCAGGGTCTGTGAGTTTTTGGGAGTTACGGGTTTTCCATGTCTTTGGGTTGGCGGTGAGCCGGGGCGGGGGATGCTGAGCTTTCAGAGGCAGTAGGGCAGCGGGCCCGTGCTAGGTTCTTTCTTCAACGTCGCCGATGGCCTGGCCATTGTGCTCTTCACCCCGCTGCTGCTGAACCATGTGAACCCCTTCCTGGAGCGGAGGCGCGGAAGTGGATCCTGAAACATGGTCAGACTCAGCTGACATCTTTGCCTTTGTGTTTTTTTGGGTTTTCTTCCTCACAAGTCTGGGGTTTTCCTTCTTTGCGTGCTCATCAAGTACGGGGGCTGATCATCTTTTCCTCTTTGATTTCTTTTTGGGGTTCACCAACCAAAAGTTCACTTGTTGCAGAGGGTCTCAGTCTGGAGGAAAGGTGCACGGAAAACGCGCCCTGTTGGTGGTCGAATAGGCCGCTGGCAACCTCGCAGTGGTTGCTGTAGGTCATCAAACAAGCACCCTGAATTTCTGGTCAGAAGGGCACAGAAGCAAAAACACCACTTGCTGGTGCGACAGGTGGGGAATGAGGGACTGAACCTGGGTGTTTTTCCTTGAAGGAAACGAAGGAAACCACCAGCTGGATGGTTTATAGAGGTCGTTCCGTTTCTCATTCCCTGCCTATGGCCCAAGGCATCCCATCGCCCAACCGAAAAGCAATTTATGATGTCGGGCGGCCAAATCCCTGCTGTTCACCATGCGCGCTGTGGTGGGCGGGTTTTTTGACTGGAACCCCGGAGTGATACACGTATGCTCAGTTATTTGTGTCAGAGAGAGGGGGCATATCTATGCATATGTGTACATGATATATATATATATAGATAGATATGTATGTCTACATATACATGTGCATATATCTTTCTCTATATGTACAATGTAAGCGCAAAGTAGCCATGAATACACATTCCCCCTTGGTCCTCCGCTCCTCCCTTGGTCCCCAGTGGATGAAACCTTACCAATCTGCCCTAACTGCGCATCCTCCACTGCGTTTGTTTTTTTGCTGGCGCGTTGTTCGATCGCGTAGATTCGGTACCCAACAAAGGTCGGGTTTCCTCCATGTTCCACTTTGGAACCTCCAAACGTGGCAATCGTTTCAATGGACACCACCAGTAAATAACTTGAAGGGGAAATCGACCGTCAGGTCTCAGATGAACCTCACTGAAGGTCCCTGGAGAATCTCCCCTTGCAAACCCTTGGTGATGTAGGTACTTTGGCCTTTGATTCTGGGGTTGCGAGTACACGAGCCTCACTCGCGGCTTCTGAGAGATCAATTGCCGTTGAGGTAATGGCATGGTACAACCTCCCTTTGGTTCTCGGTCCTTGTTTTCCTGGACTTCGGCACTTTTTCGGAGGACCATCTGAGTGGAAAACCAGCAGTTTCTCTAGGGGTTGATTCCCCATCAACCATCGTTCTTTTCAAAAACCAGCTGTTTTCCCTAGGTTTCCGGAGGCTTTCTAGAAAGAAGGATTTCTGGAAAAAATGGAAATGGAAGGTACCCCTCGAGTTTCCAGCACCTGTCCGCCAATCAGCGGAAAAAAACTGTGGGTTACTTGACTGCTTCTGGGTTGGATCTTTAGACATTAACTTTTGGGTGGAAATCAAGTTGGGTTTTCCACTGAACCCCCAGAAAGTTAAACTGTGTGCAAGGGGCCACATGTTCAGAGGAGTCTGCTTTTGACATAGTGAATACCCCCTATGAATAAACCCCAGTTTCCCCCCCAGCCTCCTATGAATAAACTGGGGATAGAGCCCAAGAGGCTGCGGCTGGGCCGGAACGGCAAGCTGCTGCTGGGCTGCGGCCTGGGCAGCCTGTCGCTGCTTTGGGCGGCACAGCTGGAGGCGCTTTGGCGCTTTGGCGCTTTGGGGCCCGGAGTCAGGTGAGGTCCCCCAGTAGTTCCTGAGCCTTTTAGCTTTTCAGTGCTTGTAGATTCCATTTACCCCACGACCAGTTAAACTTTACTATAGTTCCCCTAGATACCTGACACTTGGTTTTTCCAGTGCCCTTGTCCCCCAGTGGTCTTGGTATCGCGTGGGGTGGAGGGCTCCCTTCAGCTTCAATGGAACGGCTTTTCTAGTAGTGCCCTTGTACCCTTTTTTTCTTTTTTTTGGGGGGGAGGGTTCCCCTACTAAAATAGACTACAGAAAAAAGGTACCCTTACTCTAACCGCTTTTTGGTGGTTGTGCTGGAAAAATAGAGAGCAATTCCGGGTTTACCTGGTGGTTTAATTATTTAGTTACCATGGCCCACTGGGCTTTGAAAATGTCAAAAGGTTTCTAGGTCCCCCAGTGGTGCCCTTGTACCCCTTTTTGGGGGGAGGGTTGCCCTACTAAAATAGACTACAGAAAAAAAACGGCACTCTTATACCGCTCTACTGGAGGACCTAGTGTGTCCAAACATTCTTGTATATTCCAGGGTAGGCGAAATATCAACCACAGTCAGTTAGCCCTACTCTTGTTCTGTGGATCTCCGACTCAGGTCCGGGCCAAGTTGTTTGTGCGTCGACCGATGGAGTTTCGAGCCGAAGGCCGTGCGCCGAGTTGCGCCTTTGCTGCCGGAGAGCTCCTTGTGCGCTCCGGATGGGAACCACATGAGTAGCGCCTGGGCTCGGGAGTTGTGTTTGGTTGCTCGATCGGTCGGTCGGTCGGTCGGTTGGTTGTTGGCCCGTTTGGGAGTTTGTTTGGTTGTGTGTTTGCTGGTGTTGTGAAGTGGTTGGTTGGTTTGTTGGTTGGTTGGTTGGTTGGTTGGTTGGTTGGTTGGTTGGTTGGTTGGCGGGCGGGCGGGCGGGCGGGCGGGCGGGCGGGCGGGTGGGTCGGGTTGGTGGGTTTGGTGGGTTTGGTGGGTTGGTGGGTTGGTGGGTTGGTGGGTTGGTGGGTTGGTGGGTTGGTGGGTTGGTGGGTTGGTGGGTTGGTGGGTTGGTGGGTTGGTGGGTTGGCGGGTTGGTGGGTTGGTGGGTTGGTGGGTTGGTTGTTTGTTTGTTTGTTTGGATGGTTGGTTGGTTGATTGGTTGTTTGCTTGCCTTGAAACAACCCGACAAGGGTCTCCTCAACAAAATGCATGTGCCTTTTTTGAGCGGGGGTGTCCCGTTCAAGATGATCCCATGCGGTTTTCATTCAACTTGCTCTTTTTGAGGCTTGTCCGCCTGGTGGATGGTTGGGCCCTATGCTGTGATGGGCGTGGCAGAGGTCTACGTGCGCCTGGCCAACGTTTGGGGCAAGAGTCGTGAGCAGCGCAGATTGGAATTCGCCCCCAGGGGGCCATTTTGCGGAAGGGGGTTTTACCTGGCTAACACGCTGGTTGGTAAATAGGGGTGTTTTCTGTGAGACGGCATCCTTCAACTTTTCAAAGAGACCCCTCGTAATCTGCAGGGTCAATCTAGGGCCAAGATTCTATAGCGGATTAGATTTGGCCAGCAGAGGAATTCCCCTTGCGTGCGCCCATCCCCACTAAAAGAACTAATCCTGATGATACGAGTTGAGCGGCGGCAAAGTAATTCCCCTCCCGCCATCTCCCACCCAGTTGCACGGAATCCTCTGCTTCTGTTCTTCCTTAGGTTCAGGGGGTGGAAGAGCGCGGCTGCAATATGGCAAGGTTTCCCTTTGGGTAAAGGAAACGAGTTCGCTAGATGAATCCCCGTCCCTTGAGGGACTTGTAAATGAAAAACGATGTCACTGGCTTCAGTGACGGACTTGCCGAGTGGGCCCAGCACCTTTGAACCAGTCTAAGCCACAAAAAATGTCTTGACCTCCCTGTCAATGTTTAGCGTGCTTCATGTCATTGAATGATTCTTAAAGTGGATGCAAAAGAAGAAGTGGTAAGGTGCTTTGTCAACGACCGGCTTGCTCAGTGGCATTGTTGATTGCTTCTTTCATTTTACCCCCTGCTGAAGATCACCGAGGACCAGCCCAAGAAAAGACGGGCCTATTTCCCGCATGGTCAGCAGGCAGCTGTGTCAAGCTCGAGAACCCGCTTGCCCTATGCTCAAACCACAGATTGCCCCCATGGATTTGGCGGTCAGAGTTCTCCACTGGAATTCCGGCGCTGTGGGGAGACTAAAGGCCCGGCCGTGCGGGAAGGGCCATGCGGTTGCTGTGTGGTCGAATGACTTGTGTGGACCAAGGGGGGCCAGCACCTATCAGAGTAAAGCCTTACCGCGCTAGTCAAGGCTTATCCTTGCTGTATCCAGGGATAGCCTCTCTCTGCTCCATAGCCCCCCTTTGAGGTTCATGATTGCAAGTGACTGAGGAACCCCACGCTCTACTACTTGGCCTACTCGCAGTCTCCTTTGAGGCGGTTTGGGGATTTGGGGAGAGGGGGACAGCGGGGCAGGGCTCCAAATGGGCGAAGCACTGTGGAAGCTGCTGGGCAAGCCATTGCCTTTTCTCGCACGCCAACAATCATCGCATCGATTCCGTTGGACTCAGGTTTGCACCGGCTTCCAGCTGCCCAGATTACACGCGAGTTCTCTTTTTTGCGCGTGTCGGTTTCTCACTACAAGTGGTCGGCCCCGAAAAGGGTTCCCTTTCTTACCAGAGGTACTCGGCAGCTCACAGACTGAGGGCCAAACAAGCTCACTCGCTATTAAGGTCCTTTGTTCAGGTATTCCATGATTCAGGCTAGTGAATCAGTGCAGATGCATATCCTTTCCACGTGCACCGTAGATTCGTACCGCAAATGTTGATTCATGTTTGAGTCCTGGTCTCCAGATTTACTGCCACCCAGAGGCCAGCTATGAAGCTTGCTCGCTCGGCTCGTTCAGACCGCGATCTGCTGAATTGTTTTTCAGCAAACCGAGGCCTGGTACGAAGATCGGAAACCACGTGGCTGTCCCCCCCCGCCTGCTCGACACGGGAGTCCCTATAGGTTCCCATTTGGTGGTTTTAAGAATCACCAATTAGTTTCCCCTGCAGTTCAAGCTCCGTTAAAAGAGTAGTTCACTCAATTTGGATGCGGAGAATCCTTAGGCAAATAATGGTTATATGAGCCCGCCATGATTTTAATGATTTAATGATGGCAACTGAACCCCAGGGTTCAGGCGAATGCTGTAACCCGGTTCAACTATGGCCTCGCCTACGAGACGGTTTGCTTTGGAGTGGCGGTTTGCCCCATGGCTGGGGAAACGAGATCTTCCTATGTACCGGCCGGTTCGTGGAGTGTTCTGGCATCCAGGCTGCTGCTCCGTCGACCAATATTTTGTTTTGCGGAACCTCAGCAAACCTGAACCTTGGAAGCCCTCCAATAGACTTAGAGACTTAGATTAAGGGTACCTTTTTTTCTGTAGTCTTTTTTAGGAGGGGAACCCTCCCAAAAAAAAGTTGGTAAAAGGGCACTACTAAAAGACCCGGAATTGGTTCCCTTGAAGCTGAAGGGTACCCTCCACCCCACCCATATCCCAAGCGCCCATCGGAAGTCCCAGGCTGCGCTCCAGCGCTCAAGCGGTGGGCCTGTTGCTTGGCTCAAGGGGGGTGGCCTGCCGGGTGTTCTCGGGATGCGCACATTCGCGTGTTGACGGAGAGTGACGTGAGCAGGTGGCCTGGTCGAGCAGTCGCTTCCCCTTGAAGTGAAAGTCCTGTGGTCATTCCTTTCCCTTTTTAGTGAGTAATTTGTAAAGAGATGCCTCTGTGAATTCGTCAACCGTTGATGAAATCCTGGGTTTGCATTTTCCAAGGTTTTGCCATGTGACACTCCGGAGTTTCCCAGGAAGCCGGGCCAAAGCCATACCCCCAATCGTGGGGGAATGCCCCACATGGTGGACCCCCGCTTTGGAATTAAAAGGGGAAAGAACACCAAAGGTGGACATCCGTTTGGTGCGGATTTTACCATTCCTTCTTTCAGCACTTGCTTCCATTTGCTGAAGCGACAATTCTTTATTTTGCCTTGCTGGTTTTAAAGGACACGATCACTGCTGGTCACATGTTTTCCAAGGGGTAAGCAAATAAAATGGAAGCTTGAGGGTACCACGGGAATCCAGTTTCAGAGTTGAAAAATCCTCAACATGGCGGAGCTCGAATTCCAGGGTACCGCACCCCTTGAGTCGCTAGTGAGCCAGCTCTTGTGACTGCTTTTCGGGTCGTCAGAAACTCAGGTTGCTGCCCTCTAACCTACCACTTGGGGCGTCCCTGATAGCAATAGAATAATGGGGCCAGATGTTCTGAGAGCTCATTACCCTGCCCACTAAAGGTCCCTGGAACATAACTTTCCTCGCTGGGTTCCATGGCAGCGATGGTTGAGGGTTGAACTCAATCAGGACTTCTCCGGCTTTGATTTGTCCTACTGATCCTACTCTGGATGGACGAAATCCTGCACCGCTTCGAAACCACGGCAAGTGCTAGTTTGCTGGCATTTTGCAGGGGAGTCAAATCATTCCAGGCTGCTTTGGTGGAGCGAAATGGATTCCATCCATCCACAGTATGTTTGCCAGGGGGTCTCTTTTTTTGGGGATCCCGAGACAGGTACCCAAGCAGATGCAATCCCAAGACGCCTCTTTGTTCATGCTTGGTGTTTCTTTTTTGGTTATTCCGTCGGTTTCTCCATGACCGAAAATTTGAAAAATGGGGTCATTACCAGAAAATTAAGGGGTCATGACCTAGCCCATTTTTGAGGGGTCAGAAGGAGACTCCAGGTTCTGTTGGTTTCCCTCTACAGCCCCCCAATCCCGTTGGTACAGAAAAAGGTCCAGAGCCGTCAAGAGCGAGCCCGGCTTTAGAGCCTCCATTGAGACCTGGAGGTGGCCTTCCTGTCAAATAACCCCATGAGTTTCAGCTTAAGCGGAAAGGATGTACTTCCACAGCGGGGCTAACCGATTTGGATTTTGAGCCATGGCTAAATTCCAGAAGAAAAAAAGCAGGGCTCCTTAAGAGATGCAAATTTTGCAGCCATTTGAAACATGTTGCTTTTTCAACACGTTTGAAAAAAGGGAAACCACCATTTACAAGTTGCAATGTTCAGGTGTTATAATGTAAGGATCCCTGTTCCAGACTCAATCCTGAGATACTCCAGGGGGACGGGCCAGCAGCGGGGTGTTGGACAAGGAATCAACCCATGTTACATCCCATGGTATCTCCTTGGGTACCGAGTTCACATGTGACCCACCCTGGTTGTGTGTGTGTGTGTGTTTTGCTCCTTTTTTTGGGGGGGGGAATTGAATGGCGCCTAACATAGAACTCAACCCTAGGGCAGTCAGAGAAAGATGTGCACCACCCTGGCCAAACATCTCGGCACGTTGAGAACAGCTGTGGGGGGAACACGAGCTCACCGAGCTGACTCCGCCTAGATACCCCAGGTTCAGCTCGGCCAACAAACACTTGACTGCTATTGAGTTAGATCTTTAGACTTTAGCTTTTTGCGGGGGGGTCAACAGCAACCAAGAACACATGTTCAGAAGAGTCTGCTTTTGATGTAGCCCGTTGGGAAACCATGGGGGCAGAGCCTAAGCCGACGCCAGCGATAGGTTGATGAGCGCCACCTCCAGCGCGCTCTTCACCATCCTCACCGCCATCCTGGACTCTCACAACCTAGAGCTGGAGGTGCTAGTGACAAGTTTCTTTTTCCAGCAAAAGGCTGCCCGTTTTAACAACCCTTTGTTGGGGAAGGGAGGGTTCCCCTACCAAAATAGATAAACCAGAAAGAATGGGTACCCTTATTCTAACCTCTCTACTGGAGGACCTAGTTCCTGCTCGCTGGTTAGAATGTGTGCATGTTTCTTCCTGCCAGGGGCAAACACTGGTCCGTTGGTGCAGTTGCTTTGTCTCACTCCCCAAAAAAGCAGGCTGTACTTCAAGTCACTTTGCCTGAATTCCATGTTTATAGCAGACAAAAGCTTCAACCTTGTTTGGCTGACGCAGGAGATTTTGGGGGGGGTCCATGACACTTTGGGATCTCGGTTGAGCTGCTTTTGCATTTGCTTCTTGAACGAGGACCAAAATCAAAATGCTTTGTGGTTGAGGGTACGTTTGCGGAACTTGGAACTTCTTGTTGCTCCGCGTGTTGCTTATCAGGTGCGCCAGTGGTTTGGTTTGCCCATTTTGGCGGGCCGTGTGGGGTTCAAGAACCAGCGTTCATGTTTTTGTAAAGGTCCAACTAGTTTAAACAGGCTGGCTGCACTTCATTCTTGTCCCCTTTTTCAGAAGTTGAAGGTGGGGTACGCGTGGCTACAAGATCAGTTGCTTGCACCCTTTAAAGTTTAGATGAGCGCATGCTTAAGCAACTCTGGCTTGAATGTTTAACAAGTGGCCCTTATGAAGTGCAGGCGCTAACCAAAAACATGCAAGCCACCGAGTCTACTGCTGGCTTTGGGGAAGACATGGGACGCCAAAGTATCGACAGAAGGCAGGGGGGACATCCTATTTAAAGAGTTGCTCCGACTGAGGCAATGACCAAGGGACTAAGGCTGCATCCTGCAGTTGCCCTTGGCCAGTGGCCACATCTCTATCTTTGTGGCAGGGTCATTGGAAAACCCCTTGGCTGATGTGTGGAAAAGGGGCCGTATCCCCAATAAAGACCCGCTGTCCCAAACGTGTTCCCTTTGCGCGTACATGAGAAAGAGTGTACGAAGACTGACCGGGGCCCGCCCTTTTGTCCAGTGGCAGATGGGTATTGAAAGAAGCAGAAGGCCTCTGCCAAAAAAAAGGTGCCAAGTCTTCCATCTTGGGGGTCCGTTCGGTCCACGGCTCCCACACAAACCGATGCAATTGGAACAAAGTCTTCCATTTCGGGGTCCGTTCGGTCCACGAAATCGTTTGGAGGGTAATGCTGACCCCTTGTGCCAGAGATTCGGTGCAGGTTGGGTACTACGCGTCTCTGGCCATGATGGTCCCCTTTCTTTGCTACCCGGCAGAACTTACCCGCCCCTTGCTGTTGCACAACAGTGTTCCTTTGGCCGAGCCGGAGGAATTCCGAACGATGTAGACAAGCTGTTTCGTAATTGCCTGTGTATACATATATATATATATGCTACCTCCCTCCAAAACCCAGGTTTTGAACCTGGACAATTGCTAAAATCACTAGAACAAATGATACTTTTGAGAAACATGTGTATTTTCGCCTCTGCGAAACGCATATGTTTCAAGTTCAAGCAGTATGTTGGTAAGTTCAATTAGTTAGTCAAACAAACAGTCAGCAAGTCAGCTAATTGTTCAGTTAAATAGTTGTAATGAATTAGCTCCAAAGCCAGTTAGCTAGTTAATTGGCTAATGAGTTAGTTATCTATTTAGCTGCCTAGTTAGTTAGACAATGCTGAAGGTATTCCCCTAATATTCCCCTTCCTTTACTCGTGAAGTATTTTGGGGAACACTAGGGGGGTAGTGAGGAAACACTAGGGGAATTACCAGGAGAATACTCAAGGAATACTAGGGCAATACTAGGGGAATACTAGGGCAATACTAGGGGAATACTAGGGAATACTAGGGCAATATTAAAGGTGAATACTAGGATAATACGTGGGAATACTGAGGGAATACTAGGGGTATACTCTCAAGCTCAATCGGTTTGACTTCTCTCAGGCTTCCTGACTAGGGCAATACTAGGGCACTACTAGGGAAGGACTGGGGGAATACTAAAGGTGAATACTGGAAGAATTCTAGGAGAATACTAATACTAGGGGTATACCAAGAGAATACTTAAGGAATACCAGAGCAATACTAAAGGTATTCCCCCAGTAATTTTTATCCCGTCACTAGGGGAAATAGCAAGGGAATACTATGGGGTAGGAAATACTAGGGGTATACCAAGAGACCACTAAATTATCTGAATACTAGGGCAATAATAGGGAAATACTAGGGCAATCATAGGGCAATACTAAGGACATACCCAGGGAATGCTAGTGTAATATTAAAGGTGAACACTAGGAGAATACTAGGGGGAATTCTGAAGGAATTCTGGGGGTATACCAAGATAATATTTAAGGAATACCAGGGATATACTAAAGGTATTCCCCTGGTAATTCCATCCCTTCACTAGGGGAAATAGCAAGGGAATACTATGGGGTAGTGAGGAAATACTAGGGGTATACCAAGAGACTACTACATAAACAGAGTACTAGGGTAACAATAGGGGAATGCTAGGGCAAGCATAGGGCAATACTATGGAAATACTCAAAAAATACTAGGGGAATATTGAAGGTGAACACTAGGAGAATACTAGGGGGAATTCTGAGGGAAGGGTATACCAAGATAATATTTAAGGAATACTAGGGCAATACTGAAGATATTCCCCTACTGTTCCCCTTCCTTTACTAGGAAATACTCGGGGCATACTAAGAGGATGCTAAAATAATACTAGGGTAATACTAGGGAAATACTCCAGGAAGACTAGGGGAATACTAAAGGAGCATACTAGGAGAATGCTAAGGGAATGCTGAGGGAATACGAGGGGTATATCTGTAATAAAGGTGAAGACTAGGGGAAAACTGAACAAACAAATGAAAAAAACTGAAACAACAACTGCAAACAAACCATTGAAAAACGAAGGATTCAGGGGGACATGCCCCCCCCAGGCATGTCCCCCTGAATCCTTGGTTTTTTAGTTGTGTTTATTTTTTCTTTTTTTTCTCGGTTTTATTCAGTTTCCAGAGCGCTTCCTTGAAGAGATGCCCTTGCGCAGTCATAGTGCTTGGTTGCTCAGACTATACCAGGGGAATAAAACAAAAATAATACTGGAAGAAAACTGAAAAAAACTGGGAAAAAAGAAAAAACTAAATGCACTGAAAAACCCCCATGTCCTCCTGAATCCTTGGTTTTCCGTTGTTTTTCTTTTTTTCAGTTGTTGTAGTTTGTTCAGTTTCTTTTCAGTTTTTTCAGTTTCCAAAGCTCTTCCTTGAAGAGATGCTCTTACGCAATCATAGTTCTTGGTTGCAGCATTGGCTGCCAAATCTGGCAGAGGCAGGTTTTAGTGACAAAGCACTGTAAATACCAGTGTTTTCTCACAACACCTTTTTCTTGTTGTTTTTGTTTTTTGGGGGGGCATATATATATATATATGCATTTATTCGTAAATATATTTATATATATATATATGTACATAAATGATCCCATAGCCTTATGTGGATATGTGCGAATTGTGTGTGTGTGTGTCATGTGCTTGGGATAATTTGCTTAGCAGTTGCTGTTGTTGTTTGTTTGGTTCAGTATTGCCGCAGGATTCTTTGCGGCAACTAGGGTGGCTGGAATCGCACAACAAAGAGCAAGCCTTCAAAGAGACGAATTGGGAATGGTCCCAATTCAGCGGCTTCGGGTTCACGTTGGGACTCGCTTCGGGTTCACGTTGGCCCGCTTTTTGAATGCCCAGGACGGGGAGCATTTGAACCTCATGGTGGCTTGTGAAGTAGTCCCCGCTTCAGAAGCCAACATTTGCACTTCAGGCAACAAACAATACCGCGCGAGTCAGCAAAAGAGTTAGCAAACCACTTTGCCCAATTCACTATCCAGCAGCCAGACTTGCTTGCACCTCAGCGACCGCACCTCGATTCAGCAGCCAACTTTCCTGGCATTTCCTGGCTGCATCTCGGGTTACTTTCAATTTGAGTGGGGGCCAACACGCAATTTAGCTCTTGGTGTCATGTTCCCTTCGGGCAAGCAACGCACCGGACTTCACAAGGCACGTTGGTAATAGGAAGTGATGGCTTTACTTTAGCGAACTCCTCATGCTTGGAGTTTTTTGGTTGCTCCTACGGTTCTGACTGGCTTTCAAGTACCGCAGCCTGACGATTTAGGACCTTCCAGTATGTCACGACCTTGAACATATCAGACGGGTTTCCTTGGGTTTCCTTTGGACAGGGGCAGACCATTTTTGCGCATCAGACCGCTACTCATGGCTTGTGCGTGCTTTCTTCCTGGGCCGGCTTCCAAGGGTGTTCGCACTACACCCTGGAATTGCACCCACAGGGAAATTCCTCGAATTTGTGAAATAAATCTTTGCTATTGTGGCCCGTAGTGGGTCATTTCCCGAGGGCGTACTCCAAGTTGTTGTTCAACAGCCTTTAGGTCGGGCTCCTGGTCAACCAGACAGCGCCGAAGCCGCCGAAAGTCGGAAGTCGGCTGTCGCCCGCTATTGAAGTCATTTGGGTCGGTTCTACATCCTGGTTTTTATGGGGGTCATAGTGTCACGGCCTTAAAAATCCTGGAACCAGAAGTTCCATTTCGGCTCAAACGGCAAGGCTGGTATCTCGCTGTGCAATCTGGCTGGGAAGAGCGACATTTCGACGAGGAGGCGGAATCCGAGCCCGAGGCCAGCCGATTTGCGGGGGAAAAGCACCAGACTTGCCTGCTATTGGGTTGGATCTTTAGACTTTATTAGACGTTATATATTTTTTGAAATCAAGTTGGGTGTTCCACTAAACCCCAAAAAGTGTCCACTGCTTGCAGGGGGGACAACGGCAACCAAGAAGATGAAACACTATGTGTCCCCAATTGTGTCGGATCTTCCTCTTGGTGGGGTGGTGTTTGAAGAGGGGAAAAATATAGGGAGCCCTGGATTTTGGGGTGTGGACTGGGGATTGAGCCCGGAGTTCTTGAGGGAAAGTGGACACCACTCTATCGACACCTAACCACCAAACCACCAATCCAAACCACCAAACCACCAACAAGAAGGAAGCTAAAACTCATGTTTGGGACTTTACCTTTGCGCCCCTCGGTTTGAGTTGTGGTCCTGTGGTTGGTCACCCCCTGGGCTGGGTCAGAGAAACCAGACAGCGACAGACAGGCAGGCAGGCAGGCAGGCAGGGCAGGCAGGGAGCAAGGGAACCCGCACAACTTGATCATTTGTTCAAAGTTCGAAGGTTTAAGCATCAAGTTTAGGTGTTCCTCCAAGCATCCTGGAAGCTAACAGTTTGAAGGGTCCGTCTTTCCGACCGTTACCACACTGTTCGGTTCGATTTGCGGAGTTTCCAAGCCCTAAAAATCAAAAAGGGGCCAACTAGTTGTATTTTTGTTGGTTCCAGGTTTCGTGGAATGCAGGTGACAGGCAGCTGAAAAGGAGGGGGAAACGAATTGTGAACCTTGAAGGGCCACTATCTGCAATAGAGTTGCCCGATCTCGGGGCGGATCCCAGTGCATCCCAGCCACAAGTATGTGGAACCAGCAATGTTCCATTTGGTTTTAAAGGGGCCCTTGGTTCTCTGGGGCCCTTGGTATCCCGCAAAAAGCTTCCGCAAGTCCGCTTCCGACTTCCCAAAGGGCTCTGGGAAGCTTTCATGGACGCCTTGTTGCGGCCCAAAGAATCAAGGAGCACGAATCCCACGAAACCTGAAGAGTTGGCGTGCAACTCCGCATATTTGGCGGGAAACATGCAACATGGGCACGGTGCTTTCGCAGGTGGCGCAAGTTGAACGTAGACATTCCTTTCAGTGTATGCATGGGTGTTGTTGGGAAACATTTTACATTTTTGCGTATTGTGGTTTAGTGGGAAATCCCCACCCAACTGCTAATATTTTAACTTTTCCTCCCCTTCCAACGTCAACCAAGTATGGATGAACCTCCCTTGGGATGGAAATGAAGATCCATTTCCAGCTAATAGGTGTTCAAAAGGCAGTTCCTTTGACGCAGGTCCCATGTCAGCTCAACAAGCCTGTGGCTTACTCCCGGACAGGCCTGGTCAGAGAGCGGTGGAAGAGCAAAATAGGCCTCCCCCCTTTTTCCAGGAGTTGCCTTTTTTGAAACCTCCGTGGCAGTTTCAAGAGAAACCACCCGTCAATTGAAACTATTGAAGGGGACATCTGAATTGATGCAGACATATCTTGCCGTTGTGTGCACAAAGGGGCAGGCGGAGTGACCGTTTGGGTCACGGGGACACTGGGCAACTCCCGCGACCTGTTTACTTGACCCCTAGGAGTGCCTCGGTCCAAACGGAAGTGTGCGTTTGTGTTTGAGGGCGCCCTGGTCAGGTCGGCTTCCCAAATGCATGTCAGAAAGAAACACCATGCCCAAATCCGATTTTGACAGACCAAACCCCCAAACCTATCCAATATGTTGCTTTTTCCACGCCAACATAAACAAATGGAAACCACCATTTACAAGTTGCAATGTTCAGGTGTATAACGTAAGGATCCCTGTTCACTTGAAAGTCCCGGGGTTCCCCTTGCGCCTGAGGAGTTGATGGCTCACTGCGATAGGAGGAAGGGACACACACACACACACACCTGCAGGCATGCTGCGAGACTTTGCCTCGCCTCAGAGCGTGGGAGGGAGCCCGGCCAGCTGGGTGGACCATAGCGGCTGGAAAAAAGAACGGGACGCATCCCCACCCCAGAAAAATGGAATTGGGGAGGGGGGTGACCTCTGGAGATCTCCATTTATGGTTCTTATGGTTGCATTTTCCCTATGGGGAAGACTAGACAAATGGAACTGGGGGCCGGTCCCCACCCCCCTCCTCCTGAAGGTAGGGGGATATGACGCGAAGCCGACGCCTTGGACGGTGTTGCCGCCCTCTCTGAGCCCATTGTGCGGCCCAATTCCATATTTTGAGGCACACCCAAGCCACAGAAAAGTTTCGGGCCCTTGATTTGAGGCACTACCCAAGTCACCTTAGAAAAGCTTCCAGGCGATTTGGAGCGCCTGGAAAACATGTTTTGGGGGATGTATAATTTAAGTTAACTTCCATTTGCTGAAGGGATCTTGTTTAATATGCTGTCCTGGTTTGTAATGGGAATCTATCACTGGACGTATGGCCGGGGCAAATGAAAGTATACGGTTTTGAAAAATGGTTTGGGGACAAAATGGATGATTCTCCTTGGCACCGCCCCTAAGGCTACCCCAAAAGGCAGGGTGACGGACAAGCGGCTTGGGGACTGTCTTTGGTACCAATCTGAAAAGTTGCGTAGCTGTAAGGCTGGCCTATGTTTGGCGTCACAGAAATTTTCATGTTCCTCCCACGCCCTTGCAAAACTATTCCAAGCCCATCTATTTTCAACCAACAAGTGACTCACCCCCGAGTTGCTGCAAATCACATATTTGTTTTGGAAGATGACTTTAGTGGCAAACAAGAGTCTATCCACTCAAGGAGAGATGTTCAAATTCAACCCCGCCTTTCTTGGACATCGAGGGTGGTCACACCCTGGAGAAAGGTGCGCGCAGGGTTGTTTGCAATTCATCCCTGCCAGATGGCAGTAGTTTCCTTTGCTCAATTGCCCACAGTGAATCGACCTGATCTGACCTGTCGGTTTTTCGCCCGCGACCATTTTTCCTGAACTGACCTATTGGGCAACGGATCTTTAGACTTTTTAACTTTTGGTTGAAATCAAGTGGGGTTTTCCACTCAACCCCCCAAAAAGTGATTCACTTTTTGCAGGGTCGTTGCAGCAACCAATTTTGTGGCCCCTCTAAGTGGCTTTTTTGTGAGTTGTGGTGCCCCGCGGTTTGAGGTTCGGGATCCCGTGCAGATTCAGCCCCGTTTGTTTTGGGGCGCGCTTCACTTTGCCCCAGAATTGGGACATTCCTCTCCCGAAAGAGCGATAAAGCAGCGGAGTCCTTATCTCAGCTTCCAACTGGCAATTGGTGGTTGAAGAAATGGTAGGGGCTTCGGCGGTTCTTGCGTCCTCCGTGGGGGTTTTTGGCGCCTACGAAAGGAGGGCGGGAGCCTTGGCGAGGTTTGGGGTGCAGGCGGGGGATTGTTGCAACCCAGAGCACACATGAGGAGAAAGAGTCTGACCACCTTTCCTTTGAGTTGTCAAACGCCTTTTTCCTCAAACCGGATTCTTTCCGCGAATCCCAATGGTTGTTGACCGCAGTTTCTACTAAGAGGCCGGTTTGGCGATAGATTTGGCACTTGCCGTTCCCCAAAACCGGAGGTGTGGTTGGCCCACAAGGGAGCTGCCAAACAGAGAAACCTTACTTGCCGGTGTGATAGGCAGGGAATGAGTTGGAATGAGGGAATGAGATAATAAACCATCGAACTGGTGACTGGTGGTTGCCTTCAAGGGGACCCCTGGGTTCATCCCCACATTCCCTACTGAGCACCAGCAGCTTATTTGCCCCAAAGACATGTTTTGAAATCAACTACTGTTATCACCCGATCTCGCCCCCACATGCCACACGTCCAGGAATGGACAAAACACCCAAAACATATCAAACAAACAGCAATCCGAACACCGCAATGCCAACTTGGCAAGACTCGCAAAACAAACAGCCTTGAACTCGATCCCCCACTTGAGTTTCAGGCTGAGTCTGGAGCCGTTTTGCTTCTGAGTTTTGTTTGAGTTCCTTCCGAGTTGAAGGCTTGTTGTTTGTCCGTGTGACCATGGTGTTTCCTGTGTTTGCCTTTCGGGCTGCATCTGAGGCCCGCTCTCCAGCGAAGCGCCACTTGGAAATGATGGAACTCAGGGCATTTTCAGCTGGAGGTGCAGAGGTTATATGCCACTCGTATAAAAGGGACTGATTTCAGGGGTATGTAACCTCGACGCATCTAAGTAACCCACCTCAAGACGAACTTGAACTGACAATGAAGATCTGTTTGTGCTAATATGCTGTAGGTGCCCCTGAACATCGGTGGGTGCCTGTTTCGTTGCCTTGCTGAGTCAAGACCCTCTGGATGCAACGGCAGACAGAGAGAGAGAGAGAGAGAGAGATAAATGAAGATCTGTTACTCTACCAGGATGTCCCTTGTTTCCCGGTGAGTCGTAGAGTGTGTGCATGCTCAGCAGGGCTCCTTAAAAGATACGAACGTTGCATCCATTTGAAACATGTGGCTTTTTCCACACCAAAATGCCCATGTGAAACATGGGCATTTTTCCACTAAAATAAAGGGAACAAGTTGCAATGTTCGATCGGTGTTTTTTTCATGCATGTAAGGATCCCTGCTCAGCAGCCTCCAGGAGTAGCCTTCGCACCTTTTAAACAGAGGGGTAAGCCAAGAGGGGCCGAGGGAGTGTCGTGAGAGAAGTTTTCCTTCCTTGGAGCCCATTTTAGTGGAGAGGAGATGAGAGGAGCATAGGTGAAATTTATTCGCTTGTTCAAAGCCAAACATACATGTGTCAAGCTTTTACTTAGAGCCTTTACTTAACGTGGTGACTGAAACCCAAAGCCGGTCCGGGAAGGCCAAAAGGAGACGGGTCGTTTTTTGGAAGGATGCGACACCGGCAGTTTGGTTCCTCGGTACGTCCTTTAACCTTTGAACCATGTTAAAGGCACACACCCGATCTGTGAACCTAATCTGTGTTGTCTTATTTGTGAACCAAGTTTGAGGGTCACGGTTCCCAACTATCAACGAATCGTACTTGGAATGATATGATCAACTTACCAAACTACCAATATTCTAGGGCTAGTTTGGGGAGATCTGGAAAGAGGGCCCGCCCAAATTTCCCACAAAAGCCAGGAGTGATTCTAGCGGAAGAGGTAAGGATTGGGGAATGCTGCGATTGGGCAAGATGTTGGGGACTATCGGGGAAGATGTATAATGAGTATACAGCGAGGGTATTGGCCCACTCCTTCCCCCTCTCTCCATGTGCTAAGCGGCAGAAAATCTTCTTAGTCACCCTGAAGGAAACCAAAGATGCCGATCGGCATTTCCGGTCCCTGTGTGTTGGCACCCGGTTTGCTTCAGCAAGTTGAGCGCACTCAGGAGCGCTGCGCAGAACTTCGGAGACAATGAGAGAGACTCGCACGAAGGGAAGCATGAAATGACTGATGATTTGGTGGGGACCGTAAAGGAATTTGCCAATGTTCATGGGTTGCAAAGCCCATGTAGAGACAAACCCATATTGAGTCAAATCCTTTTTGCAGGGCTTCTGGTACAACTTGATTGAAACAGACATCGGGTAGAATTGACAGCAAGGGACCAAGTGAATCTTGTGCCAGTGCCAGACGGCCTTGTGCAAGCTTGCTTTGGGTTGTTGAACTAATGTCCTACATCTTGTTTGCCGTTTTGGATAGGGCCCTTCGGTCCAGTCCAGCCAAGCATTTCTGAAAAAATATATGGTTGTTCTTTCTTGGCTAGTTGCTTGATCTTTGGAGTTCGCGCATGTTGTTTCATATCTAGTCTTATAGTCATGGGTTTGTACTGTTCTTCCTGGGAAACGCAGCAAGTTGACCGTTGACATCCAAGTTGGTTGGTTGCAGGTGCTTTGCTTGATTGCAGAGAGCCCTGCATCATGCAAACCGACCAGCTCTCTTGGGGATCCCAACGCTGGCACTGCTGTTTGCGACCCACTGGATAGTCAACAAATTTTGGCAAACTCACGAAGAGGGCTTGACGAAGGTGCGGTTCGCGAGGAGCCCATCTTCGGCTTGTTGCGTAAGGAGCCCATACTCGGGTCGTTGGGCAAGGAGCCCATCTTCGGGCCTCTTTTGGGAAGGAGCCATCACGTGAGGGTTTTGTGCGTGCTGCACCAGAGCTGTCAACCAACTGTGGCAAGCGGATCTTACTCCAAGGGTTGGAATTAGCAGGCCTCGTGCAGCCAGAAGTTGCAGAAGTTGCCAACCCAGGGCTGAAGTGAGAACTCCCACTGGTGCCAAAAGTTGCAAAAGTGACACCGGACTGTGATACCTGACGACTCCCACTTCACATCAACTTTTCTTGCAGTGCTTGGGAGCTGCTTGTGATGGCAGTAGTCATGCCCCATGAATGGTCGCAGTTTTATTGGACTTCTGGGGAATCTTGTTTCAATTGGAGTCTTGGATATTTGATGTGGTTGGTTTACCATGAGAGTTTCCAGTGTTTCACCATGCGCGGTGTTGAATCTGTGTCGATGGCTGCTACATACTCTGAATGTCCGCCCTCCCATGCCAAACGCACAAGGGAGACGTTTGCCTCTTGCCGAGTTGGGGAGTCACACAAGTCGTAAGATTGAATCGGCAAGCAGCCTTCAAACTGCATGCTTCGTGGCATTGTTTTTGCTCGTTTGATGTGCCCGGGCGGATCTTGTTTTTTTGGCTTTCGTGCCATCTACCCAAACACATACGTCCGAATTGTGCCATCTATCTGCCGGGTAGTGTACATTAAAAAAAATAAAAATGCATACATGACCTCCTGGAAAAGACCCCAGAGCGGCTCCATGGTATTGATGTTGCGAGGCGAGGCTCCTGGTGAGCCATGCGACTTCGTGCTAGTATCCGGCTAGGCGAGCAGCGGAGCCCTCTGCAACGTTCCAGAGCAGTACCCCTTCAAGTAATATTCTCCCACCACGGAGCCCACCTGGAATGGCCCAGGACACTCCGGGTTCATGTGCACGGAAGCTGGGACCAGTGAAATATCAGTGTTCCTTCTGCTTTGCTTTGGAGGTATCCTACCGGAATGTGGAAGCAGTAGCATCTTATCTCGCGTTGAGAGAACTTAGCTTACCTCGTTCAACTGTTGGCCTTCTTGTGTTGTTTTTATTTTCCTCGTCCTCACACTGCCAAAGCCGTTGATCTTTTTGCGGGTCTGATCAGTCTGGCGGTTTGCCAACAGTGAAGCAAATGAAGAAAACGCGGGTTGTGTTTGGGGCTGACTCCAGCCACGCAAGTCCCCGCTAATCTGCGGGGCACATCAATGCAAGGCCGACTTCCAGGGTTGCTCCAAATGGGCCAACCTTTGGGTAGAAAGTTAGGTCCGTTGAACGGGTCTGTCTTTTCTTGACCCTTTTTGAAGGCTGAGGAGGGAAACCAAATGGAAAACCGCAACTTTTGGAATCACAAAAACGGCACACACGAGCTTTGGAGCACCCCTAAGGGCTCCTCCCGCAAGTGATCTACTGTTTCGCCATGGGCAGCTGGCGTTTCCAAGCTGCGAGATCCCGGGCAGCTCGGGCACTCGTTGGTTTGTTAAGCTTTGCGTGCAGTTGAACCCCCGCTGATTCCTTCTTACGGTATATTCAGGCGCCTTGTTTGGAGGAAACCAAGGAAGACGGGTTCGGGTAGGGGTTGTAATTCAAACCTGTCTTAGCTATTAGCCTTTATTTGACTAGAACCAGGAGTCAGTGGGTCTCGGGTGCTATGTTTTCACATGCACAAAGCGAAAAAGGGCGCTGCTCTTCCCAGAAGGAACCTCAACAGCGGGTCCCGTGTCGCCATAATTTCGCAGGATAATGTAAGACTTGTTGGTCGGTACGTGTTTTTGTTCAGGCTAGAGCCTGCATGAAATGGGGTGCATTACGTCAAACCTCAGAGTTTCTCTCAGTTCATAAGTTCCTTTTCTTGCTGCGCAGTCTGGAATCAGGGTATGAACCTGGAGATTCCCTGAAAGGAAGCCACCAATTGGATAGTTAGCAGGGTTTGTTCCCTGGCACCAGCAAGTTCTGGGGTCCAATGGGACCCTTTCCTTTTGAGCAATGGGATCTCCTTGGCGCAAAGCCCGCCGCGCGAGTCGGATCGGATCGATCTGTCGCAAAAGAAGACGCGATCGGAGTGACTCATTGATTTGGGGAACAAAGGGTCTAATCTGCGTAACCCCAGCTGTGTAATTCTGAGGCACACCCAATTCCACTTTGTACTTCTTGAGAACGTGATTTGAGTGGTTCCAAGGGGACTTGTTGGGTGAGTGATGGGAGATGGGAGTGCGACTGCAACCTTGGGAAAACATGAAATAAGCCAAATATGTGTTTCGTTTGGGGATGGAGGGTGGTTCGGGGCCCCAACCTACCTCGGCTTTTGCCCTTGAACAGATTCTGTTTAATTCTGACCCTTTGCAAATGACAAGATTTTGGGAAATCCTGCAGGTCGATTCGGGTCGATTCGCTTGGGCCTGAAGGGACTCATCTGAGGGTGACTGAAAGGTCGCTTCTAAGGTGCGCTCAGGTAAGCGGGCTCAATCTCTTGCATTCTTAGGGCTTTTTGGGTAGGTTCTCCTACGCCTGAGAAGCCACCCTTGGCAACGGCATGTTTCCCCAGCCCGGAACCTGTACAAAACCTGGCTGGAATATTTCGGAACCTGAAGTGGATTCCGGGCCGTCCCAAATACCAATCCAGGATTGGGTTGTTGAGAGAAAACGGATTGTTGTGCCGTCCTTTGTTTTTGCCGTTGTTGGATGAGTCCGACCCAAACAAAGACTGTCACAAGAGCAAGTGACAATTATTCCTGTTCGTCTACCCAACATGTCCCACTCAAAAAGCAGGGCTCGTTCCCCGGTCTGGCCTGGCGGGCCTCGTGGCGCAAATTTGGCCCCCGGGCATCGGTGCAGGTCCTCGACACCATCAAGACACATGTGGAGGAGCCTGCCCGGATCTCCAGCCTTTGTCAGCAATCCCGCGAGAGGAGTTGAGGTTAAGGAAGCCAGGCGCGACAAGCACACGCCATGTTTGCAACCTCATCCCGTTTCCGGGTTACATCACTTTTAAGCAAAACCTAGACTGAGAGCGGCTTTTTTGTGCGGGTTTCTGCTTCTTGTTTTTGAGTGAGTGGGTTTTCCTGGAACATTAAGCACCAAAAATGGCGCGCCTAGCCCTCATTTCTTGTTGTAGTAAACGGCAACTTCATGGGCGTCCATTGAACATCAACCACCACACAAAAGGAGCTGGCGTACTTTTTCTGGTTGAGTGAGAGATGCGCCTTCTTCCAGTGAAAGTTCGCTGGACAAGTTTCGAATACAACGGACAAAACCTGTAAGTTGATCGACGTAAGGGACATCCAATGACGCCAGCAAAAATGGAGTCCAAGTTCCTTTTTTTGGGGTCGCCTTCATTGGAGACAAATCACCCAGTTGCCGAGTGGCGTTTTTTTTGTCAACTTTTTTTGGGGGTTTGGTTCCCCCCTAAACTCAACCAACCGAACAAAATCATGCCCTTGCGTTTCCCTAAAAAGATTACTTCTGGAGTACCTAAGTCGTAAACACAAAGGAAACCAAAAAACAACAAAACATACCTCGGCTGTGGGCCAAAGGTCTCTTTGCGCCCAAATTTTCCACGGGGTTCGCCAGCGCCACGACTTCTGGCCAAGGCCGCCGAGCCAGCGCCCACGGATGTGGAAGCTCAGGACTGTTCGAGTGGCCAAAAAACGCATTTTTTTGTGTGCAACCCGTCCTTGCGCCCATTGGGGTCCACGTCATTTATTCAAAGGCTTCAGGTTGCAGACGTAATTAGATTTGATGGGTAGATAACCCACCTTACTGTTCTTGGCATTTTTGTTGTAGTTTTGGTTTTGTTCATAAGTTCGGCCGGCTGCAAAAAGTAAGTTTGGCTCAGGATTCGAAAGCCCGGCATTCACAAGGTCCGGGTTAGTGGGTGGGTCCCATTTTGGAGCTCCGAATCTTGGGACTACCCGCTTTTCATCCGTCAGGTACACAGGAGTAATACTGTGGATGGACGAATTCCTGCACCACTTTGGGGAAAAAACGCCTTTGGTTGGGGGTATTTACAGGGGGTTCATCATTCCAAGGATTCTTTGGGCAAGAAAACGGCCCATTTTTGCAATGTGCCCTTGGTGTCATATTCGGGAATGCATTCAAAGAGTGGGGCTTTGCGTGTGTCATGACGAGACATGCTCCGGAGCCAATGCGAGTGCTATATTAAGTAGAGACTGAATTCATCATGGCACCTGGAACACTGGAAGCAGGGAGCCACCCTTGAACGAGTTGTTCCCCGATTATTTTCAATCCACACCCTTTTCATACACAAGCTGTTCGTCCTGGGTCCTGGGTAGCAGCTTTTGGAACAGGATCCCTGGAAGAGGGAGGCTACGCGTAACGAGCCATGGAAAATTTGTACTGATGTGTGGCTCATTGGAGCCCACAAAATGCTAAATGCTAAAGACTGTTCAAACTCGGTGTGATTTTAATATACTCGCTCAGAGCATTCAGGACCTAATGCCTCCTGCAGGAAGCCATTCCCTTGTTCTCATGTTGTTTCTGTCAGAAGCTTCACCGTTCCTGGCAAGTTTGTTGCGTTGCTTTTTGGGTTCTGTTCATTTTTGGCAGGGAGCTGCAAACACACAAATTGTTTGATACCATTCCAAGGGTTGTGAAGAAATAACTATATAAGGGAAATACTTTGCCTGTCATTCGTTCACATTGGCCTCTGGCGAGCTGAGTAAGGCTCGTGTCAGCTGAGGACGCCATGTCTTTGGGGGAGAAGCTTCGACAGGCCAATGGAACAGAGCGAGACCGAGAAGGATGGTTTGTACTTATCTCCACATGAACCACAATCAAAACCCAAGTAGATGAAGGTTAGTAAGGGACAAACCCAACTATAAATAGCTGTGGCCGCCTTCCTTTTTTTTACATGGCTCTGGGTAGACCCATTTTAGTACCGATTTTGATTAGGACTCACATGTTTTAGGTTGTGTGTGTGTTTGTTTAGAACACTGGCATGTGCAGATCATTGTGTGTTGTTGTTTGTGTTTCGTTGTTTGGGTTTTGTTATGCTTGTTTGTAGGTTCTTGGCATTGGCGGTTGTTTCCGGTTCTGTTTGTTTCAATGCAGCTGTTTCGTTTGGTGCATCTTGCAGCGGCCTGCAGAACATTTTGCCTGGAGCTCAAAAGGTGTAATCCAACCCTACACCCGTGGTGAAGATGTCCGAGCTTGCAAGCAGTTGGATGTTCAAAGTACAAGGATAGAAGATATATTTGGCGCACCCCAAGCAAAACCTACAACCACGACACGCGTCTTGGACCTTCAGGGCGAACCATGTGACCTCACGGCTTTTGGTTTGCAAATAATATTATGGGTGTGGGTCAAAAATAGGTACCCAAAACGGGAACCCTGGTAAATGGCAACATGGACTAAAACCCGCGGTCCCCTAGTGCTTTAATTTTGACCCATACCCATAATATGACGATGGTTTTTGTTTGCTTGCAGATTCCTGACAAATTGCCCTGATTGACGCACTCGATTCCTGAACTGCGAGGCAAACCAGCCAAGCACGAACCATGAAAGTTAGAATGTTCCTGGATTCCTGCTTGCCACATGTGGAGAAATAGGTCCCATGGTCGGCATGGAATGGGCTTTTGGCAGCATGTGCCGAAGCCCAACTGCCCCCGAATTAGGGCTCTCCTGGAGCCATTAAAAGGTGTTTTCCCAAAAAGTGAAGGCTTCCCGTTAAGCAGGACAGCCCCTGTTAATCAACCACGGGTTCATTGAATCTGGATTCCTCTTAGGGGACATGGTAGTCCTGTGGCCTCCACGTCATCAGAACAAGGAAAATGCTTTCCTTGGGAAAGAAAAGGGGGACCTGCTGCCATTTCAATCGACAAACACTGGAAACCTGTGGCAAGTTCCTAACCCCCTATGGATTGAGGAACCAGGGGCATCTTTCCCGTCAAGGATTCCCATAAGATGCTCACTACTCAGCGAGTTGAATCCAGGGTTCCAATTGTTTGTATGGAAGAACGCTGATGACACCTCCCGGCGGCCGTGGCCGGACTACCATGAGGACAGCACAAGGCGAACTGCCAACAGGGGGTTTTGCGAAACTTGCACAACAGCTTCTGCCCGATGTTTTTTGACTCCGGCCCCAACTAAACAAGGGCAACACATCAAAAGTAGTTGGCACAATTTCCCAAGTGCTGATGTATTCATCCCCTTTACGTACCATCCGTTGTCTTGTCCACCCGCCGTGGTTTCCCAACTCAGCATTTGCTAGAAAGGGTCCAACTGCTCCCAGGGGTTGATTCCCATTCTGTCCAAGCAAGCTTTTCAAAGACCAGTTCCTCGGTTCTCAATGACTTTCTGGCGATCAGACTGGCCAGCGATTAGTTGCGCGGACAGGCAGTCCTGAGCGGAAGCCAAGATGACCTGAAGCCGCCCAGGGCACGATTGGAATCGAACCTGCCAGCACCCCCAAAGTACTGAGTAGCGTTTATTGGCGTGGGATACACGCAGCGGTTGGGGGGGGTGCCTGGAATGTGCGTTTTTTCCTGAGGGTGCTTGGTCAGCAGGGAACCTTTCCTGACAGGTCTCCCTGGTCATTCCTCACTCCCTCCGCTCACCCCACAGTTGACCGTTGACCCCACAGTTGACCGTTGACCCCACAGCAAAGCGTTTGCTCCATTGGCATGGGAGCAGTCATTTTTTAAAAGATTCTTCATAGTAAAAGAAGGTCCTGCCAAAGAGCAACCGCAGTGTGCGTGCGTGTGTGTGTGTGTGTCGCAAGTTTCAGCAGGCACACCAGAGGGACACTGCTGCCATTGTGGGGTTTCCAGGGTCTACATGGAGGCAACCATACTTGGCGAGGGACCAATTCAAACCGTGTAAGTCACCCATGACTTGCTGGAATGCTATGGTTGGATGCCCTTTTGTGGATTCCACCCAGTCATGCTCCACTTTGAAAACATTATATGCAAATACTTGTTTCGCACCCCTCCAGAGGTACAACTGGTGCATCCAAACCACACCCTTCAGAACAGCCCAAGATGCTTGTCGGTCGGGGGCCATTCAAGTCACTCCCCGGATTCCTAATTCATGTTTTGGGCTTGGACCATTTGAACGACAAGTCTCGACTTGTTTGGCCAATCCAATCAAGTGAGCCTACAGTCTCTGGGACGGTGCTGTGGGATGATGTAAGACACGTATAGCACAGCCTGTCCGGTTTTCGCTGAGTCTCTACCACGTAGCTGGGACTTGCTCGGCAATCGTTACTGTTATGATTATGATCAGTACGATCATGATTAGTTTAGTGGACCTGTCACTCCCAGCGTTCTCCGATTGTGGAAGACCACCTTGATGGCAGAATAAAAGTTGGATTATTTGTTTGGCCCACAGAAAAGGAGCTTGTTCCCTTCTGACTGGCTGAACACGCCCATTTATTTCGGCTCATTGGGCGTTTTTTGCTCATTTACCAACCCGCTTCGTCGACTCCGTGGGCGAGCCAGGCGTTTGTTCGATCAGTGCTCCAAGGCTCCGCCCAAGAAGGCGCCTGGTGGTGTCAAGCGTCACTTTTTTGGGAAAGGGAGTGGCGCTCTCGCCGGCTTTGCAACTAGAGAAGGTCAAGCCCAGTTTAGTTTCCTGGGCTAGCGTGGAATCCATCAGAGGCTCCCGCTTAGAGACGCAACATGGGAAATCCAGGAGCCCTCGGTCAGACTCCATGTGATGGAAGGGTACTGCATGATATTGGGCTTTTGAGATAAGAGCTGCTGGTCGCTTTGTGCAATGTGATCGATGTTTTTTTTTGGGCCGGGGACGGGGGTTTATGGTTGTGGTTGCTCGGCCGAAAAAACAACTGGAAAGACCGACATGTGACCATAGAACCTTGTGGGAAATCGCAGTCCGACCTGGCCTGCTGGTTTGCTTGTGGGCGGTCTTTTAAGGCCGATCCATGCTCCTTCGCGCTTGCGGGCTTTCGGTACGCGACTGCAACAAACAACTCGGTGCAGCCAACGGGCCGAGGTGTTTGGCTCAAACGGTGCATTTCCAAGAGGATGCCAAAGCCTTTGGGGCAAAAGTGCAAGTCTTTGTTGCCCAGTGCAGTCCGCCCCCTTTTTCCAACTTTTTTGGGGAAGGGGTTCCCTTTAAATTCAACCAAACAAAAAAGGATGCCCTTTGTTTCCCATGACCACTGGGCATCTGAGAAGTAGTTTCTGTTTTGGATGTATTTCATGGAAGCACACCGGGCCAAACGTGCTTCAAAATCGAGCCGTATTCCTCATGACGGTGCCTCGGGTTATGGATGACCAGGAATCACCTCATTTGCATCAAGGGAGTTGAAAACGCGATGGCAACATTCGGGGGGAGGCGATGGCAACCCGAGTTCTCGGTGTTTGGCTGGGCGTTCTTGGATCCATCCATGAGATCTCCTCCGAGAAGCGCAAACCACCTTTTGAGCCAGGAGAGTTGCTGTATTTTTTTTTTCAATAAACTGTTCACCATATTTCGTTGCATCCCCGGTTGGAGATGTGTTGTTCCTGTGATGTTTCCGCACAGCTGCTGACAATTGTCTAAATCGTATCCCCAAACATTGGCCGAGCGCGTCGACGGGCTTTGCAAATCGGGGCCATTCCCGAAAACTTCCGAAACGTTCTTTGGGGTCAAACACCCCCCTGCCCAACTCCCCGTAAGCCCCGTGAAACTCGAGCCTCAAGTTTCCCATTCCCTCCCCCCCCCGCTTCGACCGAACCCATTCTCCGCACGGACTCGCCTTCGACTCGCCTCGGCGCGAGGCGGTGGACGAGCGGCGGCTCGCCGCCTTTTCGGCCTTCGATGATCTTTTAAAGCCCTCCGAGGAGGCGCCAGGGGTGGAGATCGAAAATAACACCGAGGGGGTGGCAGAGGGGCAGCATGGACACTGCCACGCAAGATGTGTTGTTTTTGTTTTTGTTTTTTTTGTGTGTGTGTGTGTGCTTTTTTTCCAGGTATTGTTTAGAGTTGTGTTGCTTTTTGGTCTTGTTGGTTTCTTCCTCCGCTCTTTTTTTTTGGGGGGGAGGGGGAGTTTTGAAGGTTTGAGTTTTCGAAATGACCAAGTGTCCATGAAACGGTCCCCCAAATCCGCTGGCTTTTAAAACAACAGAAGCTACAAATAGAGTTTCGGCTTTCCTCCCAGCATTCCATTTGCAAGGGTGGATGTAGGGAAGCAAGCAATGGGAAAACTTTGCGGGCTTTGAAAGACAGGAACGAACACATCTATCCATCGATGTGCATTTGTGTGCACATACATACCTTTTTTTGGTATATGTAAATGTATATGTATATGTATATGTATACAAATACATTGCCAGGCTTTAGCTTGCCTTGTGCCGAACTGTTGTTTGCCTGCTTGGGCTTTTGCACTGCTCTCCCTTTCAACAATGTAGCTTGCTTCGGGGAGCCAAGAATTCTCTCCGAAGAGAGCCGAGATGTCTTCTCAGAAAGCACAGGTGTCGGATTGGGTAGGGCAGTGAACAGCGAGGGCCTGACCTGGAGACGGGCAGTGGACGCAACCTTAGCTACCCTTTCTCCTACAATGATCCCCCCATTCTTTCTCGCGTTGTGGGAAACCACGTTGCCATTGTCCGAAAACAAAATCAGGAAGAAGCACAGCTGGAAGCACCTCCAAAATGAACCCTCCAACTTCCATAATTATGCTTAAGACTATATTTATTTCCCTTTGTTGGTTTTAAAAGGAGTCGATTTTACTACTGGAAAGTGTCAAAAACCAAATGGAAGCCAGGTGGTCGCGGCTGCTGGCGATTCTGGGTATCCTGGCCCCGGCCTCGAAGAGTCGTGGAGGGATGCACCGGGCTTCCTACCTAGGTCCCCCAGCAATTGGTGCCCTTTTCCCGTTTCTTTTTTGGTTGGGAGGGTTCCCCTATGTTCCCCTAAAATAGACTACAGACAACAATCGGGCACCAACTAATTCTAACCTCTCTGGAGGACCTAGTCTATGAGGCTGAAAAGCTGAACTGGGAAACTCTTGGCTCCTAAGCACCACAACACTCAGACCCGCGACTGCTCTATGGGAAGCATGGTCTTTGCTTGGCTGGTCCTCCCATCTTTGGTCACCCGAAGGTTCAGTGAAGCTGTTATATGCGGGGTGCCCTTATGATCTGATGATCGAAGGTTGAATCTTGAACCTTCAGCAACAATCTCGCTTGATGTTTTTGGACTTTACTTCTACGCCGGCAGCAGATCAAACATAGATATCCTGGGCCAAATATGGGGGCCTCATAAAACCGATTGTTTGCGACCGAAAGCCCATGAGGAAGGTTCCGTGCATAGGTTGGATCGGTATTATACTTTAGTTCACCCTAGGCAATGGGAAACAAACCTCTAAACCACCGAGCTTCACAAAGCTGAATCAGCTTCCCTCGAATTTGGTTTTTAGATTGGTGCTGGGGTGCAACCGGGGCCCACCAGGGCCTTCGAATCCAAATCCACGCTCCAAACCATGTCCAGCTGCTTAAGAAGATGGTTCATTTCCCCCTGTTGGTTTTAAAGGGGATCGATTTCACTACTGGAAATAGATATATATATATATATATATTTATTTATTTATTGATTTATTTTTTCCAGGGGTCGCTCGAAGCCAAATGGACCACCAATTGGGAGGGGGCTGGGCGGAGAAGCCCATCGGCTGAACAGCTGCGGGGTCGTGGGAACCCAAGTGCGCCCAGGTGCCGAGCCGAGGAGCGGTCTCTCTCGATTCGCTCGTCCGGGGGGTGGCGAGGCTCGTCCTTTTTGGAGTTGGTCGCCCTTGGGGCGGGTCGAAAAGGAAACCCACAGGAACAAAAGCCACGGCTCCACGGAAGAAAAAAAATGCACACACAGCTGTGAATGTTGATTTTGTCCACCGGTATTTCCCCGCTTGAGCTGAATATTAGAAAGTGTCTCATGAGGACATACCCCATGGCCAGGAAGCAACCTGCATGTTGGGACGCAGCTTGGCCACGCGTCAAGGCCTTCGCTTTCCTTGTTTGGGGATATCCTTTCCACCACATGGTGGCCCCTGAGTCATGTGTCCTTGTTTGTGGAAACACATGGCTTTTGCCATATGGGTGTGGCTCAAAATTACGCAGGAGGGGTTACCCAGGCGTTGGTCCATGTTTCCACTTACCAGGGTTCTATTTTGGCACCGGTTTTTTAAGCCGCGGCCATGTGTCCTTTTTGGAAACACATGGTTTTTCCATATGAAGTTCTCAGAAGGTCGACCTTTTGCGGAGCCACGCCATCTTGCGTCCTAGATAGGGATGTCCGAAGAAATGTCGCGAGGTGACCTGCAGTCATTGGCTGTTTGAAGCTGGACCCTGCAAAATGAGAGTGGATGAGCAAAAGCAATGGTTCATTCGCCACAATAGTAGCTTTCAAATTGTGGGTCTTTGTTCGGGTCTCTGTTAGGCAGGGCCACCTTGGGTTGCAGGAAGCCAAAAGGAAGCCATTCGTTTGAGAGATCCCCTACTTGCTCCATGGAGAATTTGGTGCATCCAACTCACAGTCACCATTTGGCTTAACTGGACCATTTCTCGTGATGTTGTAAACCTGTGTCAATACTGAACAAGTGTAGGGATTCTCCTATCTTCTTAGGGTTGCCTTTCAACTTGCTGGCGCTCAGAAGGGAATGAGGGAATGACCCATATGAACCATCCAACTGGGGGTTTCCTGTAAGGAAACCATTGCGCCTGGGTTCATTCCATTTCTCATTCCCCACTTGTCGCACCGGTCGCAAGTCAACCGATCGCTAAGTTTGAGAACAAACGCCACTCACTGATCATTCGCCAGGCCAGTGCCCAGCGAAAACCAGGACAGACCTGCGACCTGCTTGCTGCTGGAATCATGATTTTGGCTGTTTCTGGGGGGTTTCAAAGTCAGAAACTGGGATGGTTTCCCTTCAACCTAGGACTTGAGGGTTGTCCCCCTTCAACCTAGAACTTGGGAGGTGATTTTGGTAGAATACTGGGGCCAGTGGCAGGCACCTCCCGAGATTTCCGGGGGCTTTAGGGGGACCGTTTTTGGGAGGCGATGAGGTTTTGGAACCCCAATGAGTTTAGTACCCAGTGATTGCTGATGAATTCAGTTCAGTTTAATCCGGGTCTGCCGGATGTCTCCGAACGCTGGAAGATATACAAGGGAGCTTTCCCTGAAATAGATCAGTTTATTTTTGGTGCCTGGAACCCACTTACTTGTGGGGATGTGGATCAAGCAGGAGTCGCGAAAATGAAGCATTTCTAGCATTTTGGCCCCGGAAAGGGGGGGGAGGGGGCATGGGGTCAACTTCTGAACCAGACATGGTGGTTTGGTGTAATTATAGCGGTTCGAATTGGCGACTGCAGCAGTGGCACGGGGTCCCACTTTGTGCCATTTGTTTAGGTTGGTTTTGGTTTGAAAGGCGACCCTTTCATGTGAAGCCTGTGACTGACCTATTTACATAGCAAGCAAACTTTGAACTGGCGTGGGACTGTGCCTTGAACGACGCATCAAGAATATCACCAGTATGTGGGAGGTCAAGCAATTGGCCCTTGCTTTGGGGGCCCAGGGGCCTTTTCTTAAATGAACAGGAATCGGGGCTCAAGCAAGTGTCAGCATTGCCTATCTCCTTGACTCCTTCCATTTACTTAAGAATATGTTGTTTTCTTCTTCCATTGTTGTTCTTACAAGAAATTCATCACTACTGGAAAGGTTTTGTTTTCCCCCCAGGGGTCTTAGCCAAATGGAAGACTCCGTCCCCTCAAAGGTTTTAGAGATCACTGGGCACATGGTCAAATGGCCCATTGGTTGGTTAGCCGAGAACCCGAGAGATGCCCTTTGCAACAGGAGCCAGTCGAGACAGCGAACGGCGCGCCACCGAGCTGACCCATCCTTGGCTCCCAGCCATCCGGTCCCTTAGCCTTGTAGATCTTTTTAGTGTTTAGTCTCACTTCCTGAGTTCATGCACTTAGTCACTTTAGTCACTTTTTTGGGTTTGGACCTCATCTTAGTGGTAAATATATAAAGTTTGGGGACTTTTTTTGGGGCCATCCACTCAGCCCAGTGAGTTTAGTGGTAGTTTCCATTTGAAATGGTCACTTTTTGCGATCTGAGGGCAGCCCAGCATCGTGAAGGTCCTCGAGTTGACTTCTTTTGAGTTGAGCAACTACCTTGAGACTTTGGCTTTCCTTCCAGGTGTAAAACAAAAACGGTTAGAGGGGAGCCTTGCGAATGGCGTTGCGCAAGCTTACCAGAGAAAGGGATAACCTTGAACGTAGGTAAAACTGGATGGGACAGCAATTTGGAGCTGATAAAAAAAAGGAATTCCACACCTGGGGATTAAAAAACTAGCCGCTGGCGGATTGAGGGTTGGAGGGTAGGTGGGAGCTTGTTTTGCAAATTGAACCCCAGTTTACTTGGTATGAACGTCACAAGGAACCCTTGCCGTTGACCGATGTCTGCTTAAAACAAAATCCAGGAAATGACAAGCCCGTTTCGCAATGTTGCTAGGCTTCAAGTCACCCCTACTGCCGATTTGTTTGTTTCGTTGGCGAACAGACCGGTGGCATCCCCCACACCCCGGAACCAACCCTCCAGAACCCTCCCTGGAGGCTGGCCCAGACGATTCCAGAGTCTATTCATGGCTGTTGTTGGGAAACCTGTTTCCCATTTTTGCTGATTGTCGTTTAGTGGTTGAAATCCAACCACCTAACTGCTAAAATTCAAGTTTTTTGCACGTCAACCAAATATTTGGGCACAGACCCCGTAGCTTGCAGCTGTGGGAAAAACGCAGAAAAAACAAAACTGGAGTCCTCTACGTCCCAAACTTCTTTCAGACCTCAGCCTTTGAAACACCTGGGCTGTTGCTGATTGAAGAGGACTGTGGATGGTTCCGAAATCCGTTTCTCGCGCCACCGTTCAGAAACTTTGGTTTCTGATTTTCGATTCCGCTGGAAGTACCTGGCAAACAATGGTTTTAACCATGGTTTTGAAGTGGATCGACACGGATGGTCAGGTGCGGGCCCCCAGATGTTCTTCATCGGCGACGATGCGCAGGTCGAAGGCGCGAAAAGCATGACACGATGACCCGCCAGGGACACATATGCAGTATATATGCATTGTTTAGTCCGTTTGCTCATTTATTTAGTTATAGCGTATTGATTGAGATGCTGCTTGTATCATTGTATGTTGGTTACGTGTTTGGTGTGTTGTTTTGTAATTTGTATTGGTGTTGTTGTTGTTTTGTGTAAGTGTGCCTTCTTTGTTATTTATGTGATTTATTGTTATGTGTATGGCTTGTTTAGTTGCAGGGTTGTTCAATCACTTGCTTAATTAATGGCTTAGTTTAGTTTGCTTTTGTACCGGAACCTGTATATGCGTATTTGTTTACGTGTTTCGTGTTGTGCATTTGGTTATTGATGTATGTACTGTCCTAGTTGTGTTGGTCTGGTTTTGTGTGTATGGTTGTGTATTTGCTTGTATACGTGTACACTTGTTTAGCTGTTTGTTTGTATGCTCGTGGTTCTCTTATTTTGGTGTTTTGTTGTTGGTGATGTTGTGTTGTGTGTGTGTAACATGTTTTAACTGAATGTTGGCAATCCACAGCTCATATATATATATATTGCTATGTTACATACATATATATATATATATATTTATGTATATGCCTTTAAGATGCACATGTGGGATCAGTATTGTCGTAGGCTTCCGTGATATTGTTGTTTAGCATGCAACACCCCCGATTAATCAACCAGGTTTTATGCTTCCCACGGTCTAACACAGCACCTGGACGTTCTACAGGGCGTTCGCCGACCTGTTGCGGGTACTTAAAATCTTTCGATATATTTTCCTGGGAAGTGTTTGTTTCCTACACCCAATGTTTGTCAAACGGGAATGCTGGATGAAACTGAAATATAATAATCACAATATAGATTAGTATTTCATTTCCTTTTTGGGTGAAATGGCATGAATTGATTGGTGTTTTGTGTTTGGGGACGGGGGTATTTGGCCTGACTTCCTACCTGGTTCCCCGTCTGCGTCGTCGCATGTCCTCAGATCTCCTTGGCTCTGCCTCTGCGTCGGCACCATCTTCCACGCCTGCGCCGGCGCCGGCGCCGACGCCGACGAGTGCCATGTCCTCGGGCATGGGGGAACGACTCACGACTCACGCCGGACTAAGGGGAACCCCGGATGAAACAATCCCAGTGTGTTTCTTCGTTTAGTGGGGAATGAAACCATGTTTGGAGGGGAGCACCCAATAGGACGGGTTCATTACTCCAGGGTCAACATTGAGCAGTTCAAAGAATGGGCTTACCGACCCGATCGGCCTTCAGCATGGATGGGTTGGACGCAAGAACGCTTTTCATGGTAACACAAGGCCACCCAAGTCCCCAACCATGTGGGGTGGATGCTGGGAGCGGGGCTCGGTTTCCCAACTCCGTTGGCTGCCCTCTCGGCCTGTTTGAGATGGTTCTGGCATATGTTGGGCGGATTTGGAGTATCTCACAAGAGCGGAATAAGGCCAGTAATCAGATGTTCCACTTTCAGGTCCCCCCAAGCACATGCTCTTTGATTCCTCCCAACCAAGACGAATTGGTGAAAACTGGGCTTCTGACTCCTTACGGTCGGAACCTTTGAAAGGCAAGCCAAAATGGAACCGGACCCCCCCCAATCAAAAGGAAACCGGACCCCCCCGCCCCGCCCCCTCCCACTTTGGCTTTGGGTGCTGCTGCGTTTTACGACACCTGACCAAGGCCATCCCCCACTTCCCGCCTCTCTGCACGTTTCGGGGAAATTGCAATGCGAATCCAGGCCTCGCGTATGCCAGCCGGACTACAGAGCCTGGCTGGAAGCCCAGACTCTTTCCGAGACTCGGAGCCAAGCTCCGCCCCAACCTTCTAGTTGCGTGTGTGTGCGGAGTGTTCACCACTTTTCTCTGCAGGCTGGAGCCGGCCCAGGGAGTCTCCAGCCAACGAAGACGCCCGGTGTCCGGGTCCAAACGTACCTGCGGGGCTGCGCCTGGGTCATTGTCATGGCAGCTGGCGGGCCCCATCCCAAACAAAGGTCCCCTTTTTGCCCTTTTCTCCAAATTTAGCTGAACCTTAGCTGTATTTGAAGCCCACCCAGTCGAAACTTATGCCTGTTGTACTCGAAAGATGGGATCTCTCCTTCGGGAGTTGAAGTGTGTGTGTGTGTGTGTGTGTGTGTGTGTGTGTGTGTGTGTGTGTGTGTGTGTGTGTGTGTGTGTGTGTGTGTGTGTGTGTGTGTGTGTGTGTGTGGGTGTGCGTGTGCGTGCGCGTGCGCGTGCGCGTGCGCGCGCGCGCGTGCGCGTGCATGTGCATGTGTGCATGTGTGCATGTGTGCATGTGTGCATGTGTGCGTGTGCGTGTGTGTGCGTGCGCGTGCGTGCGTGCGTGCGTGCGTGCGTGCGTGCGTGCGTGCGTGCGTGCGTGGGTGTGTGTGTGTGTGTGTGGGTGCGTGTGTGCGTGCGTGCGTGCGTGCGTGCGTGCGTGCGTGCGTGCGTGCGTGCGTGCGTGCGTGCGTGCGTGCGTGCGTGTGTGTGCGCGTGTGTGCGCGTGTGTGCGCGTGTGTGCGCGTGTGTGTGCGCGTGTGTGCGCGTGTGTGTGCGTGCGTGCGTGGACGCGTGCGCGCGTGCGCGCGTGCGGGCGTGCGGGCGTGCGGGCGTGCGAGCGTGCGGGTGCGTGCGCGTGCGCGTGTGAAAAAGACACACCCACTTGCCTTAGTGAACTTGAATGTGCGTGTATGTGTTCAACTAGTGTCGAACAGGTTGGCATTTCGAGACGTGCAATTCGCAACGGCGTTTTAAATGCAATTGCTAACATCGGCGTTGCTTGGAGTCACCGGTGAACTCCTGGGGAGTTTGTACCCGCTCTCTCTCTCTCTCTCTCTCCCTCTCTCACTCTCTTTCCCTCTTTCTCTCTTTCGTTCTCTCTCTCTCTCTCTCTCTCTCTCTTTCCGTCTTTCTCTCTTTCCGTCTTTCTCTCTTTCTCTCTTTCTCGCTTTCTCTATGTGTCAGTATACGCGCGTAAGTTTGAATCAGGGCCTGACCCCGCAATCACAGTCCGACAAAGAGGTTCCGCGGTGCTTGTTTTGTTTTTAATGAATTGCTGGTTTAGTTTACTAGTAAAAGGGGTTACTGCACAATAACGTCTGGTTTTGCTCACATACACAGGGCTGAAAGGACACAACCCCCCTTTTCCCAGATGCGACCCTCATGTCGCGGTTTCATGGTCTGAAAACTCGCCAAATGGATGGTAACCCAACCCCAGTCACAAAGGATGAAACTGACCTTGGCTGGGGATTACTGCGCTGGGCTTTTCATGTTGCCCGTGGCAGGCCAACAACCTGACGCCCCACCAGTTGGAGCAGATGTCCCCGCAGGAACTTCAGACCAGGTTTTTGTTTGAAAGAGTTGGCAACCTGTGCAGGCACCCTTGTCTAGGTCCTCGAGTAGTGCCCTTTCTCATCCCCCTACTAAAATAGACTACAAAAAAAAGTTGGTACGTAGCCTTATTCTAACGTCTCTGGAGGACCTAGGTAGGACTGCATTTCCCTTGGGAGGATGCCTTGTGGCACGGAAACACCTCCAACTTCCCTGACAGCTTCGCTTCTCTTCATTTCTCGGGGCGCAGAAAGCCTCCCAGTTCGTTTTGCCACGCACACATGAGGCGTTTTCTGCTCCAGTGGCTCCGTGGGGTTGGATGTGTTTTTTTGTTTAAGGGTCACCCATGGGCCAGAATCAAAGATACGATTTTGGTGGGCAAAAAAGGAGTGGGAGAGTCGAAACACATTTTCAGTTGAGCCAGCCGCTTGGGACGGAGATCCGGCTTTTTGATTCTTTACATCGAGGGGAGTCCTTTGGCACATGGTTTTGCTTCTCACTTGTTTAAGAGCGTCTGTTGGTTTAAAAAGGGGGCCTAACAGCAAACAAATCATGGTTCAGCTTCTTTCCATGGAGTCTGTGAGTTAAGGGTCCCTTTGGTGAGCATCATTTCCGGCGCCAAGCACTGGGTGAGTCATGGAATCTTCGGGGGGGCTATGGGGGGGGGCTATCCCTGGATAAGCCCAGGATAACCCAAGGGTAAGCCCTTAAGGCCTTAAGGGCTTAAGGGATAGCCCCCTTTCGGGGTCCATGAGTGAGCTGGTTCGCTCGCTCACTCGCTCGCTGGGTCGGTGCGAGGACCTGGTCCAACTCCAGGCAATGATCTCTTCGGCGCTGCAGGCGTCAGCTCGTGTGCTTTCGTTTGAACTACTGTGCTAGGTCCTTCAGTAGTGCCAACTTTTACCGTTTCTTTTTGGGGGAGGGTTCCCCTACTAATTAACATAAACTACAGAAGATAGGGCGCTCTTATTCTAGCCCCACTTGGAATCCATAAAACCGTTGTTTGTTGTTATTTACAGGGGAATCATCCTTTCAGGGTTTGTTAGGTGGTGAACCCTGGAATGATGATTCCCCTGAAATTACCAACAAACGTTGGTTTCAACCATGGTTCCAAAGTGGTGCAGGATTTCGTCCATCCACAGTAAGAAATTGGAACTAAGGTGGAACTAGGGGTGGCTTTGCTTTTTCTTGAAGGTGCTGCTGGCATTGCTTGTTGATGTCTCAAGCCAACCTATACCCCTTTGAGCCACCCCCAGTTGCGCCCAAGACTTTCATAGGGCATCTTGGTGGGTAGTTTACTCGCCACACACCGAGCCTCTCACGTACCACGACTCATGAGCGAGGCCAGAGCACCACCGGCGGCACCTGTGGCTGGGTGGCCCAAGGAGTCCGAAGATGAATCCGGCGGACATGGGAGCGGCAAATCGCCATGTCGGGGGGGAGGGAGGAGGGCGGGGCAGGGAGCCCCAATAAGCGTCATATTTGGTGGCGTTTGTACCAAGACTCACTTCCGGAGTTTTTGGACTTGAAGCTGTTTGGGAGGACCGTTTTGGTAGCAAACCAAAAGCTCAGACTTGATTGGTCAACACTCAGGAATTTGAGTTTGGCTTCATGTTGAATGCGGATTTTACTACACCCATCCTGTTAATAGGGGGGTGATCCCTCACATGGGTTTACTATCCGGTGTCAACATTGGTTCAAGTTAGTGAGAGGTAGACATGTGGGCTGGTTTCCCGCTTCTATGACATGCCCCAGAAGCTTACTTTGTGCCGATCGACGAGCCCAACATTAGTTGCAACATCTAACCCATAAAACTTGGTAGCAACCCTAGTTTTCGCGAGCCCAACAAGCTCAAGTCAGCCACAGTGTCAGAGGCGCCGCACATGGCAGTTTTCATGTGATTCCATGTTTTACTTTCCCTTGTTGGTCTGAAAGGGAATCATTTTCACTACTGGACAAATTTGTATTTCTCCAGGGTGGCTTAAGCAGATGCAAGTATGGAGATATTCCATCGTTGGGTTTCCCTTTAACGTATGGCTATGATTTTTGCTCAAGCCGTGCCCAAAAGCAATTCACGATTTTGGCCCGGTGCACACCCCCAGTCGACACAGATCCAGGGAGAAGAGGTGCACGTCCGAAGTTCACTCGAAGAAAAGATGCACCCGCGCCACCGCGCCACCGAACCCCCGCACGCGCGCCGGGAGCGTTTGGAGCGCGAGTGGTCCTGAGGCAGTGCCAGGCCCGTGACCCAGACTGACAAAAAGGGGCCCCGGGTTGCTGGGGTAGGCTGACCTGGAGTAAATGAAACGGTCGTGGACCTATATTTAAGGGGTGATGGAGACTCTAGGCAAGTCTTTTTTCGAGAACACGGGGAACCCAGGTTTCTTTTGTTTGATATGGGGGTTGATCAAGGTCTGTGATACATGGGATGACCATTGGGAAAGCACTAAAAAGATGATATGCCCCACTAAATGGGGAAGTTACCCAGGCCATTTGGGGGCAAGGAATATTGACCAACCCCCATGTTGGACTTTCTCAAAGTGGTGGACCCCTTTTTGGCATTGAAAGGAACCAGCATTTATTGCATGATCTCAATGATAACTTCCATTTGCACGAGTTCATTCCCAGTAGCGGCCATGCCCAGTAGCGGCAACACGTTGGCCCAACATGGCCATGGGCACTTGCATGGATTTATGCATCCAGAATATCGGTGTGCCTTTTTGAGGTGGGTGGTTTAAAGGGAACACAAAAGGAAAACCACTTATTTCGGGGCACCCTAAAAAAGACACACCCCTATGAGTGTGCAGTGCCTGGCTATTTTTCGGCACTGGCAAGATCGATTGCAGCACTGCTTGGGTCGAGTAGTTAGTGAGTGCTGACAGGATGACATGCAATCTACCCTAGGGTGGTGCGAGCATGTGTGGCAGCGGTGGTTTGCGGCGAGGACATGTGTTTGCCAGGTATGGTGGGATGGCGATCCTTGTCCGACACATTGTTGTCCGTTCAGGATTTGTCACATGCGATGCCTCACTTGCAGTGTTAACCCCCCAAAGGTACAAATACGTTCTCAGGCAGCAATTACCTTGTCAGTAGGGAATGACCCAGGGATTGGGAATGAATCCGAATAAAGGAAACCAACAATTGGGGAAGCCATCAGGGCTCATTCCATTTCTCATTCATCATATGACCCAGGGGTCCCCTATGTTGGAAGTTGGGCAGAAAACGGCCCCCCTTTGCTTCAAAAATGCCCGCTTTGGCATTCGAACATCACCACTTTGGCCAAATGCTCCTGTGTTGTTTCTCCTCTTTTTTCCTCCAAGAATCCTTCCCTTTGTCGCAAATGTCTCTGGATTTGTTTTTTTGGTGCGTTGTTCCCGGGGCCCTTCCCTTCGTCTCATCTCCATCCCTCGCGCCGCCAAGTCTCAGGCCCCTCCCCTGCGGCCTGGCAAGCCACGGCCTACCGGGCCCCCAGCCACCGCGCGGGCCTCGAAGCTGAAGGTCTCGGGGGATCGGAGGGATCTGCGGATGGATCCACGGTGCGGAGGAGCCGTTCTCGGTGGAACCCGGCGGTTTTTTGTTTTTTGAGGTGGGATGATATCAAAAAAATAATGAGGTTGCATGAAACCGTTTTTTTTTTGAGTTTTTTTTCCTGTGGATGGACGAAATCCATTTCGCACCACCCAAGAGACCATGGGGAACCACTGCTTGTTGGTTTTTTCAGGGGAATCATCATTCCCAGGGTTTCTTAGGTGGTGCAGGATTTCATCCATCGACGGTATTTAATTCAATGTAATCCTCCCATCCAGGATTTGGCATGTATATAGATCGTGTTGTGTCATGTTGTGTCACTTGATGGTGGCACAGCGCCGATTCAGCCGAGGCATCGACTCCTTCGACATGATGCGGGGCCCCGAGTCCAGATCGGCCTAGCCCGAGTTGACCTCAAGCGCCAAGAACGAGCTTCGACCGGCTCAATGGGCCTTGAGAGCCTTCTCCTCACTTTTCTCAGTTGTTCAATGCCGACCTTTTGACCTTTTGGTTTTCCAATTTTGGTCCATATTTAGTCATGGCCACAAAAGGTGAACCTTTTAGTTCCAGGTCCTTTGGGCAACTCACTTTTTCAACTTGTAAACCCCACGGTGAGACGGCCTGAACCAAGAATTGGGGAGGGCAGAAGGCAGGCATAACACGAGGCGTGGGAATGGGGGTCCTTACACATGTGGAAGGCTATGTTTCTCGTGTGTGTTGTCGTTTCATGCTGGTTACCTTTTTTGGGGTCGATTTGAAGAAAGCCAAAAGGAAAGCCACACTTTTAGAGGTTCCCCTTTTTGCTGGGCTTCAGTCTGGGTTTCCGCCTCAGAACGCAAAGACGCTTGTCTTTGACATGAACATTTAAGCTGGAGCCATCAAAGCGACCCGAAATAATCTCTCTGGTGGGTGGTTTAGATCAAAGCCGCCGGAGAAAGAAAATGCGCATTGTCTTGAAACCTCTCCCCCAAAGTGCCGAGTTTGCCTCGGGGGTTTTCCCGATTTCTGACTCTGGAGGAAAACTCCCAGTCTAGCCGAAGCAACCAAGGCAGGAGCAGCCAGAGAGTGCAGCTCCCTTTGGTGAGCTCCTGGCCGCTTGGATCTCGCGTTAGATCGGTTCCCCATATCTTGGGATGGGAAATCACCGGGAGGGACCCGGGCAAATCGAGCCGAGGAACTGAGGTAGGCCCAAAAAAAGCCCCGAAATGAGCCAAGGCGACCCACAAAATAACAGATGTTTCCAACCACAACCATGTAGATGTCTCTGTGGGTTGGGACGCCTGCGGGCTCCAACTACTCAACAGCATTCAGAAGGCCAAAAATGAGACCCGAAACAAAAGTCCTGTAGGCCGAAACGGGAAAAGCGACAGCGGAAATAAGGCGGCCAAACAGAGATTCCAACCGGCTCTCAAAGCACACCAACCCCAGTTTCAGGTCTCTTTTGAAGTACCCTTTGATTTTTTCAGTGCAAGAAGTCCCAAGAAGATCTGTTGTGCCTGGTGTTAGAGGGGCTTGAGCCCAGCGACAAATAAGGCCAAACCAGGCTGACTGGTTGGTTCCTGGCCCAACTTTTCAAGGTTTCAGGGCTTGGGCCATCCTCCCAAACATTACGGAAATCCTATGCCCATGACCTTCATGCGGCTTTCTGCTGTTTGAGACGGTTTTTATGCCAACATGGTCGATGGCTAAACTCCAACCGTTGTATTTCTGATGACCGAAGGGTCTTTTTGCCACAAGACGGCGCACGCCGATGTTTGGCCCAAAGGGCGCGCGTGCAGAAAGTGACCTCAAGTGACCTCAATGATTGAATCCAGGGCTGAGGGTTTCACATCAAAGGGCATTTTGCTTTGGAAAAATCCGGCTGCATGATTTGCAGGGAGACCCAGCCCATCGACCCAGGACATGTTCCAGAAGAAGAACACCGTGTAGACTTTTGGCCGGTGAGATTCTTCGCCTGCGCGCGAAGCGTACATTAACTCTTGGCCAAGTTGGTCCCTTGATTGCTCATGTTTCAGTTTATTTTATTTTTTTCAGGAATGCCACCCAAACCAGGTGCTCAGTGGCCCCGCCACAAATATCTGTGGTCAGCCACGAAAGGCATTTGGTTGCCGATCAGACCACTGGGCAACTGGGACTAAACATCTGATGGCAAAAGGTTGAAGTACCAAGCGCCCACGACACCAGGGCTTGGAGCAAGGTGTTGTGATGGACATCGCTTCAGAGTTTGCCAGACGTGCCCGAATGCAAACGCATGAAGGGTGGTCTGGGGCCGGGATTGGCCCCGAACTTCCGACCCCATCCATCCCAAAGCACTGGGTGTGTGCACCCATAGCAAATGGCCCGCCTATTACATACTTACCCTTGGCAGGAGGAACTTCAAGCACATCGGCAGGCCTTACAACTGTTTCCGGCAAAGGGTGGGGATTGATTTAAAGTCCACATCAATTCGAATATGATGAGCATGCACCTTGCATAGCTTCGCATGTGGAGATTTCAAGCGCACACTGCGCTCGTACCAAAGCACGTGCAGGTCGATTTCGCCCGGAAAAAAGGCGAAGCAGGCGGCACAGTGCCGGCGCAGGGTTTGGACTGGGACGGCTCTTTCCTACGGTGGATTGATCCTGCACCAGTTGGTGCAGTTGGTAGGTGCTGGGGTTTCGTTTTTACCAAAGTCGGCCTTGGTTAGCAAGTGCGGAAGGGACCCATTGAAAGCTAATTTTTCCAGAGGTTGCGATCACACCCCAGTTGCACTTGACCATGTGTGCCTGGTAGCCGCAGGTGGTTGGTCTGGGAATTAGCCACATGGTTTATGGTAAGTTCTCTGAGAAGACCGATCTCCACTTTCCTTGAAAAGGCAATTTTTACCACCGGCCACCACAGGTCTGGGTGACACAAGCTACCATTGCAGTGCGCAAAGGTGATGAGAGCTGAGAATTCACTGGACGAACGATCGCGGCTTCATGAGACGCGGCGCGAGATTTGCAATAAAGGACGAGCCAACAAGCCATTCTCCACGTTTTTGGAATGTGAACACACCGCTGTTCGGATGTTGTGCAATGGAATATGCACGGTCGCGTATATTTGGATGGTACTCATGTAGTTTCGCTTGTGAACAAATAGATTAACATGTGTGCTGTATTCTTGTCATCGATTGTTACGGAGTCACTGTTCGATCACTGCATGGACGTTTGTTGGCCATGCCAGAAAGGCAACTACGGACGATGCAACCAGTTCAAACGATTTGCATGAAGTATGAATTTGCAATAGCCCAAAGTATGACATCAAGACTATACGCATGTGTCATGATGGTTGTTTGTTTTTCGTATGCACCAATTGAGGATGTCAGTGCATGTGCAACCTATTTGTTCATCATTGCAATCTGATAGAATAGTCTTTTCAGCCAATTGCAATGCGTGGATGGTGATGCAGATATGTCGAGTTGAATATGGACGTGGTTTACGAGAAAGTTGTTTTCTTCAAATTCTCACTGGTCCTGGAGATGAAGACACTTCAACGCGCTAGCAAAAAACACCAGATGAGTGAGTGCTGACATTTCGTAACGCGACATGTAATGAGCGACCCTTGTCGTGAATTCCTGAGCCATGTGCTCATGTACGGTCACTTTCTGATGGTCAGTGTCACGAGAGAGACGAGACCAGACCAGACCCCCAGGCCAGGTCAGACCAGACTAGATCAGACAGACAGACAGACAGACAGACAGAAGAAGAGAAAAGGGACAAGCATAGGCTTTGTGTATGCGCGACATGCATTGCTTGAGGTTTGGGTTAGCTAGAGATTCGCAGGATGTGCGCGGGAGGGTGAGCTTGCGGTGTCCGTTTGAGAGCACTTCCCCAAGGTAGCAAAAAGGCCCCCGTGAAGAGAGGAATGGATCTCGTTTTGGAGGTCAAACCGATTGCGAAGTCACAGCGGCGAGCCGCTTTTGGCGCATGTCTCGGCTCAAGCAAGGGCCACTTGGTATCGTCAGCGACTAAAGTCGCTACGCTTTGTCATGCCAATGCTGTCCCGCTACTTCGTTGTTGCCTCGCTGCTGCTCCGTGTAACTGCGGACGCAGAGGCATGTGAGACCTGTGGCTGAGTTGAAATTGGAAACCATGCCGGGATTCTGGTAGCAAGGATAGTGATGCGCGCGTAACTACACAGTCACATCAGGAATAAAGCGGATAAGGGCTTCTTCGGGGATTCGTCCGATATCAGGTGCTTCTAGGTGATGGGAATTGGACATGGCGCAAAACAAGCCGATTCCAGCCTAGCCTGCCCGAACATCCATGAACGTGAGCGGAGAAATGGCCATCTCGAACCAACCTGGACAAATTACGGTCATTTTTGTCGTGATCTGTTTCTGGGGGCTAGAATCAGAAACGCTTACCTTGGTCCGGCGATGTGCGTAAAAAAAATCGCCGCAAGTAGGTCCATGTCAAAAGCAGGTGCCCAAGAGATCGTTTTGTAGGTTCCATGCTCGAAAGATAATTCCCGGGCTTGGGCTTGCAAGGGAGGTGAGAGTCGTTCTAAAGGTCCTTGTAAGGAGTTGAGTATTCGGTGACCATCGGTGTTGGGATAGGCAGCTCCGAGAAAAACATCGCGATGGAGTTGCGAAAGTAAACTTTTTCGCGAACGTTTTGCGTAACTGCATCTTGCAGATCATTGGTATGTGAAACCATTTATCTTTTCTGCTGAGTCTAAGCTGATGAAAGCCTTTTGTTGTCTTTCCCCGGAAAAGCCTGGTGAGGCTACGGTTTGATACCCTTGGCTTGTGAGTGCTCCAATTGTGTTTGTGGCTTTAGCGTGGGTGAGACCCGCGAAAGCCCGTGCGAAACTTCCACAAGGGGAGGTACCTTCTGAGCGCCGCGCTAGTCAGTGTGCTAGCTTGGTACTGAAAAGTTGTGACTTCAAGCTGGAGCTGCGCGGCTTACCTGCTGGAACTGCGGAAGTGCATTTCGCGTACTGGTGCCGACAAGTTGCGACTTTCCAGCCAGAGCTGCGGATGTGCATGTCATGCAGCCCCTGCGATGAAAAGTTGCGACTTTACAGCTGGAGTTGAGGAAAAGCATTCGCGCACCAAACTGGTACTTGAAAGCTGCGACTTTCTGACCTGAGCAATGAAAAAGTGCAGGGCGATGAATTCGCTAAAGATTCGCGAAAGTAGCATTTTTTATTTGCAAAGAATGGCCGATTCCAGACAAAGGAACTTAGAACAACAACCAAGTCTGGCAAGAGCATGTGTAGCACTGCAAAAATTGCCAGTCTATGGTTCGTTTGGACACGTGGGACTCGCTAAATGTCGCCACAAAAATCAGGAGACTCAATGTTTTGGGGAAACAACGAAAAATGATTGTGGCTCATGCGCGGTACGGTCAGAGCATTTTTGGGGGGTCGGATGGTGACAGTGATACACTACCCATCACAAGGGCTTCGTGGAAAGGTATCACAAAAGGAGTTTTGACCGCACAAATGTCCGGGGTTGTTCTTAGGTTCGGCCGCATGAAGCTTTTGACCTTCTGGAGCATGGAGCAATCAGCAAAGAGCTTTGCTTGTTGCAATGCCTGTAAGGCCTGTTCATTTTTCCCTGCGCACCGGTGGCGCAATGATCACCTTCCATGTCATGTGGAAGATTTTCCTAAAGCTGTTTTGAAGAACATGTGAATCACGACTCTTGCGGGAAGATTGCATTCTGTAATCGGCCCTCTTTGTGGGGGTTTCTGCAGTGTGTTATCCCTTTGTTGTCAGCAAAAAAAAGAGCCAAGCTCACCTTTTCAGTTGGCAAGCTTCGCACATGTTGTTGATACCCTATGCTTCCTCGACTATTCTTTAAATAGCCTCGACCATTTAAAAAACGAAAGGCTATAAAAGTAATGTCCCTCGACCATTAAAAGTAGGTCTAGACAAACTTGGCCAACTTGAGACGGCTGGCTCCTGACATCCCCGTGCGCTTCTGATAGTGAGAGGTTGAAGAACTTGATTGATGCCTTTTGTGAAATAAGCTAAGTATGTTTTAAAGTCGCTGCATCCCGTTGCAATCACACGCCGTCACCATGCTGTGTCAATTTGGCTTGTCACTCACATGCCCGTGCGTGCTTTTCCGCTTCTTGTCCACAGCTCCACAGAGTCTGATCGCGTGTTGTTTGTTGATTGTTTAATCGATTTTGAAAGAAAATGAGGCGTGGACAAACCATGGACAAACCGTGGAAAGTACGTTTTTTAGCGTGGAAAGTACATTTAAAAGCGTGGAAAGGACATTTAAAAGCGTGGACAACCATACTCCCAGGAGCCCACTACGCATGCCTGATCGGCAGCGATGCCCCGAAGCCACTAAGTTTGCAGCATTTTTGAAAAAAGCCGGACTTCAGTACCAACATGCGAAGAATCTATGCGCGCATATACGGTAGGCGGGACACCTGGCGATTTTGAAAAGTGATGTGACCATACAATTGGCAAGCTGGGGAATGAGTGGCTTGGGCGCAGTCATTTGCAGCTGGGAGGATGAGGGCGGCGTGACTGTCAGTGACCTGAGCCTAAGCAGTTCTTGAACAACAAGCACCATGATTTCTTGGATATTCAGGGCCAGGCGCAAAAAACGGTCTTTCGGCAAAAAACAGCCTAGCGACCTCGACCATTCTTTTAATGGCCTTTGGAAGCCTAGGGGATAGGTTCCCTCACTATGCGAGTACGAGCCGAAACTCCTTTTACGCCAATTCTAGCCAGCGAACTGAGCGCTAAAGTAAATCTAAAAAGAGGGTGGATCATTTTGCATTTCTCCACTTATTTAGCGCGCCAGGCGCACATTTGGACGAGTCATATCGCGTGTTCCCTCAAGATGAGCTAGTTTCTTCTTGGAATTGATCTGGGTGTCAATCTGCGTGTCACCTTTTTGTTTGCTCCGGCTCGCAGTTTTTGTTTTGCCGGCTGAGGTGATGGGGAGGCCTCGAGGCAGGGTCCGGCCAAAATATGTTTAAGCAAACGACCTTTTGAGGTCCTCAAAAGAACACCAAAATGAGCTTCATCAAACCATAGTTGTTTCAAGTTGTTCAGTGGCACATTATGTTGTTTCATGTTTTTCGGTGGGGCTGTTTTGTTTGAATTGGTCAGTTCCCCGTTCAACATGGCAAAAACAAAAGCTGTCGGGTCAAAGCGCAAGCAAGCCGTGCAGTCTCCTGTCTTTGAAGCCAGAGGCGGCCCTGAAGCCCAGTTGCAACCAGTGCCGCCTCTTGGTGTTTTTCCGTTGTTGTTTTTTGGATTCAAAGGGTGTTCCTTCAACGTTTTCTTTGTGAAGGGTGTTTTTGTTGGTGAAGGGGTTTGGCCAACAAAATTTGGGCGCCATTTGTTTCCCCAACTCCACTGGCTGAGGAACTCCGTGCAGACTGCAGAGCTGAGCGATGTTGCTGCAAACCTCCTACGCGACCGTTTGGGCCTGCATGGCGCGGATGCCAATGGATCCAACACGATTTTTGGAAAGAGAGAGTACATGTTTCTGTTTATTGTGCTGTAGGTATGGCTGAATTGGTTGTTTCTGTTGCATGTTGAGTGGTTTAGTTTGTTCTTTTCTGAGGGAATTGTCGCTTTTTGATTCGGGCAACCTTTTGGAGGGACAAAAGTTCCCCTGAAAGAGGGAAAGCTAAATGAACCGCGTAAAAGTGTTAGGGGTGATAGAAATGGAACCCGGCTTTCAGTGTAACCACTATGGTGTTCCCCTTCTTGCATTTTTTCTGCAAAGCTGCCCGTAAATGCATTGTTGGGTGTCCGGTTTCCCTGTTCGACGCCAAGGGCTTTCCTGTTGTACTTTGAGTCGTGGCCAGCCACCCAAAGGCGACCTCAAACCATGTGGGTGTGTGCTTGATGGAGGGTAAGCGTCGTCACGATGGTTGCAAGGAAAGCCAAAAACAACGCCACCACGTTGGAAGCCCCCTTATCCACCTGTTCCTTTGTCCATTGCAAGTGAGGAACCAATCGAACTCCTGGCAGAAGGCGAAGAGAGCGCATGACGTGCCTCGGACGCGGAAATCGTTGTACACAACGGTCATTAACGTTCGCTTGTCCGTTGAGTACAGGCAGGAATGCGACTTTTCTCTTGAGGTAGATTCCCCCTTTTGATTTGACCATATTTGCCCTGTCCGTGAAAAGAATTGGACAGTTTCTCCTGAAATTTGCCAGTGTCGGACACATTTGAAGCACATCCGGAGACTGGGAACTCTTTAAGTTAAAGGCATACATGTTACATGTAGGGGCATTGTACATGCACTTTTGGTGATTCACTTTGAACTGTCCTTTTTCAAGGAGATTTGTTTAAACAGTTCGGTGGCTTACACTCTCTTCGGAATGGTCTGGCCAACCTTTAAATGCGCTGAGAAGATTGTTGTTGGTACCGTGGGGACAGGGACACCCAAAGGGACGGCCTCATTTGTTAACATGCAACATTTTGTCCGTAGCTCACCCCCGCCGTTTGAAGGTGGCGCATACGACAACACCTTCGGGATCCAAGAAGGGCTCATATATTTGGCAATCCAGGCCAGCGAGGCGTGTTTTTGCGGGTTTTCCACAGAAGATCACAGTCACAGGACCTTGAGACACTTTACAAAAGGAATCTCTACGAAGGGATGTCCAAGCTGAGTATCATGACTGGAGTTACTTCCTTCTCAAGGGGCCCCTTTTGTGCCCTTTGAGCAAATGGCCCCAAGACAAGACGCCCTCAAAACACCTCGCCCGAGGCAGACGAGCACCTGGCGGCGGATATCAAAGACACCAACAAGATGCCCAACCCAGAAGGCACTCGTGCGAAGAGAATTTCCGGGAAGAGCCACACCCGGCAGCTTTTGGGTTGGCGTGTGGTTTTTGGAGGCTACCCTTTTTTGGCGCAAGGGGATCCAAAACGGGTTCCCCAAGTTTGCGACCAAGCCATAGATGGTCATCAACCCGCTAGGTACGGTTGGCAGAGATTGGACCGTGGATCAGGGAGGTTCAACAAAATTCGGAAATGGATTCGAAGAGTACTGTTGAACAATGCGAGGGTGTACCCGCTTTTTGTTACCTCGCGCATGACGGCAGTGACAGGGAACCCCATTCCAGGCTGAGCCCTCCTGAAAGCGAGCGTCCCAATTCCGAGCAGAAGGAACCGGAGAATGGGTGCTATGTTACTTGAGGAGTTTTCCCGCTGGCTTGGGTTTTTGTTCCACCGCCACCCGGCAAGCAAGCAAGCGAGCAAGAAAGCAAGAAAGCAATAGTTCATTCTAAACTTATCCCCACAAATAAAGCATCTCTTAGTATTTTTAAAATCAATCTTTTGTCTTCATCCCTCATGTCTATGTCTTTGTTTTCTTTCACTGTATATTTTACTTCTTCTCTAATCTCACAAACAAGCAAGTGCGCTAAACCCACATCAAACACACCTAGCCCAGCGACCCTAACCCCCCCCCTCCAACCCAAAAGCGATCCTCAACAGCCAGCCCACCCTGAAGTCACCCTAAGCGGCTTTAGGGCCACATCCTGCGCAATGAAGCAAAAACCACCATGCAACCACTAACTGGGATCCAAATGCATCCAATCCACTTCCTTTTGGACCTGATGTGGCCATTAAAGTTGCACCCCAAGTGTCACATGCAAAAGCTCGCACTTTCTGCTTTGGTTCCTTTAGGAGAACTGGCAGCTGGTATGTTGGCGAAACACGATCGGTGCTCAACCCCACAAAGGATCAAAACCGAACAAGCCATGTTCTTCTTGTCTTGTGCTGTACTGTTCCATTTCCCGCTCTTTTGTCAAAGGTGCAAGATGTCGACTCGGCGTTTGGTTCCAAAGCAGAACAGAGAAAGGCCTTGCGAGTCGCATGTCAGCCGATGTCAGCGATCCGGATCCCACAAAACAGTTTCGATTCCAGTTGAACCGGCAAATCGAACCGCACGCCCTTTGGCAACTTGACGCCGGGTGGCTGTGGGAAAGAAGAGCACCTTTCCTTCCCCAGAATTAGCTCCCCTTTGTATTGTTTGCTTTTTTGGGTCCCTTTGTTTTCCACTACCGGGCAAAAAAGACATTTTTTGCTGGGGTCCCCATTCCAGCCGAGTTTCGTTGCATGCTTTGCCACGGAACCACCCACCAAAACTGGGGTGTCTCGGTATCTCTCGAAACTTGCCTTAGGCGAGCACTCAGACCTCGAAAACCGCACCGGCTTCGGGGACCTGGGGAAGACTTTGCAGCTCCCGGGAGTTGGACAAAGTTTTGATCGAACGTGAGTGCCGGTATTAGAGTGTTTCGCCATTTTGAGACACAACCGAAATGTTTACCGAGAAACTGGGACAGCCAGTTTTCGGGGAACCCTGAAAAAAAGGATTCACAGAGGAATCCAACGGTTACTCGCGAAACTGATCCCTTGCTAACAGTTTAACTTTTAGTGGTTGAATATGGAAAACCCGTTAGTTGGCAAAAAGCTGTTCAGTCCTAACGTCCCTTTAAAATGGGTAGCTTCCTTTTGGTTTCCCTTCAACACTATCCAACAAGGGTGCCCTCAAACAAAAACATACCCATGTGTTGTCCCTTTCCCTTGCCTGTTTTTTGCGCAGGGTGTCCGCCGAGTCTCGGGGTTGATTTGTCATTCGTATCTACCATCGTTCTTTTAACAGATCAGCCATAAAATCCTGGTATTTTGTTGCTTCCTGAGAAGACGGGCCCTGACATCCAAACAGAAAAGGAGAACAACCACCGCTAAAAGGGTGTCCATGCTTCCCACATGACCCAGTAGACAGGTTCAACCCGAAGCTTGCACAACCAACACCAGTGATTCCTTGAGGCCTTCGTGTTTGTAATTGATTGTCCCCACAAAGCAGACCTGGCTTAAAAGATTTTGTGGCTGAGGATCCACTGCTGATTGTGCATCCCCATTCTAAAAGGAGCAACTCCATTGTTCTTCTTGGTCTGCCGTTGTTTTTGTCTTTTCGATTCTGTCACATTGCGGTGGGGTTTGCAAACACTTCTTTTAGGGACATTACCCCCACTGCCCGTCCCTTGGTCGCGCGAGGTTCATGTACTTGAAGATTGCCGAGCTTGAAACCGCGATCGAGCCACTTGGGCTATGAACTGACCACATTGAAGGGAGTCTCTCATGGCAGCCATGTTTCTTTTTGCCATGGCCACGTTGAGAGTCGTTGACGCGCCAAGGGCCTGTTTGTTTTTCCTTCTTTTGTTTCCCTTAAAAAACAAAAACATTGGTTGCAAGCGCGCTGATCCAAACTTGCGGAGACTGGACGGAGCTGAAACATGAATGACAACTGGCTGGTTTTTGATCAGGACTGCTGTGAGAGGGAATTCACCGAGTTGACGAATCCGGGGTCAACCTTGGCGTATTAATTTGAAGGAGAACGCGCAAAAGAGTTCGCCCAGAAGTTTCAAGCTGTGTTGGACCGAGAAGTGGGTGTACGGCGACAGGAGCGGTACAATTGAGTCGGGAATTTGCCCACGTCCGTTGGATTCGCTGCGCATGTAAGTCCGGCGACACGCTTGCACAGCAAGAAGTGATCTCCGGATTCCCTCTACAATGGGGCACCCACCATGTTGATGAAGGGTTGGTTGATCATGATTCATGGATTGGCCAAACATGTCCAGAGGTGATTGCCAAGAGACTCACTTTCGACCACGCCAGCAAAATGGTTGGCTTGCCAAGATTTTGTTTGGAAAGCATCTTGACCTTGAGAGCCTGCGGAATCTCCAAAAACAACTGGCGAGAGCAACCTTGTTTACATTCATAAAGAAAAAAGACAAATCCAAGGCAGGTGGTTGAACTCTGGGCCTGCTCCAAAAGCAGCTTTGGGTCTGAGTTTCCACTGGGGTCGTTGTCATGGCCTTTGGAGGAGACGGTTGGTTTTTCGGGTTGGTTTTCGGGCATCCTGTTGCACGAAAACCTGTGCCCGTTCCTGTTGCTTCTCCCATTCATGGGCGGTTCATCCACTAGTGCAGGAGTTCGTCCTAAAAGCAGCCCAGGCTGCAGGGCATCGAGTTTCGCACGGCCCACATCGACGCGCAAAAAGAGATCCACACGCTGAAGGCACGAAACTGGGGCAGAGGCCTGGGCCAAGGGAACATCAATATACTGATACTGGTTGCTCGCGGTGTTCTTTGAAAGTTTTCAGGCTTGGGCTCATTGCTTTGTTATGTGCAGGTCAAGCCAAAATGGCCTGGCAGGCTACCGGACCGGGCAGGTCCTGCTTGGCAACTCGCTTTTTCTCTTTTCCCCCCCAATTACCCTGATGCCCTCGCGGGGCATCCTACGGTGGTTGGGCCCCTGTTTCATTGGCCAGCGGGCCAGACAAGGGCATGTCCTTGACACCTGGGAGAATTCCGGTTGTCCCAAAGCACTTTTAAAGCGCCGGGACCTTGAGAACACGGAGGCGCGCCCGTGGTTCATTGAGGAGAAACGAATGCGCATTGCTTTGATAAAGCACATTCAAAGCTTGGTCTACCTATCTACGCACACACACACATATATATACATATATATATATATATCATATATATATATATATATATTTATATATATCCCATCCCTGTGCCTCTGTAGCATAGTGTGTAGCCAAAAAGCCAAAAGCCATAAGAATTGGATTGCCACTGTAGCTTTGCATAAAACACCCCGCGTGGAGGTCAATTCTTAGCATATACCAAGTATCAAACTATGATTTATTGTTGATTTTCGCGTTATTGAGAGGACTTGGCAAGTAACTCTAGTTATTGAGGGGAATTTGCAAGTAATTTCTAGCTAACATAGAAACTATGGTCCCTTGTTAAGCTCTTTGCATGGCTTTATGTGCAGCTTGTTAAGGAAGAGGTCTTACACGCAGCTTTACAAGTGAACTTCAACAGGGGCTTCGCAAACGTTTAGGGGCGCGGTTGTCGAGCGTGAGCGCGCAGCTTCCCACGCGTTTTGGAGCGAGAGCCTGAAAATCGCAGACAGCTTTAGCCCGTGCATTTTCGGTTGCCTCTCTGATTTGGTTACTTCGTGTTAAGCACATTGCCACAGATTGCTGGAAGAATTGCTTTTGGTGCAATCATCCCCAAGTTAAAACTACTTGTCACGTCTTGTTGGCGCCTTTTTCAACTGGTCTCCAAATGAAAACCCCCTCATTCTCAAGTGGGTGGTTCCCTTTTGGCCACCTTCAAAGACCACTTGCGAAGGCTGCATAGATAGATGGTTTGGAAGTTAGTAGCTCCGGCCTCTACATCCTAGTGTTGCAGCAATGGTTGTCAATCTGAAACAATCTTTGGTCGCCTTGACAAATCCCAAGAGCAGTAGGAGTGGTGGTGGTGGGGGTACCTTCCAAGCAATTGGTGGCCCTTTCATTGAAAAAAGACAAAGCCATCTCAAAACAAAGTGTCCAAACCCCCCTTTTCCCCTATCCCCTATGCAATCGACACTGGGAGCCCGCTTCAAATCGACCAAGAGGCGGCTTTCTCGAACCGCTTGCCGGTCCGGCAGGGCCGCTTGGACCAGAAGGAGGCAGTTTTGCAGCAGCTCAAGACCCAGCTGAAGCGCCACGCCACGCTGGCGCAGCATGGGCATGAGGCAAGGGTCAGGGGGTGGGAGGAGCGTGCAACTAGCGTTGGTTTGGACGTGTTGCGCAACCAGAATATGAGGTTTAGGGCACTTTCTGTCATAGGAAGCCCTTTCAAACAGAGAATCTGGTCAGCCCACTTTGGTATCACTTGCGGGACATGGAGGTAAGGCCACTTTCTTCGCTGCCAAGGGATAACCCAGTCATGGGAGTCGACAAGCTTAGGGCAGGAACCAGTACCAAAAAAGACAGAGTGCCCTGGTTGCATGGTCACCGGGTGAACTAACAGTGTGTGGTCCAGTGGGTCAGGCCCTGGTTCCCTATTTAATGGAAGCTGGGTGTATTTGTTAGCCCATTCCGACGCCTTTGGGCTTCGGATTTGATAATTTGCGCTGGTCTTTGTGTGAGGGGCCCTGGGACACCCTAGCGCTATTTGCGCAAACCATTACTGTATTCTTTTTGGCCACGGCGAACCATTCAGAATCCCAAACAGTCAGCGGTGGCTGCGGTCAGGGTCAACTTGCTTCGGTTTCCAGCGCTTCAGGAGCTGGAGCTGGAGGAGCCCAAGATGGAGCACAAGCACCTGGAGGCATTTGCCGCCAAGGCCAAGGAGATCCGAACGCTTTGGGCGACGCAAAGAGGGCTGGTTGAGGTGGCTCTTCGAGTTTTTCGTTGCAGCTTCGGAGGTTGCCAGGTTTTGAAGGATGCTTGCCTTCCCCAATGGGAAAACAAAATGGGGTTGTTTTGCCATCAAGGTCCCACTGACACATGCCTGGAATTTCGCTGGTGCCGTCAATGTGTCTAACCAGAAAACGGGGCCGTAACCTGAGCAAACCATTTCTTGTGTGCTTTGAATGATTCTTTACGAGGCAGGTACTTGGTCTCCGGGGGAAGCACCCCTATTTGTCTGGGTCGTACCATGAAACAACCCCCGGTACCCCAACCCCCAGATGCAGTTGTGTTCACATACCTGGCAAGCGGGGTCAAAAGGACACCTTGCTTGGCCGATCTGCGCTTTCATCTTGGAGGAATGACACTTTCATGGAAATGAGGTAATTGGGCTCAAAGTTTACCAACCGTGTTGTCAAGTTTTGTTCTTTTGGGTCGGCAGGTAGTTGTTGGCGTCGGCTGCAGCTCGCTTCTCTTTGTTTCTTGCGACAGGGCTTTCAGCCCAGTGTTGGACGTCATGCGCAAACTGCTTGGGTGATGTGCTGGGATTTTGCCTTGCTTTTCGGCCGTCGTCGCACTATGGGCCCTACTCTTCGACTGGAAAAAGCAAAGCGATTCGGCCCGAGCTTCCCCAAGATCCGTTTACTGCATGCAGTAGTTGCCACCTCTGCCGTTTGATGCGGGCTGCCACACGTAGCCTGCTTCTTGATTCGTGCGATTGGATATTTTTGAAGGCGTGGCTCATTGGTTTGTCGTCCACGTCTCTCACGACACCCCGGAGGAAGAAGATCAAGGTTCCTTTCTTGGGGGCAGCTCGACCTGAGGAGGGGGGAATATAGAGTCAAGTGACAAACGCGTTGGGACTGTATGGGAGTGTGATATCCCGTTGAAATGCAAGTTTCCTTGGCCCAGTTCTGGGCAAGTTGAGGAGATGCACCAGGAACATCTGCAAAAGATGGAGGCAACGGCGCCGGAGCTGCTGAAGGATGCTCGGTGAAGTTTATCCTGTGACTCTACTATGCTCAGTTGGACCTTTTAACCTTTCCAATTTTTGTCTATCTTTAGTAAAGGATCTTGAAGTTGGCCCAACTGGTTTCTTGGACCCTGTCCTGTCTAAGGCTGCTGCCAAGTGCCCCCCGTATGGGCCTTGGAGAGCTTACTTGCGTGCTGTGCACTTACTCGCCTGCTCTGCGCTCTGAGCTTTCCTTTGCTCAGGCTGTCCTTGCAGGGTCCGCGTGCACTGCTGATCGTCTCTACGCTCTCTGACTCTCCTTGCTGTCGGTACTGTGGCCATGAAGTTGAGACCATTGCGCATCTTGCCTTTGACTGTAGTAGCATCCCTGAGCTTTCTGCCTGCCGCCCCCCAAGGTCCTCTTCCCAAAGTGGACTTTGGATGCGCTTGCCACTTGTCCTAGCCCCCGATCAATCCAGCACCTTGCCCGAAAATGGTACCATCCCGTTTTAGCGGCGGCGGGCTATGCGTCAGACCATAGAACCTGGCATGCTGGGCCATGTCATGATCCACACGGATGCCGGCTGCCACGCAGGCCTGGAATTCAGTGGTGAGTGGAGCACGGGCGGCTGGTTCAGTGCGTGCGGGGCATTTTTGGGCTTTGAGCCTTCAATTGTCGCGTGAACGCAGCACACGTTGGGGGCAGCCGCCTTTCACCTTGCAGTGGGTACGGGCACACGGCTGACCAGGTGATTCGGGACCGCGGGTGGGAGCAGGTGCCACTTGAGATTAGATGCAATGCGGCGGCAGATCAAGCTGCGGGCCGGGCAGCCAGAGCTGCATTGGTGGTGCCAGAGCGCACGCTCAGGGCATGGGGTTATCAATCTCTGCGCCAGCAGGGTTGGCTACAGCGGCTTTTTCGACTCATGCCACAACAGCAATTGCCAGCGACCTGCGGCGAGGATCCTGGTGATGGGCTGGTTGAGCCGACTGAGGCGGAGGGCGAGGTCGGCTCCATGGCGTGTCTCCTTGCTGCTCCACCAACAGGATGGAAGTTTGGCAGAGCTTTGTGGGCGTGCGTCGAAACCTTCTTTTGCGAGGCCAGGTGGTGCACCCGGGACAGCTACTGCACGGCCCTTCTTGAAATTGCATTGCTGCGGTACGTGAGAACAGGCCTAGTGACCCAGGGAGCCCAGACCTGCACGGTGCAAGACCTGCTTTGATGGTTTCGCTGGGCCCTCAAGGCTGCGGACAAGTGCGTGAGGCAGCTTGTCCCAGGCACGTGGAAAAGGCGGCGCGTCAAGTGTCAGGGCATCGGTTTTCCGCAGGGCGCCTATGAGGGTGTCAAGCGTCGAGGCAATTTGTGCTAAAGCAAGCCGCAAAGGCACTTGCCCGGCGGATTGGGCGTTTGCCCTTGTCACAGTTTGAGGGTGGCGGCCTCGATGGCCGTCGCTTACAGGCGGGATCGCTTGCGAGCTGCCTGGAATTGGAAAAGGTTAACCTTTTATTCCTGCATCCTTTGGGTGACTGAGTATTTGGCTTGGGGCTCCATTACGAAGGGAAACCAAGCGCGTTTCCACTGGGCCCCTCTACCTTCCACAGCTTCAAAAAGCAAAACGTGGGGCAGCGTTTGGGCTTGGTTTGGGGTTCGAGTTGGGGGAGTTACCTTAAAAGGCCTTTTTCCTATGGCCACTGGAGGTTTGGTCTAAATCCCGGATGTTTCTTGTTCCGGATGTTCCGCTGAAAATGGGTTTTGCTGTTTAGTACTTGGGTTTGAGACATTGGTAGGCATGAGCGTGTGCCCGCTCATGTGTGTGTGTGTGCGTGTGTGTGTGTGTGTGTGTGTGTGTGTGTGTGTGTGTGTGTGTGTGTGTGTGTGTGTGTGTGTGTGTGTGTGTGTGTGTGTGTGTGTGTGTGTGTGTGTGTGTGTTTCTTCCGGGTTCTGTGTGCAAAGGTTCGCCGTCCCTGCCCAGAGTTGCACAGGACTCACCTGAACTGCATGGAGTCGCGAAACGTCGGTTGGTCTCTTTTGCGAACTTCGGCCGGCCCTGCTTGGTAGTGAGAAACATGCCTTCGCACAAATTTGCCAACCATGGGTGAGTTCGCACGCATGTGCGAAGGTTTGTCGTGTTCGCAACTGTTCACTGTTGGCACAAACCGTTCCAGTATCAACAGTCTACCAGCCACCGCGACCGTGATGTTCGTGAGACGTTTGGACCATGGCGCAAAAGGAAATCTAGGGGTAGTGGGACTTCATTGAGGCTGACACGCGAACAAACCTGCCAGTGTACAGATTGTGCGTCCCACAACCTACTTAATAGCACGCCGTTAGCAAACTCAAAAGTTACGCGGGCGACCTGGCAATGATGGACCCACGGGCTGATGATAAGCCTCAGACAAATCTAAGTTGCGCTGTGGGCTTCCCAAGAACAAGCCCGGCTGGCTCCTTGATGTGTGGGAGTCCTTCTACGCTCCTGTAGACAATTGAGCGTGACAGGCTTGCTGTTGTTCATTCAGCACAAAGACAGCCGAAACACCTTCAGCGCGCTGCAAACAGCAGACAGACCAGCACCTGCAGCACCAACCCGAAACGTTGTGCGAGCGCCAGCGCTCTAACATCTCCATGTGGGAACGGGCGGCCATAATTACGGCATTGCTTGGCCCTTCACCGTCTCTGCGCAGTCAAGTCATAAAGTTACTTTTGCATTTTGATGGAGTTTCCTGTTAAGGGCCAGGGCTCGGGATTTGACTGGAGAAATAATTTGCCTTGCCCGCTAAGGACATCATGCTGAAACTCCATCGCCAGCATCGCAAGGACTCGCGCAATGAGCATCTTGGGTTATGAAACGGAACTTTTGGAGATTGCAATTGTGTTCTTTGGTTTTTCCTTCATTCTCACTGAGCAAAATTAGTTTTGCAAGGGGCCGGATCAGTCTGGCAAAGAAATGAAAGTTTGTCATATGCGGTTGCTCCGGAAGCTTTGCGACTGGAGCGCCCCTTGGCCGAAAGCGGACGACGCGAAACCACGGCTTTGTGAATCGCTAGCCGGCTTCTCTTGGCAAGTCTCTTGGGACAGGGCAGGCAGGAGAAAGCGGGCCCCATTGCAATGAGAGTAGTCGAAAATTGTGCCAGGACTGGACGGTTCAGAAGCAAGTGCCGAAAGGACCGAAGGAACGCCTGGTCGAAAGCCTGGAGACTCGCCGGCATTCTTCTTGTCCATATCCGTGGCATTTGTCCTTCTCGACTTCAGAGCCCCTGTATTTTTTCTGGGTACCGACTTCGCCGGTTGGAAAGCCACCATTCTTCAGGAACCACACCCACCCACCCACCCACACACCCACACACCCACACACCCACACACCGCACCGCATCGCGCCGCACCACACCACACCACACAGCGAACGACACCGCACCACACCACACCAGACCCACCCATCCGCCCACACCCAAGTGTGTGTGCATGCGTGCGTGCGCGCGTGCGTGCTTGCGTGCCCGCGCAGATGCAGCGCGTGTGCTCGCAGAGCTTACCCGGAGCGGATTGGACCCTTACTTGCCGTGCACCGTTGTCACTTCCGGAGGAGGTCTTGAGAGTTATATCATTAGGCTTCGTCCACAAATTGCTCAGCAAGGGGCCATACAACATGTCATGCGCGAAACATGAGCGCATTTGTCATTGCGTGCCGTGCTCACTGTTTGCTTTGCTTTCGGGCCACCCGTTCTTCTATTTCTTTCTCCGGGCTTGCGCGTGGCCTTCGAAGCGCGCTCGGGCGCTGCTCGAGGCAAGCAGAAGGTTGAAGCACTGCCTCCGCGGTGCGTCGCCGTGCACACGCACACACGCACGCACTGCCACCAGAGACACGCTCTGATATTGAGCGCGAGTTCCATGTGAGCCCACACAGGTCATCCACAATGTGGGGAATGCCGCCGACAGGGGGCAGACCATTGTGGACAACGCCGACGATGCTTGACAAGCCTTGGTTTGGCCAAAGCTTTCTTTTTCGCCGAACGGCCGGGATGGGTTTGTGTTTTAGAGAGCTGACAGCTGACGAAGAAACAGTGAATGACATGAACGGCGAGGAAGGGACAACGAGCAAAGGAAGGAGCGAAAGAATAGAGTGAGAGAGTGGGTATGCAAGGCGGCAGTTGGTGGGTCCTTGCTTTCGCCGCGGCCAATCCTATCTCTTACGGCCGCTCCACTATTCCTTCACCCATTTCCGTCAACATGCTGTAGCGGGAAATGAAGCCTCCTCTCTATTACTCCGGAACGAACGGAGAGAGAGGAGGAGTGGGTGAATTGGATGGAGAGTGCTCCCTTTGCTCGCTCATCTATGACTCACCTATAGACATGTCCGGAAGCGAGATAAGGGAGCGGGAGGGAGGACGACTTTTCGTTACATTGAGGTTTAATTAGAGGGTGGCTGAAGTTTTCACAGCGAGCTCCGTCTTAGCGAAAGGTTTCTTGGGGCTTTTGGGGTCGCACCAAAGCCAATTGGCCTTACTTTAGTTCAAGGGGGCCTTCATTTTCCCATACGCATTCAGAATTCTTCGAGTGAGCCCTGACTCATGACTCGTTCCCTTGCGATTTCAACTATGAACACAGTCAACAGCTTGTTTACCTAAGGAGATTCACGTTCGGGCCACGGCTATAGGTGTGTCGTTTTGTTGAGGCTGCCCTTTTTTGGGCTTGCTAAAAAGGAAGCCAAAAAGGAAAGCTGGAATCTATTTTGGGGGTCCAAATCCGAGGTGGCATTCGTCGCCAACACAGCCATCACCACGGCGAACTCGGCCATCGCCACGGCGGAGCAGGCCCTGCCACGCATCGTCAAAGCTCGGACCGAGCTTCGGGTCAGGTCGCGTCGCCGGCGCGAAATTGGGCAGCCAGGGTTCCGAACTCCCGGCAAATGGTGCGTAGAACTCATTTGCTTTCGGCAGGCTAAAGGTTTCATGTTGTAAGGTGACGTTTCAATGGGGGCACGTGTAAGCTGAAGACGCTTTCGTGGCTCTCTTTGCGCAAAACCTTTTCCGGACCAAAGTTCGACCGCAGAAGGTCACTTTCCTGGGCGGGGCCGGGAACCCGAGCAGGCATTCCTGTTTGTTTGCGCGCGCGAGGTTGCAAGAATGCTTTTGGGCAGGGTAAAGCCTGGGCTGGGAACCCCAAGCTGACCAAATAAGCAATTCCGGCGGGGCAGGTGGCGGGAAATCGTTCTCGCGGGGTTAAAGCCTGAGCCGAAACGCTGAGGCTTACTGGCGATTTTTTCGTGCCATCGGACCAAAATTTGAGCAAAGAAGGCTTTTTCGGGATAGCTTGTGTGCGTGTCGAGGCAAAGATGGGGCCAGGAACTGACTAAAAGACATTCCTGCCACTTTCGCGCGAAATGTGGCAAGAAACATAGCGGAGATTTTCAGCCAGCGGAACTTCAACCTAAATCCGAGCAAAGCAAGCTTTCGGGGTCGCTTTCGTGTGCGCGACCTTTTTCGGAATAAAGACGGCCCCGGCACGGGGAGATGCCTCGGGTGAATGGAGACGAAGCGGGTGTAGCCTGAGCTGTAAAGTACGCCTCCGGGAACTCTAACCTGACCAAAAAAAGCAAATTCCCTCCACTTTTGTGGGCAAGACGGTACAAAAAGAAGTAGATTACGCCAAGGAATCTTACGGGCAACTTTCGCGCAAAAGTTGTTTTCGGGGGTAAAGCCAGAGCTGCTGACAAATCTGGCCGCAGAAGGCATGATGCTGGTTCAGGTGCAGACGCCGGGTGATGTCCAATTTGTAAGACCCCCCTGCTTCATAGGAGCGCGAGTGTCACTAGTTTCGCTAGTGGCATTCCACCCGGGTAGCCAAGCCCGGCATCTTCTCCCCGTGGCTTCACTTCCAGTGCTCTTGGTCAAGGCTTGCTTCATGGTTGGGGAGTGGGAGGGAGGTTGGTATACTCTGGGCCATTTCGGAAATTTGTTCCTTCTAGTTTCTGGGCTTGGGAAGACAGTTTGAGTGGTAAAGAGAACGTTTGGACTTTGTTTGGCAAAATCCGCTCAGGAAATGGTTTTTATAAGTGAAAGAGACAACATCCAAGGATCTGGTAAGCACGAACAAGTAGACCTTTATACCCATGTTGGTAAGTCAGGCATTGCGCTTTCCAGGCACAATCAACACCTGAATAATCTCAGGATAGGGAACAGAACTCCCGCCGGTTCGGCTCTTCTGGCACACTATGTTTCCCACAGTCAGCAAACGAGTCCCCCCCCCCCGCCTCCCCACTCAGGGCAAACGCCAAGCGTGCAGGCGGTGGCCAACTTGCAGCGCGTTCTTAGCGGGTCATGTCCGCATTTCGATTTCCCAACTTTGGACGTGTCCGATACGTCCATCAGCATCAACTTCGGAAGGCGCAAGGGGCGTTCAGCTGTGCGATGGTTTTCAGCTATCGCTGCGATGCGATCCATTTATGTTTGTTCTTCCCTTTGCAAGGACCTACCTTGTTCTTCTCCAGTTAGGACCCAAAAGGGCTTGGCCTTTTTTTGAAGCCAGCCCCACAACTCATTCTGGTCTGAAGTTTGTGTGGGTTTCCTTTGACAGAGTGATGTCGCAGCTCCGCATCAGGAATTGCAAGGCCCTCCTTGAGAGGGCTGCGCTTTTACGGGAAACTCTTTGCCTTCAACCAGAATTGGCACACTTCAAGTCCTTGACAATGTCATTTCAGGTTCGGTTTTTTGGCTCCGTTGTCCTTCTTGGGCGATTTTTGGTAAGAACCATTCTGTCTTTTCACCTTTGGCAAGACAGAACAGCGCCTAACACAACATGCACCCTTTGTCATGCGCGGGTTCGGTCCTTTTGACATCAGCTATAGTAAAATTGTGGAAGGCTTCAAACGGTTCCTTCCACTATTTGAGGGCGATCGTCAGCAATCATGTTCGTACAGTTTAACCCAAGAAAAAAGGCGACAAGTAACTGTGTATTCCCCCCCCTTTTCAGCGCTGTTTCAGGGGCTCGAAGTGTAAACGCTGCCTGTGCGTGCAGCTTTCCGACCAAAGTCGCCGGAGGCAGATGTGCCAGATCGAGGTGCTGGATGAGAGCCTCAGGATTTTCGATTTCAACTTCGGCTCGGTGACTGTCGCCCGGCTGTTCTGTGGCTTGATTTCGTCTGCTTCTTTGATCAGGGCTCCTTAAAAGATGGCCATTTTGCAACCATTTGAAACATAGCTTTTTCCACCAAAATAAAGGGAAACCACAATTTTCAAGGCAATGTTCAGGTGTATAATGTAAGGATCCCTGTTGACGTCCGGAGTTAGAAGAGCGTTTCTCGAAGTAGGAGGCCCGTTGGTTTTTTGCCTTTTTGGCTTACCTTAGGCCATCCAACAGGACAGGCCCTTGACTTTGGAACTCCCCATTTTGGAGCCCTTCGATTAGCACACGGCGGGATGTGCCGCAAATGTTGAGACTTCCCAGGTGGATTATCCGGCCCCCATCGCTGCCATGATATCCATGGGCCGGAACCTGGTGAACTGCATGACGCCAGTCATGCAATCATGCACCGGGGGGGGGGGGGAGACCGTGTCACATTTTTCCCACGAAATAGTTACCGCTGACTTTTGGGGTGTGCCATGTGTATGTTGTTAGGCAATCCACGTGCTTTCCAGCATGCCTTCTAAGTATACCCCAGCCCTTCCATGACAAGGACTATTTCCCTCGAGAGTTCCAGGGCATGCTCAAACAAATGCTCGTGGCACCAAACTTTATAGGTTGCTTCAAACCAGCCCCCCCCCTTTCATTTTGTGTCGGGGACACCGTCGATTTTGCAAACTCGAAGCCCAAAGCTGTGGGCCCAACTTGCACCTAATTAGATAACTCTCCACACATGTGGATGCCTCTAAAAGCGGAACCCCCAAAATGGGATCCAAAATGAGTAGCTTCCTTTTGGTAAATCCTTTCGGGCGCGTGGGGTTTGTTCATGTCGGAGCCTGTAAAATAGGTCCCTTACTTCAAATCCAGCCCCAAACGCCAGAACCCAACCTAGCAAATCTCCAGCGATCTCCAGCGCCCGCCTGGAACCTTACCCCTCAGTCTATCCAACAACCGTCCTGCCCTCCAGACCCCGCCGCAGCCAATCCAGCAACTCGCAATTGGAACCCCAGAGCTCGGGCAGAGACCCCCATTTCAGCTGTTTTGGAAAAATACACCTTCGTCTGGGTGGCTGGGTTGTTCAACATCAACTCCGAATCCTTATTCCAGGCGCTGGTGGTCCTTAGTGTGGCGGATCAGGATTAGGATTACCCTCCTTTTTGACAGCCCTGAAACTAAGGGTGTGACTGAGTCAACCAACCCCTGTTGTTCCCTTATAGCCCAGGTTGTGATATGCAGAATCAGGTTGACGTCCCCCGCTGTGCCCTCAAAGCAAGTGAACTTAGGAGCGGTGAAGGCTTCGACATCTTCAAGTGCGTGGCGAAAACCATCGGGGAGACCCTCCTTCAGGCAAGGTCAGCCTAAGCCCTTGACATGGGCACGTGTCAAACTAGGAGGACCCCCACACTGGTTGGTTGGAACCCATTTGGGTTCCTGAAACTCACCCAAATAGTGGTTGACCAGAAACTTGTCAGGTAAACTGTGGTAGTGACATTTACCCCATTGTTTTATGGTTGGATAGGGCCCTTGCTTGGCGAAATCACCGACCACGGCTAAAAAAAGAGGACACCTCAGGTCCTTTACTCGCAGATCGAACTCGTATCTCATTTGTTTAATGTGTCCCAGGTGTACTCAAATAGGGGACAATTTGAGAAAGAGAGGCTATTGAAAGACAGGCCAAAACCATCCAAACCATTGTAGGGGTGTATTTTAGGGCTTTACCCCACAACTCGCAACATTGCCAGGCTTCACTAATTGCTTCGACTTTCCTTGTTGCATCAGTTCCACTCTTAGCAGAGGTCCAGTCAGCACAACATAGGCCTCGTGGCTTAGGGCAGGCTGATGAACAACTTCGCATTCTTATCCGTTGTGTTGCAAGGGGTCACGAGGCTCTTGCTTGCACATGTTAGCAAGTCATGGACAAACACGTTTTGGAGGGCCGAGACCCTCTTTGCCCTTGGTGGCATCAGGTGCGAAATGTTAGACTCCCTTTGCAAAAGAGCTTGCAGTTGGCATACACTCCAGATTCATCGGTCATTTGAAAAGTGGCCGCTGTGCACCCCAATCATGTGTTGGAGGGGGATCGGTTTCCTTAATAAGGTGAAATTACGAGAAGAGCACATGTCCTTGAGAAGGTTGATTCCGGAACCTACCCACCACCCTCAGTTGTGTGGCCGTGATTTGAAGCCTAGAGCTTGATCCAAACACTTTGTGAAACACCATGGTGCCTATTAAGATAGGGTCACCGCCACGGTTGTGTGGTTTCCCTTTTGATTTTCCTTTAAAGCAACCCCAAAAGGCTAGCCTCCAACATGACACCCCAAGTTTGCGTGCAAAAGTTGCCTGGGTTTTCTTCTCGACTCCATAGGTCTCGGCCAGCGCGCCGGAAGGTCAAATTGCTTTGTCAACACCTCCCCCCAGCTTTATTTCCATGGGACAAGCCAACCTCAAAAACATTTTTTTCTCACGTTGGTTGCAACTGGTGTGTTGATCTGTTTGCTATCCAATGATTTGCTGCAGCCCCAGCTTGGGGCTTGAGCTGTTTACCCCCAAAAGGGCAGGTTTTCTCTTCCAAAGCTTTGTTGCCCAGGGCTGGTAGCCTTGACATGCTGAAGCCCTAGTGCGCAATGCAGGTGGTTCCGCCTTTCAGCATGCTCACGAATCTCCCATCGATGCTTAGCTGATCTTGGCCAAACCTGGCTTGGGCAAGGCTGCATAGCTTACTGGCAAAGCGAATCGAGCCGCCCCCGGCCCCCCACCCCGACGTTTAAATCACTTTTCATGTTCATGTCAATCGGGCATTGGCATAGCCAGACTGAGCCGGGAAGCCCTTTGACTTGTAGCCCTTTTAGAAGGAAGTTCAGATGCAGGAGCGGTGATCAAAACCAGTGCACAGACCCGAAGGCCAGCTGCAAAGGGAAGCCAACAGGATGCTTGAAAGCTGGCTGGTGAATAGCGCTGTTTTTTTCTCTAAAAGGAAGCCTAGTTTGCGGCTTGGGTCAGTACCCTTTTTACCTTCAGTGTGGGCATTCAATCGACAAACAAAGCGCTTCCAGGCTCCTTGTCTAGTTTAATAGGAACAAATCATACTATGGGGGTTGACCAAATGGTGATACATGGGGTGAGCATTATTTTGGGAACCCATGACTTTCTCCACATGGTTAAAGTTGCCCATGGTCATTTTTGGCCCTAATGGAATATTGATCAACCCCCATGCTTGGCAGCATTGGGGGCCTATTTTTGTTTACCCCGAACGGCATTTTTAGGGTCAACCCTTCCCACTAATTTACAGAAGGCACCTTTTTATGAAGGGCAACCAAAATGGACACCCACCATTTGGGGTCCAAATCTATCCGCAAACCACTCCAGAATGTTAACCCATAACTAACTCTTCATGTCTATAATTAACTCTTCGGTGGCGGTTTTTCTTGGGCTTCCTGTTTTCCTCTTTTTTTTTGGGGGGGGGACTCCCCCCCCGCAAAAAATATCCGGGGAGCCTCCCCAGAAAGGCCTGGCTTTGGTTTTTTTGGGGGCCGCCATAGGATGCTCTCGGAGTTCCTGGGCTTCTTTGCACAGCTGGCCTCCGCGGCCATCACGCAGGCCATCGGGGAGACCACCTCCCTGGTGCAGGCGCTCGCGGATTTTTTTGGCGGGGGAGCGGCTCGAGGGAGATTTTTTCGCTCTGAACCGCAAAGCAGAAGGATTGCCTAGGTGCCCCAACTAGGTGCCAACTTTTACCCTTTATTTTCTGGTTGGGAGGGTTCCCCTACTAAAATCGACTCCACAAAAAGGGCACCCTTATTCTAACCTGTCTAATGGAGGACCTAGTTGCTTAAGGGATGTGTTGGTTGTTGTTTTTTGCGCATTGATTGTTTTTTAGAAGCTGGTTGATGTTGATGTTGATGTGGTTTTTCAGTGTTTGTTTGTCACTTCTGGTCGTCTTCGGAAGGACCTGACTCCTTCAAGACCTGACTCAAGCCTTGAGGGTTTATTGGGGAATGGTCCAACCCAAGCCGACACAGGGAGCATGGCCAAAAAAAACCATCCCGTGTGCTGGTACCTTGCCCGGCGCGGAGTTTTCCTTGGTGTCCCTTGAAAGGAAAACCCAAGGGTTCCGTCAACAATTGACACGCCCATACGGTGGATCCACAGCATGTCAAGGGAGAAGGAAGCCACCAAGCTGGGACAGCTTTCCGCATTCCACCGAAGAGGTCGCTGGTTTGATTTGCGGCACCCGTGAAGGTTCCTTTTTGCCGGTCCAGTTCTTTGATGTGTCTGAATGATTGCAATTCAACAAACCTGACGGGGGTTCAAACCCACGAATCCACACCACTAGATTGTAGTTGCCATCGGGGAAAGCGAGCTTGGACAATGTCAATGTGACCCGGCAGGTTCCTTGTGAGGCTGGTCACCCAGACTGGGCAAATTAATTGCCGAGCCCTTGCCACTTCTTGTGACCAAGGGAATTCCGTGTCAAGTGAAGTAGGCGTGACGGGAATGCCGCTTAAGTAGCGAAGAGGTTTCTACCCTGCCAGGAAGCTGCAAGCCTCTCGCAGTTCCCTGCCAAAGGCGATGCAGCTCGATCTGATTGGTGGGCGCCGCAGGTCCCGGGCCTGAGGAACTAATTAGGAAAGGGGCGTCCTATTGTCAACTTGTTTTTGTTTGGTTGATCGGTTGTGTTGTTTTTTTTCAAAACCAACTAGACAGGTGTGGCTTTGGTACGGGAAAGGAAGGGACTGACGTTCAGATGACCCCGTGGGCTCGTTCAAAATATCCCTACCCTCTCATAAAATTGGGATCGACATAATCGGGGCACTCACATGCCCTTTGCAGCAACCACACAGTTTGACTCCCCATCAGTTGCATGGCTTCCATGTACAGGCATTCAAGACCTTGTTTAAAAGAACCAGGCCCAAATCGGCCCCTCGTTCAACGGAAAGCGAAAGGAATGTGTTTTCATGGTTTTGGTTTCAACTGGTTCCCAAAAGGGGACCTGAGCCGGAGGCTCGCTTTGGCACAATGATGAGGTGCTACCCGCATAGGGAAACAGTTTGATGGTTTGATGCATGTGTTTCAGGGCAATGTTCTTCTCCCGCGGGAACTACCCTGTCATGGGAATGGCTATGAACCCACCACTCTGGTATCCCACACAGCTATTTTGCAGCACGGAACAGCCAAACTCAGGAGCGAAGAAAGCGCAAGGGCCGGCGCGCGGGTTGCGGAGCCCCAAGGGTTGCACTGGGTTTGTGGCCTTAACCGAGCCGCGGCCGTGCACTCAAGCCATGCAAAAGAGAAACCACAACTGCAGCGTCCTCGAGCCCTCTGCCCTGGTAAATAAAAACATAGACTTAAACCTGCGGTCCCCTGGTGGTTGAATTTCAACCCATCCTCATATAGTTGCAATCAAGTTTTGGTGAAGGTCCTGAGGGAAACCACGGAAATAGCAACCCAAGCGTTGGTTTTATTCGGAAGTCCCCGTTGTCCAGCTCGCCCCTTCCGATCGGATCGATCGAGGCCCCGAAGCTGGTGAGCCGCCGCGGCGGCCTGGCGGCGCATGTGCACCGCAGGGAGACTTCACGCAAGGTGATCCACAACCAGCCGCTCGATGCCTGGTGGGCTATGTGGCCGTGTCTATTGCTCCCCCAGCTAGGTGCCAACTTTTACCCTTTCTTTTTTGGTTGGGAGGGTTCCCCGTGTCTAAAATAGACTACAGAAAAACAGGGTGCCCTTATTCTAACCTCTCTACTGGAGGACATGTGCTTAAGAAGATGTTTTATTTACCCTTGTTGGTTTTGAAGGGAATCTATCACTACTGGAAATATGTTTTTCCATTGGTCTTTACCAAATGGAAGTATGGGGCTGTGTCTCAAATGCTCAAGGAGAAACCAAAGGAAAACCACTTGCTTTTTTGACCACCTGTGCCAAAATAGATTTGGACCTCCACCCCCCCCCCCCCCGATTTTTTGAGGTCAAAACAAAAACGCGCACAAAAAACAAACACACACACACACACACGAGCACACACACACACACATACAGACCTCTTTGTGGGGGTCACTCACAACGCCGGGGCCGAGGCAGGTTAGTTTTGGGCATCTCGGTTTCTGGTACTTGGCCTGCTGGCTATTGTTTGGCGCTGGGTAGTTTTGCGCGGGTACTATTTCTTGGCTCAAAGGACACACAAGGAAACCCATGTTGGGACATGTTGGGAGGTAAAAAACTGTTGGAGGCGAAGTGAGGGGCTTCGGGTTGATTTGATGCGAATTCCTTCACCATCCAAACACAGGGTGTATTTTAAAGAAGCGAGCCCTGGGTTGAGCCTCTGAATGGTCAGGGTTCTCAACATGTCCGGTGGAAAGGCCAAGTTCAAATGAGGTATTGAGATGTTGGAAGCATGGGTTTGGATTCATTTTGTTGTTTTTTTTGCCTAGCCCTGGCACAGGGCTAACCCTGGTAGGTGGTTGGTTGGTTGGTTGGTTGGTTGGTTGGTTGGTTGGTTGGTTGGTGGGTGGGTGGGTGGGTGGGTGGGTTGGTTGGTTGGTTGGTTGGTTGGTTGGTTGGCGCCTTGGTAGGACGAAGGTTGGAATGGCAGGGTAGGCTTAGGGTAGGTTTGGGGTAGTCCGTTTAGGGTAGGTTAAGGCCTGGCATTGTTTTAACATCCTCAGCATTGTTTCCAACATCCTCAGCATCACCAGGCTTTGGTTGGCTGGGTCTGGCTCCGGATGGGTTCCAGGCCTACCATAAACCATAAACCCATCCGAGACGACCAACCCCAAGAAGCCCCACCATAAACCAGCACCAAACCATCCACCTCAAACACAGCCA